ACACACCAAATGCTGGCAGTGGCTCAATCTGGGAGATCTTCTCCGAGGAAACGGATGCCTTGTTTGAAGTACAGGGACAATTGATGAACATAATGGATGCTCACCCTCACTCACGTATGGCAAACATCCCAGTAAACTCTTTTTACCATAAGCATCTTGAACAAGATATCTCACCTAGGGTCAAGAAAGATTATGGCGTGCACGTTGTGCTGCCAGATGGACCGAACGGTGATGTACTCCTTGTTTTCGAAGGACCTGCTGGAAGAGAACCGGAATACAGTATTCCCCGTAGCCAACCTTCAAGGAATGATATCGCGGAATTCAAACGTGGTTTAGAAGATGCCCGCAAGCACATCATTGATGTCATTAGTTCTCAGGCAGAGATTACCAGCGAATCGATCGATGTTCCAAGAATGTAAGTCTTTGAAACAACGTTTACTTCGATTGAATGCTGACAACCATAGTTACCACGATAAACTCAAGAAGTTCATCACCGCTGAAAACAAGGCCTTCCAGATTCCAACTCGCGTTGTTGCTAACGGCACTATTGTCACACTTCAAGGACCTAGACCTACCGTGGAGAAGTTGGCTGCTAAGGTCAGAGAATTTGTCGCGCAGGCGATTGAGGAGGAAAAAGAGCGTGGTTACACACTTTCTTTTGACTTCCCTCAAAAGCATGCAAACCAGCTCATTGGTAAGGGAGGCTCGTACGTGAACGAGTTGCGTGAAAAGTTCGACGTCGACATTCAACTCAAGGATGGCCAAGTCGAAGTGAAGGGACCCAAGGCCAAAGCAGATGCTGCGAAATCTCATATCTCGTCTCTTGGCAGACAATGGGCTGATGAGACAACCTACACCCTGAAGATCGATCCTAAGTTCCACCCTGAGCTCATTGGTGCCAAGGGAAACCAGATCAATAGGTTGCAAACTCGTTACAAGGTCCAAATTCATTTCCCACGCTCGGGTCGTCCCGCAGATGAAGAAAATGTAGAAAATGATGCTGGTCAACAGAATGCTCGACGTCAACAAGCTCCAGACGAAGTCTCTATCAAGGGACCTAAGAAGGGAGCTGACGAGGCCCGAGATGAAATCCTTTCTTTGTTTCAGTATTTACAAGATAACTCCCATAGCGCTACTGTCAGTGTTCAGCAAAGCCAGGTTCCTTCCCTTATCGGTCAACGTGGAGCTGGTATGGAAGAATTGAGACAATTGACTGGAGCAAAGATTGATGTTCCAAACTCTCGCGATAGTGCTGACGCATCAGGACGAGTTGAGATTCAGATCAAGGGAACGGCATCTCAAGTCGCAAAGGCAAAGAAGTTGATCGAGGAAAAGAAGAGTGTTTTCGATTCGACAGTTACCGAGACTTTGGATGTCGACAAGAAGCATCATAGAGCTTTGATCGGCGCTGGAGGTGCAAACATCCATGCCATCATTGTCAATGCTGGTGGATCTGGCGACCGCCGAGAGCTCGCTCGGGTTGTGCAATTCCCCAAGGCTGAATCAGAGGGCAATGCTATTAAGATTGAAGGTAGCCGACAACTTGTTGATAACATTGTTTCTGCCATTCAAAAGATTGTTGAGGAACGAGACAGCCAAATAACAGAAACTGTGGATGTTCCAACCGACAAGCATCGTCCTTTAATCGGTGCTGGTGGTGAGACGAAGAAGGGCATGGAGAAGAACTTCAAAGTCTCGATCGATATTCCCAGACAGGGTAGTGGTCAAACTGGAATCACCGTCACTGGTCTTCCTGCTGATGTCGAAAAGGCAAAGGCCCATATTCTTGAACTCATTAAAGGTCAAGAAGGTGAAACTGTCCAAGTTCCACGAAAACTTCATCACGATATTTCGAACAATGGCCAATTTTTCCGAAAGTTGCGAAATGATCTTCAAGTCACAGTAGATCATGCAGGAGCTAAAATGCCGGCAAGAGCAACACCACCTTCAGGAGCTAGCGCTAAGGATGCTTTGATCACAGATGAAAAGGATACAACTGATGACGTTGAGGAATGGTTCGTCTTCAACAAGTCTGAATCTGGAGAGACTGGTGACATTCCATGGGTTTTGCGTGGCTCCACCGAAAATATTGCGCAAGCGAAGTCCATCTTGGCTCAAGCCATTGAACAAGCATCGAAGAACAACTTTGTTGGACATCTTACCCTTGTAGATCCTAGCTTGTATGGATCAATTGTTGGTAAGAATGGCAGCAAGGTTAACAGTATTCGTAAGGCCACTGGCTGCAACGTTACTGTTCCTCGTGGACAGGGAACTGATCCAATTGAGGTTGTTGGTAGTGAAGAAGGCATTGAGAAGGCTAAGGAGTTGATTCTTCAAGCTGTTGCTGAGGGAAAGAATAAACCTGTTCGTGGTGGTGATAGATATTAATTGCATATTAGATAAGGATGGATAGCACGATAAAGGGTGTGAATACGTGTGGATATTGGTGGTAGAGGTTTATTTATGGGAGATGCAGACAGTTGACACGTTTCATCATGAGAATTTTTAGGTAGAGGCATTTATCATGTTTTATGCGGAGCCAATGTTTCTTTTATGGGCGGTCTCTGGGTGCATTTGTGGGGTGATTGGGGCGGATGGAAAATGGAAAGTTAGTAAGAACATATAGGTTTCGTATCGTAAAAAGATATTGGTGGGAAAATCATGGGAGTTGGTGTTACTTGAATGCATTTGACTGAAAAGTATTTAATTCTGTTTTCTCGTGTGTCTGATTGTATGTGTATGTGACTGTGAAGACTAGATGTTTTGTGGAAATACCTGTTGACATGCCGGTAACAGTAGTCCTGCGTAAGCGCAATGAAGAAACTAGATGCCATGGACAGCATATTCGACTCTTTGTTGTCTATTATGTGTTTTGCCTCATATTGGTGGGTATATACCTATTTATCGAATTTTTTTGATTCTTTTTATCTAGGGAGAAAAGAAGGAAGTCGGGATAGGATGGAATGGGATGGATGTACGGGGTTGAGATGGTTCTGGTATGATATGGTAGGAGTATAGGTTGGATATATTGTAAATTGATGGGGATTAGGAGTAGGGTGGTTGACGTGAGGGGAGGAGGGTGAGGGGGAAGGGGAAGGGGAAGGGGGTGGTGAGAATGATAGAGAATAGGATCTAGACGAGGCTCGTGGTGTGATGGAGATGGGGATTAATATCGTGGATGGAGGAGTAGGGATCCAATAGTGCTAGGTGTATATTTGAGTTTTAGAATGCGATGTAGATGGGATAGAATGGAAGGGAATGGGATGATATGATAGTAAGGGGAGCTTGGGAAATGGAGAATAGGGAGGGGATAGAGGATTGAGAGGGAAGCGAGATTGAGTGATTATAGTGATGTGATTGATTACTTCAGCAGGTGAGATTCTATGGAGTGAGAGATGAGAAGGGATGGAATGGAATAGAAAATTAGATAATGAGAATAGGGGAAAAGGTCGTGAGTAATACGTAGGTAGGTATTAATAGGGGGATATAGAAGTAGAAGTAGAAATAAGCGATGAATAAATATATTTAGATACCTACCTACCTATCTACCTAGCTACGAAATATGAAATATGAGATATGAGATATGAGATATGGAAGAAAGGAGTAATAAATCAGAAAAAATAATAAAAGAGAAAAATGAAAAGAAAAATGTTGGAAAGGGTCGATGGGCAGGTGGGTAGGTGGGTGGTAAGAACTAACTATCTATCCATCTATCCATCTATTCATGAACATTGGCAATATCCACATTCTCATTCGCATTCTCATTCTCGTTCTCATTCGCATTAACACGAATACCCCCAAAGTCAAGAAAGAAAAAAAAAGAGAGAATCTCAAAACACCATTTCATCGAATCCCAAATACCAAATACCAAGAACCGAAATCTTACAAATAAGCTAAACAGATACAAACACAAAACACATTCCATGAATCCACTTCTTACCCCCTCCCCCCCGTCCTCTCCTCATCAAATAGAGACGCCATAGTGCTAATACCTACTAGGTAAAAGTGAAATTAACACTCTAATTACCTATATACACACCTACCTATATACCTAATTAACCCTCCAAGAGCAAGATCAAAACACACAGCTCCAAGTAAGTACCTTGGTAATTGTAAAGTATATCCTATCCATCCTTCACTCTCCTCACTCTTTTTGTTTATTAATTCGACGGTGTATGTGTATCAATCAGCGTATGGATAACATAAGTTCTGGATTCTGGATTCTGGGGTCTTGGTGTGGAGAGTAGCATGCATAGATAGGTAGGGTGATTAGTGCAACCGAGTTAGTGAATGAGATTCGACAAGATACGATACGGTAAATTGAACGCGTGGGGTTTTGACCGATTCGCTCATGTAGTGGGGGAGAGGGTAGATGGAAGGAAGAGGGGAACGGGCGTTGGGGGGGGTTATATAGACGTAATCAGAAAGTAATATGTGGATGAAAGTCTGAGAGATTAAAAATGCAGATACAGTTCACTTCGCGAATCACTGCATGACATCAAAGACATCAATATGTTATTATTATTTTGCATTGCTGATCGCATCATTGCTAATGCTATGCTACACTGTAACCATTACGCATAGCCAGCCGTAACATTATCTAAAAGTGTGATGAAACATCTCCCTCTAAACCGAGCCCATTCGCTCAACTCATGATCATGTAGATCATATTGTATGCAACCTTTATATTAACGCCGAGTAAATCAAAGATTGCCCAAGCCCAAACCGAAGTACCCAAGTACAAATCTTAGACCCTCTGTCGCCTACTTCGTAGAAAAAAGTAATTACAGAGAAGTTTGCTATTCTTTTCCATGCCGTGCACCAAAGAAACATCATATCGATTTTTGGAAAAATGAAATCTTTATGCAAAGGGTATCAGAAGTCATTAAGCCCTTTCCTGAGGCATCATCCAACGACCAGGTAGATTTTCGGGTATTACCCAAGAGATGAAGTATCCAGACGTTGATTGACTCTCATAAAAGTGAGCTCCTCATTATCACTTAGTACAAAGTGTAACCACCGTCAATGATGACGTTGGAGCCGGTCATGAATGCGGAAGCATCGGAGGCGAGGAAGACGGCGAGACCGTTAAGGTCATCAACGGCACCGAGGCGGTTTTGTGGGGTGAGGGATTTCCAGATGACCTTTTGAGCATCGAGGGCTGGTACGTTGTTGAGAGCGGTGTCCATGTAACCTGGGGAGATCATGTTGACACGAACGTTGTACTTGGCCCATTCAGCACCAAGGGACTTTCCGAGTTGAACGACACCAGCCTTGGAGGCGTTGTAGCAGGATTGTTCTTGTGGGTAGTTGACGATAGAGCCAGACATAGAGGCGACGAGAACAATGGATCCTGGCTTGCCAGCGGCCATCATAGCCTTTCCGACGGCTTGAGACATGAGGAACGAACCAGTAAGGTTGATATCGATAAGACGTCTGAACATGTTGTGGTCATAAGTCTCGGCGGGAATGTTGGAACTGAAAATTTTGTTAGTACAAAAGTTTGGCAGATTGGTCATGGTATGTACTTACTCGGCAATACCTGCAGAGTTGATGAGAACATCTGGAGCTCCATGCTCTGCGACAACACTGGCAACAGCAGACTCAATCGCATCGGCATCACGAACATCAACCTTGAAGAAGGAGATGGGGATCTTGTTTCCGGTCAATTCGTAAAGTTCGGCAGCTGAGGCATCACCCAACTCTTGGTTGGCATCGAAGATAACAAGAGCCTTGGCTCCAGCCTCGACGCATGCACGTGCCATGTGGTTTCCTAAGCCTCGAGCACCACTGTTTTAACTTTGTGTTAGTCCTAAATGTTCAGTTTTGAAACAAGATATTGCTTGAACTAAATCAACCCAAAACAACTAGTGTAGATGATAAGACCGATAAGGGTCAATCAAATCTCAACATGATTGTTGAGAATTGATTTTTTGTGCGAGCTAGAGATGTAGATGTAGATCTAGATCGCACACAAAATATATCTGGAATTAAAGAAAAGAAAAGAAAAGTAAGCTTACCCAGTGACCACAACAACTTTGCCCATCAAACTCATTTTTTGCATGGTAGGGGTCATGCCCTTGTATGCACTTTGTGTGAGGGGAGTGACAACGTCAACAGCCTCCTTTGCAGCTGCTGCAGCCAATGCGGCTTCCTCGACTGGAATTGTTACTCTTTCTGCTCCAGAACCTATGACATCCAGATGTCAGTCAAATACTGACAACCGGAGAATCTATTTGAAAGAAAATTGCTGAACGTCGGGGATCAAAACTACATGGAGTATTGAAACCTCCATGTAGCTTTGATATTAGGAATGATAGTTGAACTTACCAGGCTGGAACTTTGTAGCAGGAATCTCCTTCTCATGGATAGCCTCATAGTCATTGGCTTGTGGAGTGGTTGTGAAAGCTCGAACAGCTTGTCTGGAAATGATGGAAGGAGTGGTTCTGCGACCAGCCTTTGCGGCAGCCCGAATGAAGGAGGAACGAATAGCAGACATATTTGTATTTTTTGTTGACAATTAAAGTGACTTGAAAGACAATATGAAGTACGAAAGGATGATTGTCTCTTGAAGAAGAGTTTTTCGAAGTTGTGTATATGTAGAAGGAAGTATGGAAGTTTTGAAAAGTTGTTTCGAGAAGGAGCTCTATAATAAAGTAGAAAATCTTAGCGTATATTCTTACAAAACCAAGCTAGTAAAGCCGAGTGACCGAGACCCAAATTTATTATTCCATGACTGATAGAGAATGATGCAATGATTTGAGGAGTCAAGAGAGGGTGAAGAAGAGTGAATATTAGGTAGGTATTGACCAGCTGGCCGAATTCCCATTATTTTCTTTAAATTCACTCTTATCTTCCTCTCCTTGTCTTGCTTCTCTTCTCCCTGGTCTCAGTGTGGGGTGGGAAATGCAAAATCAGGAAATTCTTCAAATGAGAATATTGAACGAACCTTTGGAAAACAGATCTTTTTTATATTTAATAAGTCAAAAACAATTCTCAACTGTATGTATGCTGGAGTTTCAAAAGTCTGCTAACTTGTTAGGAAAAAAAGAACGTTGGAAGATTGCCCCTTTTGATATGCGAATCTGCAAGAACAATTGGGTGATTCACAGAATCCCCACAAGAGATATCTTTATCATTAAGGGTCCAAGTCTCAAAACAGAATTCGGAGTTCACAGATGAACACCAGAACTTGCTTATGCTGTAAGAAACTCGGACCGGAGATGTTTTTTGTTTTTCTCTTGACTAGTGAGATTGCAGAAGGGAAGAGAACATTGAAAGAAAATAATGCTGACTGTGTATGTAGGAATCCAGCTCTTGGTTTTCCTTTCAAAGATTTATCGATGTACGTGACGAACAAAAAACAGTGGTCTATATTTTGCAAAAAGTCGACGAAAGGATCTGTATGAAGATAAAGCGGAAATGCTGTCAGGCAAAACTAGTAGTGTAGAGAGGATTGGAAGAATGATGAGAACTTGAGTCTTCTGGAATGGAATCAAGGGGATATGAAAGGAAGATAAGATAAATGTTTGGAAGAGTCAAAGACCTTTTAAAGCAAAGCCAAAGACTATTTTTTCTCCTTCTATTTCTGCTTCTATTCTAATTCCGTCGGCGCCTCCCCGAAGCTTTCTTTCTCCCAAGCTTACAGATCAGGGTTCGACAGGGTAGCTTCCCTCCAAAGTCCGTGCTGATTTGCATAGCTTGTCCCACTCAAAACGCTATTGAAGTGCCCGGAACCAGGATTATAGTGCCGGGATATTTGCTAGAACATCAATGCAGAGAGGAATGCTTCCATGGTGGCGGCGGTGGGTGACCATCAGACTGGCTGGCATGTCCAGGATGCTGACTAGGTTGTGCAAGAGAAGGTTGGCATGGCGGTACATGATAAGTTTGAAAAGACGTGGGGGATCATTGACCGTTTGGAAGGATACTTGTCTCCGATACTCCCATAGTCCATACAAACCGTACAGATGGTGTGGGAAAGGATGAAGCGGTGTGCTTCATACGCAGATTGCCACAAGGTGCAGGCTACTACAAGGTACATGATTCTCGATTGCTGCAAACTGTATGCAAAATAATGGATAGATGAGATGTGGCGAGATCTTTGACAATTGGAGAAAGTATCTTTACAATCCTCTCTCTCTCTCTGTCTCCCCATTCATACTTTGATGGTATCAGTATGGGAGATTCGAAAAGCTTGTTTGTGGGTGTATTTGTTTCTCTTGATTGATGGTGTCTCATCAGAGTGGAAATTTGGACGAGGAGTAAGGACTTGGCTGTTCGAGCCAGAGATCCCAAAGATCCCCGCCTTTCCTCTATCTTACAAGGTGTATTAAGCCCCCTGCCGGTACCGAGCAACGAATGAAACATTTATTTATGGACCATATTGAGCATTGAGATTTGAGAAACTTCCCCCAAAAGTTTAATGTTTCTTCTAGAAGCCATCTGAGGGCCACGTTTATTTTCTAGATGGGAAATAATATTTTGAACAAGCAATCACAACAGAAACTAGTGGAGCTTATTAGTTGGACAAGTCACATATCTGATGCGATTCCGAATTTAAGACTACTATTAAGACTACTGTTGAGAGTCGAGACATCCAAAACACGGATTGACAATGCCCAGTCTTTTTTGGATCCATAATACGAAGGGACGAAGGAAATAGTTTGAATTGTGGACTGGCTCAACTGGGTAAAACTGGAGGCAGTGATGCCATACTGATGATTGATGGATACCAAATCATTTTTTGATCTTACAAGTTACAACAACCCATAATTTTGCCACCCGCTACAAACTTATTTCATTCGTCAATCCTTAGAATTCATGATGAAATTCTCGAAGATCAAACCACTTTTTTTTTTTTATAAGGATTTGAAGGGTATTTGACCCAATAAATCTCAGTCCCCTATTTTGCTTAACTTACCCACACTTTTCATATAATTTAATTTTCCCACACTCTACAGAGGAAACCTTTTTTTTTTTCATTCAATAACCCGGTTGCGGAGTAGTATTGGGAGCAGGTACCTCCTAGGTAGCGGTGTGAGCTGGAATGAGAGTCAGACGTCGATTTCCGTCCGAATCCTGAACCATATCCGTGGAAGCTTTGGTAGGAGAATGGCTTGATACAACTTACAAGCTTGAGAGAAAGGTCATCTGATGGAAATTTTTAATATTACCTAGGTACCTATGGAAAGGTTAAAATCAATTTACGAGATCTGTTTCGCTTTTTGGGGGGGGATTCTTTGCGTTTTCGATTCATGTTCAGGGGTTAGGTAGCGATGAGGGTTTGAAGAGTTGATTGGTTGATAGTTAAGGAAAGGTAGGTCGGCAGGTAGATGTGTATGTATGTGTGTGAGTGTGTATGTGTATATGTACAGCACAGGTAAGGAAGGTAAAGTGAGGTAATAAACAATAAATACAATGAAATCTTCTCTAATGGCGTTTTTTTGAATAATGTACGTAGTATTCTGGTTAGCTAGCTTAGCTCCTTGGTATCTCTTGAAGAAAGAGAAGAAGAAGATGGTTATAGCCTTACCCGTCTGTATTCTCTCGATATCATTCTACTCCGTATTGAGGAACTTAATCGTCTAACTTAACGTACTGAACTACTGAGTACCTTACCTCGGAGTAAATACCTAGATTCTACTTACTCTGTAGATACTCTGTAGATACTCTGTAGATACTCTGTAGATACTCTGTACTACATACTACATACTACATACTACATACTCTTATTCCTCATCTATTAATAGTGATCTTCTAGAAGGGAAAGAAATGCTTATTATATGACTTTAGCCAGTCATTACCGTGCGTGGGTCAGGGTCTTTCTTTATTAGGTAGGTAGGCCGGGTGGTAATCTATTTGTACTCTTGTACCTTTTTCTTGGGGGAATTATTGTTATTATACCTGGTAACTCGAATCAAATCTATATTCATCTACGATATCTAGCTCGGCGTCATTTATGAAATATTATTCATTGCCTACCTAGGTACTCGTAGGTACATAGGTAGATATGTAATATATATATATATATATATATATGATCTATTACCTACCCATTTATCTGGGAATTTTATGGAGTGGTGATGACATTCTTATGGAGTTACTACGTAGGTAGGTATTGAGTGGGAGGTGATGATGATACTGATGATGATAATGATGATGATAATGATGATGATAATGATGATGATAATGATGATGATAATGATGATGAAAGGAAGGAAAAGAAAAAGGAAAAGAAAAGGAAAAGGAAAAGGAAAAAGCCCCTAAATGACTCGCATCATCGGTGCCACGGGTGGAAGTCTGGATGAACAGTGCCTAAATGAAAAAGAAAAAAAAAAAACTTTTTTTCTTCTTTTTGTGGAGAGAGTGAGAGTGAGAGGGAAGATAGAGGAAAAGAAAAAAAAAAGAAAAAAAACTTTCTTTCGTCATCTTATCTCTTTTTCTCTCTCTACACTTCTTTTGTTTCTTCATTTCATGTATTCTAGTATTCATGTATTCTTGATCGATTCAATTTACAGCATGGTTGTTTCTTCTGGATGATATATCTTTCTATCCTATCTATTACTACTCATCATTTATATTGTTCTTTCAAGGAATCAATCTATGTTTCTCTCATCACCAATTTGATATCGTCGTAAAGCTATGAAATCTTACGAATATACGATAGAGATAAAGATGATGAACACATAAGGTGTTCCTCCGCAATGGGCGGGAATGAGATTAACTGCTGGTACGAGTTCATTCAATTGAGCCCAGTCCCATCCAGTCCAGTCCAGTCCAGTCCGATTCGCACCAGCGCTCACAGCTACGAACGAGATGCATGCAGCACGCAGCACGCAGCACGCAGCCCTACTGTACTACTACCCGATTCACGAAACTAAATGGTAAGGAAAGAATGAACAGCAAGCTGGAACTTTGGCAGTGAAGTGCAGTGCAGTGCATTACATTGTTCGTTATCGGCGTTTGTCGATGATGCAACTACTGCAACTGCAATCGATGCTGCAGTTGTCATTTTATTCCCTCATAGAATCTATCTATTCATCTGACAGCGACAACTGCATCTGCAACCAACAAACGTCTATACACAGACAGGTACGTGTGCCATACTTTCGAACCTCAAGCTTGTTATCTCGATTCGAGCCTCAGCATATCAAAGCCACAAACACATGTGGCAATTACGAACTCCGAATTCACGAATTTACACCGAATTTACAACCAGCGCGTCCACAGCCGATTCAAGCTTTTACACACACATCCATCCATGCACACAAAATCTGACATGGAAAATATCTTTCTGCTGATATGGTAATCACATATTCGATTTCGATGTTCGATTCCCATCTCAGCATAGGAAATTTCCTGCAAAGAATCATACACCCGATTCCACATTTGGGCTCGAGTAGTAGTGTAGTGTTAAAACACTGTTCAAGGTATGCTGCATAGCCGTGGACATTTCTCTGGCGATGCAGAAAGAAGGTTGCATGCATGTGTCAATCACACGTGTAAAATCTACAGCTCATTTTGCTTTTGAAAATTGTTTGATGGGGAAGGAGAGGAAGAGGGTGTTTGTTGAGAAGGATTCTCTTCACCCCCACCTTTCATTTTTTTTTTTTTTCAACTTTTTTTTTTCCTTGCACTTTGTTAATTCCTTTCTCAGGAACCAGTGGTTCATTTTCTAGCTAGTAAGAACAAGTAATTGATGAGGAAGGAGGGGCAAGGGACCCGACTTCCACATCTAGATGCTCAGATTGCTAGTTTAGTGCAAACTTTATTTCTTCACCACGGGACAGGTGAAATTGGTTCGATTCTCAAAGGCTTATATGATGAATATCCAGATAGGGACAGCTTATGTTGGGTTTCAAAAAGGAACTTGATGTGTGATGTGAACTGGACGAATATTTTAGTAGATGCTTCGTGTTTTCTGAAAGTCTTTGAGATGAGAATTTTTTTCTACAAGGAGGGTGGGGTATGAGGTGTTGATTAATGATGTTGGCTTTTGGGGAGCATAATTGTTCGTTCTCGTGCGAGTTTCATGGGGGATGAGATGCTTATTCCTTCGCCGGTATTTTGATATTGTCTATTGTTGCTTGAAAGGTACCTGATGCTTGGTCTTTTGCTCGATTAGACAAACGCCGTTTAGATACTAGGTACTGGTCATTCCTTAATCTACCTACCTCCGCATAGCACATAATATTTAATTACAATACAAATCTTATACATGCCACCCCACACAAACCATTGATCTTATCATGCATGCGTGAACTCAACATCTAACCACTAAACATCCCACAATACATAATCGCTTGTAGTTAATGATACACATCACATACTTATCTATACCTTCCCAGCATACTAAATTCCTATACATATCATATCATATCATATATTACCTACATTCCATGCATACATTAGCACATACCATTTAGGCACTCCTAGCCTTCCACTCTGTTACGCATAAATCCGCATCTAAGAGATTCTGGAGTTTGCATCTTGTGTTATAAATGTATCCTTACTATACTTACTATACTTACTATACTTACTATACTTACTATACTTACTATACTTACTATACTTACTATACTTACTATATATTCGCTTTACTCTCTTGGAGATAGATGTATGTATAATTTGATATGATATGATATGACAAAATTGGGATGACGATTTGCGATTTGTTTATTGGGGTTGATGATTTGGATGGTGTATGCGGTTTTTGGAGGAAGGGTGTGATTTTGTTTGTGGAGTTGGGAGGTTGGGGTGTGGGTGAGTGAGTGAGTGGTGTTAAGAGGTTGGGCGGGGGGTAGCGGTGGATGGTGTTGGTAGGGAGGGTTGGGAGTGGTACGAAATGTAATTTGGATAGAGAGGGGTGGCGGGTGGGGTTTGGGAGTTGATAGGGATGCGAATGTGGTTTGTGAGTGGATGCGGATGTGGGTATGGATTTAAGGGAGGGGGAGGAGGAGAGGGAGAGGGATGGTCTGGCGATTGTGCTGCATGGCTATTATAGGATGGCTTTGGGAGTAGAGAGGAGAGCAGAAGAGAGAGTTGCAGCGGGATTTGGAGATGAGAGGTTGCGTGGGGGAGAAGAGAGATAGGGGTAAGGGGGTAAGGTGGTCTTTTGTAGGGGGGGGGGGGGGGGTGGAGGTGGTGAGTTGGGTTATAGTCGGGTTTTAGGAACTGTGGGGTTATCTCCTCGTACTCTCTCTCTCTCTTTCTTGGTTCCATTCACCATCCCTGCATAGCCTTCCTCATTGATCTGTATCTCGATCCACTTGGTTTTTTTTATTGGTTTTTTTTAAAGAGAAGGGGGGAAGGAGGGGAAGGAGGGGAAGGAGGGGATCTCGTTGGAGTGGTATTTAAGACACCTGTGGACCTGTATCGATACTTAAATCTGGGATAGTATAGAGACAGGACTTCCAACGAATGCATGGCTTGTGGGAACTGGTGGGACCAGGTATTGTGGCTGCTGTTGCTTTCGGCTGTTTGATGGGTTTTAGCGGGAAGAAACTTGTGTTTTTTTTTTTCTTTTGTTTTTTTTTGGCGGCGGGTTTGGGGGAGGGATTTGGAGATGAGAGACATGTTATGGGAAGATGTGAAAGATTAAAATGAGAGTGTGGGGTCAGAAAAAATGACAACGCGAATTTTCAACGAAAATTTAAAATCGTGATTGAATCCTCGCCGCAGTCTTGCTTATTTATCGATGTTATACTTATATTTCCATTGCCCTTCCATAAAATCAAGAAATTGATTGAGCATTATATCGTGTCCGCATGGAAACTTCTAGAAAATCTTAGGCGATATTCTACTTGCCAGATTTTCAAAGAGGGAATCTGTGTGTTTTAAGGAGATCGATATCTGCGAGTCTGTGAGATAGGTATACTATGTTCCTCCTATTCACTGTTTCTTTCTTTCTCTTTCTCTTTCTTCTCCGCTTTCCATCCACCTTCCAAGATTCTGTTATCGCATTATTTAAAGATCTACTTCTTCTACCAAACAGAGATTGTATGAGAAAAATGCAGATCGTTGAAGAGACTTGTCAGGGTTAGAGAGTAAATTCTTGGGTTCTTGGGTTCGTGGTAGCTGGGGAGAAAGCACAGTGTGAATTTACATATGATTCTTTGGGGTGTTTTTAGATGGGAGGATTGGACTTGTTCGTATCATTTTTGTTGTTTGTTGTTGGGTTTTGTTGAGTTTTATGGCTTATGCTGGTTGTGGCCTCTTATACCTTGCGTTTAGAATTGGGGGATGAAGGTATTGGGTTTGGATAAGATATCGTGGAGTAGAATTTGTCTAGGTGATTTGGGCACCTAGTCAGGGTATGCAGTAATATGGAAATTGTTTATTTGAGGAGATGAAGGGATGAGAGGATGAGAGGACGCTTATAATGACCAGGTGGGAAGATTCGAGATGAGGGAGGGGAGGGGAATAAACTGGGACGCTGCGAGGTTAGGACGCTTGATGTGCATGGGTGAGTGAATCAGCAGTGAGAAGTATGCAATGGTAGAAGCTTTGCGGGAGAGGGAGGGGAGCAGAGGAGATGATGATTCGTCCAGAGAAGAAATCAGGGAAGGACGTTTCGATATAATGATGACGGAATGTGTAACAGTATGTTGGAAGAGGAGAAAGGTGAATACTCCAGACTTCTCATCTTGCTAAGTAGTTCACAGGAACTTCCATATTGTAGCCGGCAAGAAACAATTCAGAGGTAGTTCAAGGCTCTAGGAGAAATAAAAGAAGCAAGTTCGACTCGTCTGGGGATTACATCTAAATCTAGTGGCCATTTGATCATCGAGGTACAGAGGAATCCGACAAAACGATCTATATGATTGTGCTCATCTTCTTTTTTGGACTTCGCTTGGTTTTTTGTTGTGCTTTGAGCATGGGGAGTTTTCATTGTTGTTAAGTAACCATGGTTGTGCTTTATCCGAGATCATGAATATTAGATCTTTCAGTTTTCAAGAATTGTATGCGAAATTCATTGGTATGGCATTGATCCTGCCAATAGACTAGCTATCTGGAATTGCTCTGCTACGCTTCCTAATCGTCGCTTTCACTTGTATGGTATTCTCTCAAGCGTGAAGAGCAGTATCCATCATATCTCTCTCTTATATAGACCTGGGAATGGAAAACTCGAGGGTCTTAGTCTTAGATATCATCCTTCATTCTGAGCCCGTACATATAGGGACGTGTAATTGCAAACGGTGAATCAAGATATCTACTAATAATAAGTATGCAGTCTCTCTGTAAATCCAGGAAATGGCGTATGAGCCAAAGACAAGGTAAACGCGGTGTTTTTAATAGGGAGTACTGTACTGTGCTATCAAACCTCAACTTTTAGATATATAAATCAAGCGTCTCAAGCACTTGACAGAGTATAGCAACGATTATAACGAGGTCAAATTCATCGAAATGTGGCGTGAGCTAGAATGGGATCTATTGTTAGTACTTCGCTGATTGTTTGTCCTGCGTCAGGTATGCCGGTAGGAAATGTGTCAATTTTTTATATCGTTCTTCACTTTTTCGCGGGGTCTCTTACTGCCTTTGATGATGGTTACTGTTATTAATTCATTAATGATTGTTATTGATATCAAACTTAGAAACATTTTTTTCTCAAAACGAGACGGGCCCTCCCCCCCTGAGGATAAAAAGTTAGCTTAGCTTCGAACCCTTATATCTTTCTTGATACCCACTTTCTCTGCGCTGGAGTATTTGAAAGACCTGATTCTCCTAGTCGGGCTGGGTGCTTCAGATTGTTTGAGGTTGTATAGACTTCTTCTTCTCCGTCCGGGAGATCATGCGGTCTGATATGATGCCAGCCATAATTTTATTGTCGTTCTAAGCAATGATTCAGTTGCTGCCATGAGCTTAACATGTAATCGCATTATCCCATAGTCATGCTTGTGATGACATCCCTCCTATATCTCAATCCTGATCAGCCACCTAGAATCATTTCCAACCAAGTCTAAGATGCTGGCTGTGTCAAGGTACCCATCTTGGTCCCTCTGTACGGAATGGATCTTGTTGATTTTCGCTTCTCATGTCTAGTTTCTATGAACTTCGCAAGTGATATTATACATAGCTCTGGGAATTGGATGTGGATAATACTGGTGATTATCTTGGGGAAGGGTGTTTGAATGAGGTGAATCTAGCTGATATTGGTGGGATACGAGGCATATTTAGAGAGGGTTCAAGGAGGGGGAGAACTGGAAATGATATCATTCAAGGCTTAGCGCAGATTTGAATATGAAGATGCGATACGGTGGTGAATATTAGCTGCTAGGGGCCGAGAGTATTGGCTATATAGTTCTCAATCCTGTGAGCATATGCACCTACAACGCCGAGCGAGCTGTCAGTTTTGACTTGATCAAGTCCGCTCCCCAACTTCGCGATCCGTCATCTAATAAGCTTTGTGATCGGGTGGAATATTCGGGGGATTTGACGTGTTACTTCTACTGGTTCCTTGTGTAAAGTTTTTGGGGTTTTAGAATGATTTTCGCCACTTCCCCAATTGCTGTTACTTACTCATTCAATTTTGTTGATATACTATCAGATCGGAGAGAAATGATCCAGAGAAATATACCTACCTATCGATATAAGACCGCGAAACTTGATCAAAACCCTGGTGACAAATACATCTAGATTCCTACATAGGCTCCAACGGAACTCCCAAGGCTCTAGTATTGAAGAATATTCGAAAGAACTCCTAGATGGCTTGGCAGCCATAGTAGCCGGTACAATGGGCGTATATATAGCCAAGAACAGAAAATCGAAAGAGCTGCGGACTTGATATAGTGGGCATGGTGAATGCAAGCAGAGATAGGTTGATGATGTGAATAGGGCAGCTGTAATAAAAAGAGGAAAAAGAAAGCGAAGTTACAGTATGAGATCTCATGCAGCGGTAGTGAATCCTTCATTTTCCGCATTTAGGAACCTTGAATCTTTTATCATCCCTCAAGAGGACGTATCATAGACAGAATTGCGAGGTGGCGACAAAAGTACAGCAGTTGACAGCTCATTTCATGTCTCACTTTCAAGTATCTAACTTGCAAGTAAAGGATTGAGCTCACAGATGACTTCTGAGCGTTCGGGGGCTGAAGAGTGTCATGGTCTCGTCTAATACCTTGCTATATTTTCATCTACGACAGTATCCATTTCAGATAACAACAATATCATCAAATCTGTTCGATACTTGAGACAAGACTGATAGTTAAAGAAACTGATAATTAAAGGCACTGGTAAATTCAAAGGTAGCTTAAGGAAGTCATCATCGAAGGGTCTATCGAAGTATTGTTCAATTACTTGATAGGAACGAGCACCCTACACCAGGATGATCTCTAAAATAGTGCGTAGAGGAATTTCCATTTGTGCGAAAAGAAAAGTTATATACTCAGACCGGAAGAAGATAAAAAACGATGATTGGTCATCAAGAACACAAAAATGAAGTCAACCTTGGTGTATGTAAAGTTCTACGATGCCTCATCGAAAATGGGCAGAAATCAACTTAGACTCAGGATTTGGTCATAAGATGGGGCTTAAACGTCCTTGTGAGGCTTGAGCTACTATGAAAAGAACTACCGAGAATAAGAAATTTGTATTCTCCTGCCATCAATAAAATTCACGGTCTGCCGCTAGCTTCTCTTCTTGACATTTTCCGATTAACCTACTTGGGACGTCCGATAACTTAGACTATAGCTCATTCACGGGGGAGTTTTCGTTTTTGGATTCATTTGGATTGTTATTAGATTCATTGAAGTGATCTAACGACTTTAGGGTTGAAAGAATCTCAACTACCGAATTTTGCACCAGGCCGCCTGGTTAGGAGATAGATACTCTGAATCTACTCATAGTGTCAATACACTGCATGAAGCTCGATGATATTGATTATTTGGATTGGCATATCCATGTCCCTGACTAACACAGTTATTTGTTCTTTGTATGGATATATATATCATTTCCCAAATCGCCAATTTTTATAAATAGAACTTCTGAAATGGGAGGGAATCAATAAAGTAGCTGATGCCAGTTAGAATTGACTCACAGAAACCATGAGAATGCACTGTGTTGAGCCTCTTAGCATAGTTCGCGAAGACAATAATCTCATCAAACACGAGTGCAATTATGCTTGAAAAGGTTTGAGTAAAGTCAGGTTTTATCAAGTCAAGATGGTAGCCCATCCAGGTTCATACCTTCTTTTTTCAAAGGCAAATCGAATGCTTAATGAGAGGAGGGTTTATTGCTTGAATACTATCCTGTGTATGAATAGATTGCTGACATAAAGAAAATTTACCTGTTGTCATAACTAGTGTAATCATTGTCCCAATAGCCGTCGCTGTAATCAGATGGCGAGAAGTTTCTTTTCCTGTGAATCTAACCGGGGCAATTCAATCATCATGTATTGGAGGAATACGTGATATTAATACACTTTGGTACACTATGGCAGGTGGGTATGCTAAATTTCAGTCATCAAGCCTGGAATCATTTCCTCTCTAACCCCTAATGAATGCGATTTGCACAGACTCATCAACGAGATGAGACCTGAGGAATCGGGGATGTGAAATCTGTATAAACATATCTCACAGATATTCCGCAACTGTCATCCTGGAAACTCTCGAGGAACTCGAGGATATATTACCAATCACGTATGGTTCAGATACCAAGTTTGATTCACAGGATTACCTAACTTATGATAATTCAATCGGACTGAGAATTTCATTGTATGACCAGACTTTCCCCTTTCAGATATTCACTGTGATGATTCATGAACGCTCAACTCTTCCCACTTCAGCGCGATACAATAGAGAACTTAGCTTCTATATAACAATTTGCAGAGATCTCTAGAATCCAACCCAGATAGAAGCAAGAATGCAAGAGATGGGGCGGGAACGTGCTTCTTGATTTTTTTCATGAGCGTTTCTATGTCAAACTTTGAAGCGACGAGTTTGTGAATACTTTGATCCTGGCTCGAACTGTTACTTTGCTCTACTACATTTGTTGTCATTGCACTTAATCAACACCACCTGACAGGCTTATCAATTTCTCTAATAGTTCAGTATCAGCTATAGATTTAATATCATAATTCGCTATGATTTACCGACCAAAAGCACAAGCAGCATCTTGCCATATTGGCAGGCCTGCCAAATAATTCTCTCCCACCACACATAGATCGAGTCCTTAGAGCTCACTATCTTGATTTCAATCCAATCACGCAAAGGTCCATCCTTATAAAGACAGGTGGTGAAGGAAGTGAGCACGCCACCTAATGTGCCTTATCTTGAAAGAGTTTAGCTTTTACTTCTTCGCGGTTCTGTTGGTGAGGGGTAAGTATAGTAAATACAGGTGAATAATGAGACCGAGAGCTTTCCATAGTATATGTGCATCACTATGAACCAATGTTCAGGAAGATGATAGGATAGGGAATGGGTGAATAGCCCGACTTCAACCTTTGATGCTTGTAGGATTTGAGCATAAATAGCCCGAAAGTACCAAAAAAGATGAGCAAAAGACCAAGTCTAAAAATATACCTCAGCTTCCAAGGGTCAGCAAACGACGATGTACAGATATGCAGCTTCCTATCAAAGGATCATAGCTGAATGTATTATCCAGAGAAGGACATTGAGGCAGATTCCCGAGACTTATCTCACACCATGTTACCATTGTCATCTCTTCATTTCTTTACTGTCAATCTAGTCAACCATATTGTTATTCACTAAACCCAAGATACCTTCAAATTCCATCGAGTAATCGCCAGTTCCCCGCAAACCTCCAAGTTTGCAGACACAAATGCCGCGAAACTACACCCTTTCAGGTCTCTGTTGTCGAATGGGCAAACCTAAAGATCAACATAGGATTCTATCAAGTGAAATTTATATAGATAACAAACCACAAAATCAACAACTCAAAAATCCAACTAGCCCCCTTCCTCCTCATCCTCATGTCTCGAATGAATCACGAAGACCCCGTAAAATCCCCAACTAAACAAGCGAGCTCGAGAAAATACCGCGTCCAAAACCGATCCACTCAGTATAAATATCTCTCTTGTGTACAAAATCAAACTCTCATCCACCTCCACAACGTCAGGAGAAGATCCTCAAAAAGTAGTACACCAAGCGCACCCGTAAAGATTTCCCGAGTAGGCGATACGAATCCACGAGCTTGGAATAAATACCATTGCCCTGCCCCTGATAAAGCCATGTAGTTGCCATTCTATCTATCTAGCTGTCAATTATCCATCACTGTCATTACTATCACTACTTCCATAGCACTGCCAAAAATCTCAAAGCGCTATCATTCATCATCATCATCATCCTCATCATCATCATCATCATCATCATCATCCAACCATCCTTCCCGTTCTCCATCGTCAAACTAAAACCTCACTGCTACCGAGATTCCCCTTTTACACCACACTCAAAACTCACATCAAATCCGCACACCAATTTGTACACATACATACATACACTTACTCATCGACCCGCACATCGCACATGGTCCGTCCTCCCAAACGATTGAAGTCTTTTGATGGGTTGTTATTCTGTGAGATGTACTCTTATATATCAATAAAACTATGAAATCATACAGATAGAAGGAAATAAAGAAGCGGGCAGAGGGGAGAAATGCATCGCCCTATCCAGTAGCCATCCCAGAGCCCTAGTAAATGATATGACATACTTCCTCCTTCCTCCTTCCACTTTCTCCCCCCTTATAGTACCGCAAAAACTTGATATTCACCCTTCCTCGTAATACTGCACATCCCAACTCCCAAACTCCCTATACAAGTCCATACCCCATACCCCATACCCCAAACCCCAAACCCATTCCTCATCCCCCCAAAGCCCACCTCCAAAAAGCCCACTTCCCAACCAACCAACCAACCAACCCACGCATCGCCACACCAAGCCCTGTTAAGTTCAAAGAAACTTTGTTTCCACACCTGACTCTCTACAAACAGCACAAGATAGAGTTATATAACAAGGTAAGGAAAAGGAATCAGGAGAAAGGATGAGGGGTTTATGGACAGATCTTTCGATGAGTTGAATTTCGAGGAAGATAGTGAATGATGAACACATAGTATAGAGTCTGTGAATTATTAATTGTACTCAAGATCAAGTTGGAATCATAATTTCACCACCGTAGGTAATCACCACCAAGATACAGAATTCACTTGAGCTTGGAAATGGAAAGAACTCACAAACCTACCACCTACTGACCTTCAACTCCACCTCCCGACCTCATATGTTCACATGTCAATAACCCACAAAAGATCATGTAATTACCACTTTTTAATTCATATTTCGCAAACCCCAATCCAAACTAACCGTTTCACCCTAGAAAAGCTCTTCCCCAATTCATCTCTTCAATCCTATATTCACATTCGAATTTCCTACTCATAATTCTGCTCATCACTATGTACCAAGGGATTTCCTTCGCCGTGCTCTTTGTTTCGCAAATTTTTCACCCGCATCCTAAAGCCTGAGCCCAAGCTCTATCCACAACCATGTACTTCCCAAAAGTACAAGAAAAACAGGAGAAATGAAAAAAGTCAAAGAATATAGAAATGGACTCGCTAGCAAAACAGATAGATATAGAGATGAGTATAAAAACCCCTAAGAAATGCAAATGAAACCTCCGAGAACTCCCATAATTTAGAATATGAAATAAGGATATGCCAGAAACGAATCAAGAGTATTGTCCCGGCCGTCGAGGTTAAAAGCGTGTTAAAATGCGAAGTTGAGTAGGAAATGACTCTCGCCCGTGTTCCATTGACAAAACTTACTCCCTCATCTTGACATAATTCGAGGGGAAGATACCTGATCGTCCGTTGAGGGTACCAGTCCTATTCAAACATCAAATTAGCCTTAACTGTCCATTTCTTCACCCTGGAGTCCCAGAAACCGTTTCTAGAGTAAAAGAAAAACGTAAACATACCACCAATCCTCAGTACTCTCAGTCTTCTTTGTTACCGTAATAACATCCCCCTTCTTGAAACCCAAATCTCCTGGCTGATCTGCATCAAATGTGAATTGCGCAACCGCCTCATTGCTTCTCAAACTAGCTGTCTTTGGTTGAAATTTCGGTTTCGGCGCGGCAGGTCTACCTGGTCCTGGTTTTCCACTACCACCAAATTGACTTGGAGGTGCACGGGGACTATCAGAATACACATAATCATCATCAAATCCGCTACCGGATCTAGCCCGGCTTCCATTGGTTGGTCTGTCGTATATATCATCGGCCCATGTACTTGCTCTTTGAGGACGATTTGGATTGACATAATCGTCACTATGTCCTAAACTTGCGCCTCGATCTCTCTGTGTACCTTCTCCATATGCACTTCCTCTCCTACCTTCCCAAACTACATCATCGTGACGTTCGTCATAAACAGGGCTATCGTTATAAATCCCATCATCGGGGTTCTGACCCGCGAAAGCTCTCGAATTCAAAACATTCATAAGAGGTTGTGCTGCTGGTGGTGCTCGAACTGCGCCTCCAAGTAATTCAGCGGCTGTGAATCTTCTTCCATATAGTTTCTCATTCGCATCTCTACGCTCGATAATTGCACTTCCCTCGAGACTGACACCGGCAAAGAGTCCCTTTGTCTTGGAATAACTGAAAACACCAGCTACACCCTTCATACTGGCAGCTCCGGCTGCCTCGGCATTTCGTCCTATTGGTCCAGCGGCAATACTGACATTTCCACCCAATGTAAGAGAACCGGCTTGAGAGAAGGTGCGCACGGCTGCAGCATCATTGAGAATGAAAACGAAATCTGTAAGCTCGAAACCGATTTGTCCACCCACTCCGCCGCCACCGATACCAATTGCTGAGGGTGCGGACCAAGAACCATCGGAAAGACGAGCTATAACGACACCATTACCGTAACGACCGGAACCGATAAAACCAGCCTTAAGAACTGTCACGATTGCGAGGCCCTAGTTTGGAGAAAGATGTTAGTGATAGGCTCGGAAATTTGGTGGCTGGGAAGGCATATATTGGAGGGAGAATAAACCTTTGCTTGCGCGAGAACATGTGGTGGAATAATCTTATCTGGTCCGAAAGCTTGTCGTGGATCAATAAATGAGGACAAAATCTTTCCACACTTTTTGCATTCCGCTGGTAAAAGAATAGATGTCAGCTTGTATGTTCTACCTGCAATTGAATGATCTTATATCGGTCGATTAACGAGATGTAATAACTTACACGCCATAGACGAAGGAAGCGGATTATTGATTCCTAAAGGCATATTGAAGAATTATACCTATGCAAGGTAGATCTTTGAACGATAGTTGTAATGAATTTTGCGTAAAGCTATTCTGTCGGTTCGTCTGTCTAGATAGGTATGTAGGTATGTAGGTTTGTAGGTATGTGGGTATGTATGTATCTCCTTGCGTTCGCGAACCAGGAATTAAGTGTGGGATGTTCGGTGACAAAGTGTGGGGTGTTTTACTATCGCCTTATCCTGTAAGTATGAAATCACTCCAAACTCCAAGTATGTTTTGATTAAGAATTAGGAGTAAATGAAGATATGTATTCCTATATCTGATCTGGCGAGTTCTCAGAAATCGAATTCAAAAATTCCGAAGAGTCCGAACCAGGTTCTAAACTTCAATCTTTGTATGCAGGCGAAAATAATCAGACCAGAGCCGTTGACGTCGTGGAATAATTCTAAGCTTGTGCGCAATGAATTGAACTAACAGTTCGTACTCAATAAATGATGAATGATCACCTGTCGGACGGAATGAGAGCCGAGCTTGTGGCTGTGTCAAATCAGCCTCAGCCTTGGACCTTTTTGGGTTAATCACAAATGAACATGGTTGCGACAAGATTATCTAGGATACACTCATTATGTTTCATGAATTGCACGAATTAACTCACTCAAGTAAATTTCACTTCCCAAAACTAAATAACTTGTCACACGAGGATTGATCGCACTCTATAATCAATAAACCACGAATAACCAACTGGGGTATCAACTCTTGCAGACAAAGAAAGCCATCCGTCTTCCCATCCACTCGAACCCACGAGATTTGAAACACAGACATCATAGTCTCAGAACCTCACCTCTTCACCTGCGCTACCTAATACTTTCTTACCTTCACAAACACAAATCTACCATTCAAAATGTCGGATGCATACGAGCGCGAACGTCAAAACAATTCTCGTCTCAATGAACTATCAGCAAAAGTGTCGGCATTGAGAGGCGTTACGGTGGATATATATGATAATGCTAGAGCGCAAGATGTTATTGATAATACTGTATGTATTCCATTCACTTCTCATTCTATCCTGCCCCTCCTTGCCTTTTACCGCCCACATAGCCAACAAACAAATGTTAATCTATCCCACGAATAGTCTGATACCTTCTCCAGCATGTCTTCCTCCCTCAAAGGATCCGCTTCGCGTCTAGGCCGTATGGCTTCCTCCGGAAATAAGGTCGCTATAATGAAACTCAGCGGAATGATTATTGGGTGCGTGATGATTTTGTGGTTCTTATGGGGACTGTTTGTTTAAACGAGGGATCGGAAGCTTTACATGATGGAAAAGGGGAGATGGAAGATCAAACCTGGAAGGCATAGGCAAGGTCAATTTTTGAACTTGTGAGATGCAGCGCAAGAATGACAACGTATCTGAAATTGAGCGTCCAAATTCAATAGCGCTTGAGAAGAGAAACGGGAATGAAGGGAAGAAACAGAGACTGAGACAGAGCACGGAAGGAAGGCATTGTATTATATGTATGGGCAGGACATTGGCAGATATATTAAACTGTGGCTGTGGCATTGTAATGGGCGTTATTGGTTGCATATACTATGACGGTTGACCGGGTCAGGATACATGGCGATATTTCGTAGCATGGTTGGTTGTTGCTTTCAGGGGTGAGATGAATATACGCGAGAATTGTATAGAAACGCTTCAAACTTAAATTGCGCCTTGAATTATCTGTCATTTATAGGATATCTATGTTCATGTCATTTTCCATCCATCCATCCATGTTCATATATCCCGCAAACTTAGCCCTCATTTCCCACTTCACGTCGTACTATATCCATGCAGTATCCTCACCTTACTCCCATACATTAGAGAATAAATCCTCACCACCCGATGAGAACCCTCCAGCAGGCTTCCCAGCTCCAGAAGTTGCATTCGAAGCCGGCGCAGGGGCCGCACTACTCCAACCTCCAAAATCATCATCTGCTGTCACCTTTGGAGCACTAGCCATAGTATTAAAGCTACCTCCAGTACCTGGTACTATACTTTGACTCGATAGACCTCCCCAGCTACCGAAATCCCCAGCGTTAGTTTGAGGTGGGGCAGCTTTGGTGAGCGATGGACTAGTTTTGGCAGAACTACCCCAAGCATCACTTGAACCCCATGCGTCAGTGTTGCCCCAAGCGCTGCTCATAGCAGGTGCTGCTGGCGGAGATTTTTGTGTAGTTGCCGTAGGGCTTGAAAGGTTGAAGACTGATGATTGAGCAGGTGGCGAAGCGAGTGTTTGTTTAGGTGGTGAAACGTTCTGTACAGCAGGAGTGGAGAAGTCGAATAGATCTCCTAACGAGGAACTTGCATTTGTGGACTGCGGAGCTGGTGATTGTCCTGGCGCCGAGTCAAAGGCCCCAAACCCGCTTGTGGAGCTGAACGTACGAGATACTTGAGAAGGCGCAGCGGCTGCTTTTGGCTTTGAATCAAAGAATCCGCCGCCACTAAGGGGTGGAGTAGAAATTTGAGCCCCGGAACCTGTAGATCGGTGGCTGGAGAGGTTACCCAAGTTGGAGAAAGCTGATGTCTTAGCTGGAGGAGATGTTGTATTTGAGAAACTTAAGCTGCTGAATGCATCATTCATACCTCCAAATGTAGAACGCTGTGGCGATTGTTGGGGTGCCGCTTGCATACCACCAAAAGATCCAGACGATGCATGTGAAATTTGCGATGTCTGTTGTTGCACTTGAGGACGAGGAGCGGATGCATAAAGCGATAGAATCGATTGTTTCAAATCAGGTCTGGACTGAGCGCCTGGAGCAGGTGTTGTACTCGATGGTCGACTAGGAGGAGCAGCCTCAGTTCCGAAGAAGTCCAAGCCCAAGAGAGAATCCGCCGGTTTTGTTTGCTTTGGGGGAGCCGGCTCTGACTTTGGGGGGGGTCTCGCAGGTACCGGACCGGCGGTACTCGCTCTTGGAGGTGGTCCGAAATCATCACCAAAGAGATCCTGTTGAGGAGGGGCGCTGATCGGGGCAGGGGCTTGACTAGGTGGGGCGGTTCTCTGTGATGTTGATCGTTCAAGGTTGTGCTTCTCCTTGACAAGTCCAAGGGGTATATCATCGTCTCCGTCGACGTCCAGAGTTGAGGGATCCGGAATTGGCCCATCCATAACCCATCTCTTCGAATCGTATTTTGTTCTGATAAAGTTCTCGATTTTGGCTTCGGATGGTACGTGGCCCGGGGCTAACTTTGCTTCCCAATATTTGTTTGCTCTGGCATTTCCCCATCTCAATACGCTTTGTACCTGCTCGTCTGTCCATGAATCCAAATCAACGGATTTCACTCGGCTGATGTGAGTTCCCATTCCACGATGTATTCCGGAACATCTTATACACATGAACACCCCCAAATTCCAGCTTGCCCATCTTGGATCTGACGGATTGGAGTGAATAATCAGCTCTTGACTTCATACAATGGATGGAAGCATATGGATAGAACTTACGTTTATTCCTTTTGCAATCGCAACAGACTTTATTACACTCGAGTTTCAAAAGACTCTTTATCGTTTGGGTGTTCTGCGCAATACGCTCAGCCTGAGGATTTGCTGGCCTGCGCGACATCCTGGCGAAATTAAACTAAGTGAAGTGTGATGAAATGAAAATGAGTATTCCTTTGGCAAAGAACTTCGATTATAATGATTGTATGTAATGGTTTGGAAGATTATGTCGCGTGTCCTGAGGAATTGAATGAAATGTTTCTGAAAGGAGCTTTCTTGATTCCACACAAAGCGCAGCACAGGCCTGAACAGGTTGCTCGGCCTTGCGTCCCCACTAAACAAAGTCATTACAACCTTACCGAGAGAGGCCCAAGATTGGTACGGTTTGGTACGTTTGGGATGATTTGGGCAATCGGACAATTGAATAATTGGATCGTAATATATTACGGTTATAATAAGTCATTATGTTGTGCTAATCACTTTGTTCACTTTGAAAGAGTCGATTCACGCTCTCGGAAGGTTTCGTTGGACAATACCGTTGATTCAGACTTAGAAGTAATCACACTTAGATAAGTAATGCATCCTAGGTATGAATACGGTTCTTGATTTATGGCTACTGCACACTCATCTACCGGTAGGTATTCAGGTAATCATTGGTCTATCATCTAACAAGCACATAGTGGGAGGAGGAGGAGGAGAAGAAGGAGGGGGGCTAAAACTCCTAGATTTGTTGGCAGATCAATCAATCACTTCCAGGTTTGATGCCTCTATCAGCTGGGTCTTCTAGTGGTTTAATAGACTAGAAAGAATTTTCCTCTCGAAAGTTAATTATGTATAATAAACACTCTTCAAGTTTTCTGTTTGACTGGGTTTGTTGACGCATCGTTGAAGAGCATTTCGGAGGGGGTTTCATAGATAAATACAATATAAACTTAGCCGCTCGTATATTTGATATTCAATATCATATTGTCGACAAAGCTTGATGAACGCCCTACCTAGTTATAACACCTGTACTTCAAAATGTTTCCTCCATACCTGCTTCTGGGGGCTGATTTCTATCATTACATTCCAAGGTTCCCTCCATTCACCCGATTGCAATGAAGATAGAGTTATAGATTAGTAGTCATAGTAGCTCTAGATTCTTGTAGTCTCTTGCCAATAACTCTGGTTTGAGCTGAAGTCATGATGTGCAAAAGCCCAGCCCGCCAGAAAAGAGTGTTCCCACATTACCAAACTAGACTAGCACTTTCTTCATTAACTTCACATCAACAAAGTTCACCTCTAAAGATTTCCAATGATGCATGATGCAATCCATCTATAACCCCAAGTCCGATCCTTGCCAAAAATACCGGTGACCGGTGAAATATCTCGGTTCGCTAAAAATCTGTCATGGTGGCGTTCAACCCCGCGGGCGTACAAAGCAATGATTCCACATAAGACTGAGCTCCCCCTGCACATTGTACTCTCACATACCACCCAATTTGTCATTCCTCAGTATCAAATATATCCTCAAAAGTTTTATAAATATCCTTCATGCGTATCCCAACGTTCCCAACTCTCGTCCGTACCTTCTATACAATCAGCAATTATACCCTTTCTCGCCTCCCAGCAACACAATATAAAGCCCTGCAACCTATCACTCGAGGAACTGTCCTGAGATCAATGCCAACCATCCCATTTCTATCATCTTTCTTTGGTACTTCAAGCTCTCAACAAATGTCTTATCCAGTGCAAAAGACCGACGAAGAATGGCAAGCTGTTCTTTCAAAAGGTAAAGTTTCCCTTCTCCCCTTTGCCACCCACCTAGTCTACCTCGCCCCCCTCCTACCATACTCTTCTTCCACCATGATCTTATGCACAATTGATGTACAAACCCCGTCTAACACTCTTCAGAACAATTCCGAGTCCTCCGTAAACAAGGCACCGAAGCCCCCTATGTTGGCAAATATGACAAACATATGCCCGACTCCGGTGTCTACACCTGCGCCGGCTGCGACGCCCCTCTATACAAAGCTTCACACAAATTCAAATCTGGTTGTGGATGGCCCGCCTATTTCGATAACATTCCTGGCGCCGTAACAAGACATACAGATAGTACTTTGGGTATGGAGCGAACCGAAATTGTATGTTCAAATTGCGGAGGCCATTTGGGACATGTGTTTAAAGGTGAAGGTTATAAGACACCAACGGATGAGAGACACTGTGTCAATAGTGTGAGCATGAAGTTTGCCCCGGAAGACAAAATCGTGGATGACGCGAAGAATGCCGGAGAGAGCAAAGTTTAATGTGGAAGTGCTGTATGATACCAGGGGGTGATGTTAGTCGAGCGAGGAAGCCGATTGGGAAGGAATTGTATGATACCGATGCGAAAGACGAATAATGAACTAGCAAGCGCTACCTGTATTCATAGTTAGTTGACCAGACCTTAGGAGCAGCAACAAATGTCCTGCAGAATGAATTTCATTCTGCTTTACATTTATTTTGATCATTGCTGGTTATCTTAGTCGATGCCGGCTTGTTTTGCTCTGACATGCTTGCCGTTCCTTCACTTTCTGTCTTGAGTAGTATGATTTATAGATCGTTCATTATATACCAACTGGTTTTCTTTCCCTTCTCCCGCAATAATTGTTTTCATCTTCGAAGAGGTCACAACTTATTCAGAGCCATTATCTTCATGTCGCCTCCCATACTATTTCTATTTCGGCTCACCTTGTATCCTGGCTATTACTCAACCATGCGTACCTAACATATATCACCGAGCTCTATCACGATCCCAATATCGTCAGCTTTGCAATCTCCATGCCGTTAGACGGCTTTGACACTACGATCCCTCCTCTATTCATCTCACTCATACATTTATTATCACTGCACAAGATTCCGCCACCTAGTGTTAAAGTATTCCCATTGCTAGATTTTCCAGATACATAAACGCCTACTGACAAAGAAAAATGGCAAGATCTGTTAAGAGCCCTCCTTGCTTGACAGACCTTGTAAAATAACAATTCTGACCTCTTTGACATTTTAACTCAGCTCTCTCTTCTAAGTCTCCACCTCCTTCTAAATTCTACAAATCATTTCAGACATATGACCAATGATATACAAAAGAAAATGGTAAGACGGTTGATCCCTTTTTGCACCGACGCCTCGTGAGAAGAGTTCTCTTCTAACTTGTTTGACGATAATTTCCAAATGATATCTTTTAAGTATTCAAACCAAATTCTTAATCTCCAACGAAACTTGGAGGCGGCTATTAAGCGAATTAAATGATACCAACATCGTTCTATATCCTGAAAGTCGCGAGACTTGAGTTTTTGTGCCCGGTCTCTGTTTTTTTACAACAAGAACATCAGACTCCCAATCAGGCCTTGGTCGCTTTTTCCATCTTTCTCTCTTAGTTGTACTTCTAAAGGTGGAAGGAAACTCTGGAGTTTCTGTAAGCATCCAGGTGTATCAGAGGAGAGCGGCACTGAGCATCTGATCTGTCTCGCTGTTATGGACCGAGGTAACACTCGCTTCATGCGTCAAAACCTCGATCGATTATACCCCAGAGATAATATGAGTTGGACTCGTGGCAAATCAAGCTTCTGTACCCGCCTGGCTATTCGATATATTTGTATCGTATCACTCGATATCCAAAACTTATCGGCCGATAATCTTGGTCAAAGAATCGAGTTCGTAGTTACACAAAATTGGCTGTGCCATTGTTATGGGAAACATACTCAAGCAGCTATGCTTATATTTTCTTTTAAGCTAGCCAAAATTTCAAATATCTCTGTCGAGTACTATTTTGAGTACTCAGTAATTCCGAATGTTCATGTTTGAGGAGACTGCTCGAAAGCTAGAGTATATATCAAAGCCAATCTTTGGCAATGCTTCGCCCTGGGCTGACGTCCTGATGTTCAAAATTCTCGGAAATCGAACGGGATCAAAGAATATACCGAGAAAGCTTGAATCTCACTAGATGCACCGATCCGGCTTCAGGTGGATTCAATTTCGGATGTTAAAGATTGAAACGATGCTTCAGATATGTGCGCGAGATTTCGGAGTGTGCGTTATTAAACTCGAAAGTTCTCGGATGTATTCGATGAAAGGAGACAGATGTGCGATATGCGATAATTGTCGTAGTGTATATGTCTTTTTGATATATGAAGAGTTTTGCCGTTCAATTTGGAGAGGCGATATGGCCAAAATGCGCTGAAAGAAATCATAATCTCGAAAGCTGCTTCGAATCATGGAAGAAGTAGTTGGAAGATACAAGCCAGCGTATCTGCGAAAATGAATCCACAAATCTGGACTGAAGCTATAGATAACCCTCATTCGATGAAGACACGACCTGGCTTCATATACAACTCTTGTTGATGGGACGCCGTCCCGATCATTTCTGGGGAATAAGAACTGAGTGCTGTGTCAGTAAAACCTCGAAATGTTTCTGTCTCTAGCCGAGTCATTACCTTTCTGCAGAATTGCGGACCTCTCTCTACTCATCCCCGTTCTCAACCTCATCTTGTTCAACCTCCATTGTTTCAACCTCCATTGTTTCATCCTCCATTGTTTCATCTTCCATTATTTCATCCTCCATTGTTTCATCTTCCATTGTTTCATCCTCCATTGTCTCATCCTCCATTGTTTTATCCTCCTCTGTTACCCACTCATCGGATTTCGTCTCGAGAGATGTCTCGTCTGAAGATATATCGATTGGAGATGTCTGGTCGGAAGATGTCTCTGAATATATCTCGTCTGAATCTATGTCTTCTGGAATCGACTCTTCCGCCATTTGTTCAGCCCCGCCATCTACTGTATGTATCCAATTGGGCGGAGGATAAGTCGCCTTCGTGACGTACTCTTCTTGAAATTCACTACTAGCATTACTCACTATCCTCAACGAGCTATGAAAACCATAAGGGTCACGATTACGCCATACAGAACCCATGCGCTTACGTTTGACTCCATTACCAGGTCCAATCCCGTTCGACAGTCCTGTACCCAGCAGACGCTCACCTGAAAGCTCACGATCCATGTATCTAGGTACCGCACTTAAATGATGGTTAACTTCCAAATAACCCTCTCCGCCTCTTTCCTTTATATATTCGAACTGCTTAATCTGTTCTCGGAGGGACGCAGACTTCTTATATCCTATGTAGAGATTGGCCATTCTCTGCGCTTTCACCGCATGCTTATTGGCCGTCTTAATTAGCTTTCTCTTGAGCTGATTACGTCGAAAAATATTTTTCAGCTTGGACAATAAAATCTCGGCTTTCATCATCTTCTCATCATCTGTTCCCTTGGTTATTTCATGGCGAATCCTTTTCATGGTTTGTGGTAGTCTGTTAAACAAAAATAAAGCCACTGATTCAAGAAGGGGCTTATTTCCATTAGGGCTGTTGGGATTATGGCTGTGCTCCAATATATGATCATGGTAATCCTGCGGGGAATATTGTTGATCTTTGCGTCCATTGCTGTCAGCGTTTGCTCTTATGAATTCCAGATGTAACGCGCCCTGATCCATGTCTTCATGATCATAGTTAACTGGCAGCCCCAACATGCCAGTGTGCTCGGAGAGTTGAGGATTCTCAAAGCCTCTAGGCCATGGGGAAACGCGGTTTGGAGTGGGATTCAAAATGAAGGGTGTCTGCAAGTATGCGGGGTAATGGGTAGCCCTGACAGAGCCTCTTTGTGCAATATTCTTTGCCTTGCAGTTCTGATCTACCCTCTTTGCGTTCTAGTAACTCGTCAGCTTGTGTTGTTTCCTCACTAAACCTTTCCCCCTATTCGCTCATCGCGATAAACCTCCAATTGACAGAGATATGCAGGTATGACTTACTTTATAACCAAGTTCAATTCTTTGAAACGAGTCTTCTATCTGCTCCTTGATGCGAAAATACTCATCAACCGCGGATTGTTTATGATGCTCGAGCTCCTTCGCAACAGACTCAGCCGATTTCCAATTGTGACCATCGTAATATGGAGCCGTAGGATGATTCAATGGAAGTGTTTCTGAATAATTAGTGGTGATCATACCATTGAACAACAAGGAAGCTTACCATTATTGTCATATTCTTCGTGAGAGTTGAGAAACAAATTCGCGGCGCTGCTCAGCTGGCAGCGCTGAATCATTTTTTCAGCGGACATTTTATCGAGGTGCGAATTTTCCTTGTGATTGCCAGTCGCTCTAAGTATTGTTTGTAGCTGTTCGATTGTGTTGTGTTTCTTGAAACTCTATGCGCTGTGATTTTTTTTTCCTCTAGAACGATAAGATTTTGTGTTTGTTTGTTTGTGGGGTATGATGATGGGGATGATGATGCTGATGATGAACAATTGTGCGGAAGTTCTCTCTTGATGTACTCTGGTAGCTCTACTCTCAATAAGTTAGTTTAACGAATGATATGCCATCTCTACGCTACCCTTGAAAGTTAGAGGAAGTCTAATCCAAAGAGGGAAGGACGGATATGCTTCAAGTGATGTGGCCGTACCTACTTCGAGTTTTATCGCTCTTCTAAGAAGTTGTCAATTTTTTTGTATGAGAAATGATGATTTAATGATAGGGTGATGCCAAATGTGTCTATTTGTACGAGTGAGAATAGAAAGTGTTCAGATGTGGGAAAATTTGAGGGCTCAAGACTTTGCGAAGCATTCGTTTTTATTTCAATGCGCATGTCATCCAACATATAATGTTGAAGAAACTCCGATCTTATGCCCATTGGTCACTACTTTGGTCGATTTTCGAAATTTAAGTTTTAATTCAATACTAAGGATGCCATCAACGTTGACTGACCTGCTAGTACGCTCCCCTCGTTTTCTCGCTTAGCACTGCGACCTTGAAACCCATATAATTCTCACGCTAAGAATAGGATGAATTTCTTCAATTTTGGGTCGAATTTTGTGATTCGAAAACGAGAAGGAAGGGAATGGAGTACGTTGTAGTTATCGGGATCAATCATGTTATCATTTCATAAAGAAACATACTGTATAATCCTGGCTATGCATTCTGAGAATTTAAAATGGAATGTTGGAGAATTGGTCTACTCGAAGCGATGGACTAGTGCAGTGTTACTAAATGTGAGTGACAGAATCCAGCTACAAGCTTATTTGGTACATCTTAACTTCCAATGAAAAGCCATATTCGCACGTGATTCACAGTTTGTCATTGGTCATAAGAGAAATACCCTCTGACTCATTGTACTGTTTTCCTTGGATTTATAATTTCCAAACTTTAGTAGGGGGAATATCACGGGCTCCATAGTCATTAGTGGGTGCTTCAAAATAAGGCAACCGCTCTTTCCATTCTGTAATGGAGTTTTGATCACCAGTAAGCTGTGAAACTGCCATCCTCAACTTGTTTGGCTTCTTTGGAATTGTGTGGAATCAAAATGAAATTTCATTTTATCGACTTATATCTTGACTGTAATACTTCACCATAGACTTCTCACGATCCCATTTCGCATCCCCAGCATTGCTCTGCGCCAGTAAATGCCGATCTTGGTTGGCGATAAGAGTTGTTGATGGATCAAATCATCATATTTCCTTCATCACGTAGAAACCGTATCTCAGGTTACACGAGGTTGTGATAGCGCTTTGAATTGGGTAATAAATGGTTCGGAAGTATATGAAACCGAGTGATACTTGCACTGGTACCTTTAAAGGGACAGAACAAGACCCACTCCACTCTACAGCTGCCCAAAACTGTTTTTCATCCATAGATATGTTGCGTTTCTTTGGGGTTTCAATCAAGACACAAATTTGGAGGCAGAATTAAATATCAAAATCGATCTAGACACGTATCCCAAATCTGTATTTGCTATCAGCTAGAACATACACAATAAGCCCGGCCTTTGCTAATCGTTGTTTCTTCAAAACGAAGCACGAAGTTGAAAACGCTCTTGCCTATCTAGCACAGAATAAACTTTGTAGTCGTCGCGATTTTCGATAGATCTGGAAACAAAGACCCATACCAACCAATCAGAGCCCAAACATTTTTTTTTCAATAGTGGCATTGGAAGTCAATCAATGACGACTGGACAAGGAGCTTGCGACGTGTAGCAATATTCAAATAGGAAATGTTGATGAAAACGTTCCGAGAACTATGAGCAACGAATACGTCAGATGTGATATTACTCTCAATCTTCATCATTTGGTGATCGCATTTTCGCTGTGCTCAAATACGTAACGATATCGTTATTGGCATGTTCTCATTATGGAGAAATGAAAGCATCTTCGGTGTCGTAAAGAAATACCAAAGTAGTTACGTCCAACGAGCACACCGATGCAGTCTCTACGTAACCGAAAAAAGCGGCGGAAATTGAGTACCCTTTTGAGCCTTTCAAATAACTTCTTTAATAGATTTTAAATTTATACAAAATCAAATGCTGAAATTTGAAAAAAGCGAATGAAAATTTGAGCTTTTTTTATATTTATAACTAAGACTATATATTTAATATTGTAATGAAAGAGATTCAAATTGTTGAAGTCCTCTTAGATGGGATTGATTTCCCGCCGCTTTTTTCGGTTACGTAGAGGCAGTGTTATTGTTTCTCAAAATTCACACGTGTATTGTTGTGCTAAAATGTGGGGACATTTTTGAAATTCACAGTTGATCAAGCAAGTGTACTGGCAAGTAATCTGACTGTAGAAGAAAATAGATCGATGGGATTGCTGTTTAGACTATCGTATGATCAGATAGGTACCGGTAACCTTTTCTAATTCTGAAAATTTTAATTCCAATAATTTTCTGCTGTATGTAGAACGAGTTCGTCTCAAGATGCATGACTACCTATTGAGAACATCTGCAAGCCTATCTTTGAGCATGAAATGAAACATTATCCAAACCTGGTTAGACATGCAGTGACTCAAAAATATCACAGATGACAGCTCGTGAGACGAAATGTATAGAATAGCATTTTCTTTGTGCTGTTGTGCGATTGTGTTTCGGTTAAGCGAGCTTTGATTCAGCTATATACACATTCATCAATTGACGAGGTTGAAAGGTTGAAAATCAACGAGTGAAAATGAATATCGGTGATGAGAGTTCTTGAAGAAATTTGGATTGATTGCTGTTCTGGAATTGCATCGTTTAGATTTGGCCAGCTTTTACAGTTAGAAATCGAAATTTCCCCCGTACTGCAGCACCGATGACTCGCGAATTTTCCACATTGAGCGATATGAAAATTCTTAGTTGATCCAAGTCTAAAATTGCAAGAATTTGGAGGATTCTTACCTTTCTTTCTCAAAAGCATCATAGTGATCACTATCCTTTCAATGATAGGAGAGAAACAAAGCTTTGAGATACTATTCGTGACCCGTATGATGATATAAACCACGGCTGTATTTTGGAGGGCCTGAAGACCTGTAAAATTCATGAAATCCATGGAATTTAGTAAGAAGGTTGAATTCTTGAAATTAAAAAAGACTTACAAAAGAAAAATACAATAGTGGTCATCTGCTATTACATAGTTTTTGCTTCGTGAGCTTTTGAATGTCAAATTGAACTTTATGTGACCTTTATCCATGTGAGTATAAAGGGGTATATCCCAAACTGAATGGTATCACTTCATGTAGACAGAGTATTTTGAGTTACAAGTGGGAGGAAGAACGATAGCACTTGGGACATAACTGCCAACAAGTGTTTAGCTCAAGATAATATTCAACCCTAAACGTATGAGGATAATTGCAGATCTTTCATCCATATAACATAGTACGATAAGATATCCCTCAATAAGTCAAGTCATTTATAGAAATTATATTCCAGACATGCAACAAAACACATTTGTTCCTCTTTCGGGAGTATGATTGGCAAGAAGCAGTCTGGGAGGAGCAAGACAGATGCTAGTAATCTTCCTATTAGCTGAATATACATTCACACTTCTTCAGATCTACAAGTGATTCTGAATATATGACATAACCATGGAAGTACGAAGTTATTTATAGAAATTTCATTTCAGATTTGCAACAAGAGACTTTACTGTATCTATCTAGCATTTGATAGGTGAGATAATATTGGGTTGAAGATCAGCTGACGGTCTATCTTTTGACATATGGATTCAGATATGCAACATAGTGCTATTGTATTTCAATATAGAACCTGATAGGTGAGAGATAGTGAGCTAAAAGTTTACTTTTCGTCTATTTTTGACAGATAGATCCAGACTTGCAACAGCAAACTGTAATAGTGTTGCTCAGAACTTGATAGGTGCAAGATGGTGAGCTAATAGTTAGCTGTCTGTCTACTTTTGACAGGTGGATCCAGATATGCAACATAATATTATTTTGTTTCTATTAGTGTGTGATAGGCCAGATGTATTGAGTTTAAGTTAGTTGACTTCCTAATTTTTTGACAGGTGGATCCAGACAAGCAACACATCTGTAATTTGATAGGTGCAATATTAGACAAGGAATTAGTCGACTTTCTATTTTTTTGGACAGGGGCGGCCAGATATGCAACAGGATACTAATTTTGTCTCCACTTGAAGTCTAATAGGCCAGAGATATTGGGTTATAGTTACCTGGCTGTCTAGTTCTTGACAGGGAGATTCAGATATGCAACAAAAGACTGTAATGATTCAATTTGAAATTTGATAGGTGGAGGATAGTGGACGGGGAAGTTAGTTGGCTTTCAAATTTTGACAGGTGGACTCGATGTGCAACAAAATGCCTTTTTGTCTTTACCTGAAGTTTGATAGGCCAGATATGGCGAGCTAGAAATAGAGTAGGAAGTTAGTTGGCTCTCTAATCTTTTGACAGGTGGATTTAGACATGCAACGAAATGGACAAGAAATTTGCTAAGAATAAGTGTGATTGTTGCGAAGTAGACGATCAGAACAGCAATCAAGTTCTATTATGAGTTTCTTTCTTCTAAGACTCCTTTCAGACACATAAAAATTCTTCAATCGCTCCATTATAATGAGGACATGTGTCAATTGTTTTCGAAATTTCGTCCAGATTACTCCTGTCATTAGTCCCTCGAGTCTTGAAGAAACGTCTGATACGACAACCAGCAGACGTGAATATCGCATACACTGATGTTTGTATTAATTTCTTGAGAAGATTCATACCCGATGACGGCAACGCATCTTGCATCATCACAATCTTGCTTGACTCAGCGACAGAATTATTGCCCTAGGCATCTCGGTGGATCCGCTTAAAATTAGCGAAAGTTAAACGTCTACCCAGCGAGCTTAGGTATGAACATCTTAGGATAGGATCTTGGCTACGGTAGCTGGCGTCTCTTTTCATCTAGTAAGCTAGTAATAGAGGTTTGATCAGTACGATCGTTTGAGGTATTGGGCCTCGTGGAAACGATCGAAATCGTTTAAATCATCTATCGAAGTTTGAAACATGCTTGCATCATCGAGCATTGAAAGCTTTCATATGTAGTGAATTAATATGCTCCTGTTGTATTAATTTACCCATGCATAGGTTTTGAGGGATAGATCCAACTGTACCTAACATCCATCATTCAAAGTAGAGGGGTTATTACCCAATCATGGATGTATTGTGTCAGTACCGACACCTCGAAACCTTCCTTAAAAGAATCTACAACGCATCCAGCTCAGCTCGTCGATCCAAAAACTTTTACTTATAGTAATCAACCTAAATGATTCGTGCTTATTCGCTTTTAGCTAGTGAATTGACTGAAACCATCCATGTCGAATCATTTCTCATCTTCCATGCATCAGTTATGTCATAAAACGGTTGGTTTATTCTTGCCATGACGACCTCAACTACGTTATACTGTATTACTTTAATGGCAATCAAAACTCTATCGTGCCATCGATCTCATCCAGATATGCAACAAATCGAACTCAATCGTGTCATGAATCTGTTATCTCTTATCCAGATATGCAACAGGAGGGAACCAGTCACGTTTTATTTTTTGAATAGATCAAAATCCTGACTCAGGTTTCTTATATAAATGGGCAAACCCAGAATTTCAGATCAAATTTTCAGGATAGTTTGCGATGTTCGCTGCGAAGCCCAATGTAATGTGCAGAGTCAGGCCTTTTTTAGATCAAGCGACGTTGAGAGAATAGTCCATGTAATTGAGATGCCTTGCTTCGCTCCTCTCCATGTTGGATTTCATTGATATATGCAGCGTGCGAAGCTCGAGTCATGAATCAATTGCACAGGTAACTCAGCCGCTCCATAAATAGAGAGCCTTATTTAGACATGTAGTGTGAGTCATTCAAATCACAAGCATAAAGTTCGGTATATTTAGCTTCCAGCGAAGTGCTAATTAACAGGTGGAAACAATTCCCGAGCAAGTTTAGAAGTTCTATAAATAGAGATCCAATTCTCAGATATGCAACATGAGGAGTTCAGATTAAACTCCCGGTAAAGGGATAAAAATAGTTTGGGGTAACTCTGAGATGGTAATCCGTGGTTGGATCGTCTTGCTGCATAGGTCCTGGTAGGCATACTAAACATTCCTTCAATGTGCTGAGTATACAGGGGCAACCATCACGTAAATAAGTTCAATGCTAGTCTCTATCATAAATTATTCTTCTCAGTCACTGATCTCTTTTATTGCAATTTCTGCTGCTTGGCCTGAAGCTCAGCTAATTAGGCTTATCTACTCAGTTGATAAAGCAATGATCCAAATCCTTTATTTCTACTCCGATTTAAACACATTTTATTCCTCTCTAAAAGAATTTATTGATATCTCAGCTTTAGAGACCTGACTATACATTAGATAAATTGTATATTAGACTTGCTGTTATGAAGGTGATGTAATATTTCTCAAACTAAGCGCCTTGCAAAAGCAACTGAGGTTTTTATCTGTACATTGATCTGTTTACTCAAGTATCTCAAATGAATTTTGCGGTACCAGTCAGTGTAGGCAATAGTATTTCCCGTATTCCGTATACGGGTTAGTTTAGTGGTATGTATCGAATTTTTTCGAAATATATATATATATATAATACAGAATTCAACAACACTGAAAGTATTTAATATCATTTAGTTATTCAATACTATTAGTAATATACTGAAATACTGGAATTCAATATAAAATATACATTCCTATTCAAATTAGACTAGAAATAAAAGATTTTCATTTAGTTTGAAATAAGGAATGGAAATTTATCACCTAATACAAATAGGAATATATATTTTATATTAGATTTTAGTATTTCAGTATACTGTTAGTATTCTTTAGTATATAAATATGTACAAGAGTAGTATAATCTCCTTTCTATATGTATTAGCTGCAATATCAATATGCTAATACGCGCTACAGTTTCACTGTAGTATACTATTGCCTACACTGGTACCAGTCAAAGCTGGCGTAGAGAAGAGAATCATCCTGAACGTAATAATTGTATTCATTTTATAAAAGATGAGGTTGATATCTCTCTCGAGTCAAGAGCAACGCGAGACTCCGATACAAATAACTTCAAATAACTAAAATGACAGATTAAATCAAGACTTTGAAGCTTGAATTCCCGATCTAATGATCTCCACGACTTTGACGCCCCTCAATCCCTTGATTATGTTAGCCAGAGTTGGGAACGTCATGTCCAGTTCCCCATGCTCCAGATCTGTGAATACGATTTCAGCTTTCCCAGCTTTCCATCTCTGTTCTCCTTCAGCTTTCGGTATTGAAGGATAGATTGTCGCGTACTCCGCATCTTGTCCCTTTTTCATACTTGATGGAATGGCCTTATAGTGTAAAACTGGACTTTGTAAAGCAGACTCAGCATCTGGAGCCTCCTCCAAATCATCCAAGGTGAGGCGACAAAACTCGCTACCTTCCCAACCAGCGCTTAATACGAACGACGATTCCGAGCTAGCTTTTTGATCCAATTTTGCGAATACCTTCGAGAACCCTAACTCCTCTCGGCCAGTAATGATTGGATCAGCCATATTTTCGAAGAGAACTGGCAGAAAGTCACCTCTTATTTCAACCGAATCACCGGAATCGCTCCCTGAGGAACTCTTGTGCACGATATCATGAACATATAACCCCAGCATTGAATACCACCGACCTCCGAGCCACTCTAAATTCTCCAAGCGCGTAACAGAGAACGAGGCAGTTGCCCACATACCCTCCGTACCAATTTGGAAATCATCGGATGGCAAAAGAGTCAATAGGTAGCTTTTGTATGTTTTAAAGGTGATATAACTTGTTTTGTATGTCGCCTTCAAGGGTTTTCGTTGTATCCCGTTGAGATCTTGTCTTGGACCTGGGCTAGGCCCAAAGGACATTGGCATTCTCCGATACAAAGCGTTTTTGTTCAAATGCCGAATCAAGATTCCATGCGCATGATCGTAAGCATCATGGGATAGATTGATTTGCGTGAATTGCATCGGATCTATAACCTTTCCTCCATGCTTTCCACGAGGAGTTTCAAATGCAGCTTGGCGAGTGAAATCTTGTACGAGTGTAGCACGATCATATCTGGCTTCAACGTAAAGCTTCAAACGTTGCTGAACATCAGAAGATCGAGTACCTAATGGAAATAGAGCGCCGATTGCCGCGCTATCTTCTATTGCCTGAGCACCACCTTGTCCTTGATGTGGAAGAAATCCATGAGCTGCATCTCCAAGAAGTGCCACTTTCCGTGAACCCAATTATCTTTCCCCATTTCCTCGTGATCCAGTAAACTCCATAGTTTGACGTCTTCAGGGGAAGCCTTGGCTAGTAGAGCTTGGACATCATCTGTATATGAAGTGTAACAATTCAAAAGGGAGTCTTTGGATGCGCTTTGACTCCACTCTTCCGAACTAGCTTCCGTTTCTTCTTCCGGATGCAGTGCCACAAAATTCAACAAAGTGTTGTTCCTACATGGATACGCAACTATCCTTCGATCTTTTCCGTATAGTAGAAGCAGTTGTCCAGATTTCTCAACGAAATGTGCTGTCTTAGGATCTACTCGAATCTTGTCGATTGGAATTAAGAATCTGAAAGCATTGGTTCCAGATGGCTCTGGGGGTGGAAGATCCTTCAGCAGTAAACTTCTGATCTTTGAATGAATGCCATCCGCAGCGATTATGAAATCACCCGTGTGCGTAGATCCATCATCCAACGTTAGAGAAGGGATTTCAATATCAACAGACGCAACTCTGCTTCGAGTGTGCAGGACTGCTGGTATTCCTTTGCCTGTCTCAGAAGTAGCAATATCCTTCAGTGCATTATGAAGGTCGACTCGGTGTATCAACTGTCAAGGGTATGGAAAGACTTTTGAAAGACCTCTCACATCTCTGGAAAATACCAATTCCCCACTTGGTCGATACTCCGATACCCACTCTGTCTGATTGGCGCCATGATCCTCTGGTATCATGCCAAATCTTCTTAACAGACCATTCACATTGCTGGGAATGTGTATTGCTGCACCAGTTTCAGATGCGAAGCGAGACTGTTCAAAAATCTATCTACTAGTTAGTCTCGGTATCTTGGGTAGAATTCAGGGACTTGTACACACTTCCACAATGTGTCCTGCTTGCCGCAGAAAAATCGCTGCTGAGAGGCCTCCAATCCCACCACCCGCTATCAATACCTTTAAAGGTTTGTACTGATCATTGATATTGTCGTTGGTATTCATCGTTAATTTCTAGGTTCTATGAATTAAAAAGCTTTGGAAGTGAACTAGCTTTTTGGTATTGCTAGATGTGGGATTGAATGATTATCGTCAATATGCTCACGAAAAATCAGACATTGAAGATATGTATGTTCTCATTCATAGACATACAATCTCCGTGAAGTCCGTCCTCTGGCTTTCCCGCCGGGATACAGGCATCTATTGTTGATTTCTGTAGCGTGACTGGAGCCTACATCAAGAATTCTGACCAATTTCTGTATGTGGCCGCGGTTATCACGATTTACTCCCGGTTATGGGGCCCCGCACCCACCGGCAGTTTCGTTGTTATACATTTTACATCGTCACCCTCCACTCGGCCCCACATAATCTTTGCGACATGCAAACAACCCTCTGATTACTAAACCGGGATGCAAAATCCACGGAAAGACTATCGTAGTCCCGGCAGCATCTCGAATGGAGGGTGAAACATAGCCAATTTATTATTGACTATCTTGGTCTTCTTTGCGGCACTTGTCTTACTTGTAGGTAATACTTATTCACGCATCCAGTTACCCCATCCTTGGCCCTGAAGGAGTAATATCACCATACAATTTCAGCGAACACTTAACAATACTCGATCATTTATATCTCCAAGTCTTCATCTCAAGATACCTCATTCATCCTTCCACACCAAATTTATACTCCGTAATCGCCAAAATGGTCAACACAGTAGAGCCTAGTCCTCTAACCAATATCTCCCGACACATCACCGACCATGACCGTAACGGCAAAGCCATAATATCCTCCTTTCTCTCCTCAGAATCTACCTGGACCGCCACGAAAGGCGCCAAGTTCTTTCTGGGATACTGCACATCGGACTTTCCAGTAGAGATGAGCTCCAACAAAGACATATCCAGCTACACGACTTATCTATCGGCTCCACCAGGCCTAATGGTTCCAGGGGGTACCGTCCTCCGTGTCGTGGATATGGAACCTGGGCATATCTCACCGATGCATAGAACTACGAGCTTGGATTACGGGGTGGCTATCGAGGGGGAAGTGGAGTTGGTTCTGGATGGGGGTGAAAAGAGGATCTTGAAGAGAGGTGATATTTGTGTGCAGAGGGCTACAGCTCACGCTTGGAGAAACTGTAGTGAGACAGAGTGGGCGAGAATGCTATATGTTCTGACAGAGGCAAAACCGGTTATTGGAGAAGATGGGAAGGAGTTGAAGGAGGATTTAGGTACAATGGATGGAGTGAGGAAAAGTGGCTAAGGATTCGTGAAGATAACCTGATCACGGTCGAAGATTTCGCAATATAAACATTTTTGTGTACTTGTATCATCAGTGGACATTATCTCAGTTTCAATTTTATCTATCTAAAAACCTGAGATTTCTATTCGATGACAGCTTTGTGTATAGATGCAATTTGTGAAACATTAATCGACTTTAAGGTTGTTCTCATCCAGTATCATCTGCCATTCATAAATTGGATCAGTAATCATCCTATACGATATCCATTCATTCAATGTTGCTTGATCTTTGAGCTTCTGGACGATAAGTACCCTCATCTTGAATTGAAGATAATACCGGTGAGAATCAAGGATATCAGTTATTTTTGCTTCAAGGCTCGGGACTTGGGACACAAATCCAAGGGGTGTTGATAAAATGATAGATGATGACCAGGGAACTTTTTTTTATAGAGTTGATCGACATTATGAGATCCCTCAGTATTTAATAACAGAAGGCATGAGATGACAAGTTGTCTTTCCCATGTTCAGTTCAAACTGCAAATTTTGTCTTATACACAGCAATATTGAAGACTAGTGGCACTTGTCCTCTAACCATCCAGGCTTCTCCAAAGCAGTTTTATACGGCAGAATTGAATTATCAGAGTTTTATAAAACATTCAATTCTAAGATTTTAAAATATTACATGACAAGTAGGTACATCTAAACCCTTATAATCTTGATGGCACAATAGGCAATGTGACGAAATTCTCCTGTCCATCACCGAAATGGATGTTATTCTTACCTGCAAATTTCTCTACGGATCTATAATTCCAAAGTCAGCACATGTATATCTCTCCTACAAGGACAGAAGATTAAGGAATCAATCAAAAAAAGAACCTTACCTATCCTTCTCATTTCCATGAGCAAAAATTCCACTTCCCTGAGTATCCCCCGAACTCACTTCCAGCACAATCTTTCCCCCCTTTTCTACCACAACATTAGTAGGCCACACCTCTACATCCACTGCATAGCCAGTTTCAGGTTTAACTTCCTGAACATCTATCGAGCGATATTTGCGATATGGTTGATATGGTAGATTCCGCGGATGATTCTCCGCGATTTTACGAAGAGATACTCGGAGCCAGCCTTTAGTCAGTGGAACTGGATCTCCAGCTGTGCCGGTGTAGAAAATTTCTTCGCCTGAGGGGGAGGTATGGCGGAGAGTCAAGAAGATATCGATGTCTTTTGCTGGGGCGGTTGCTGATGTGGAAGGGGAGAGGGATACGTTAAGATGTGCGGTGACATGTCCGGTAATTTCTGTTTCTTGCTCGAATGGTGCGCTTGTGAATTGGACGAGTTTTGGATTTTTGAGACTTCCCAAAGCATCATATGAAACCTTTTCCGCACTTGATGCTGGCGGATCTCTGGAAAGTGTCTTCCCTGGTGTGAGATAGAATTTGGTATATTGTGTTCCTGCTAATGGCCATCCTGTTTCTTCTCTTCGTTCATATTTGGTTTCTGCTTCAGCATTATTGTAACCAACATCGCCTTTTCGAAGAATCACACTGACAGGGCTGACTTTTCCGGGGATAGACCAGCCAATTTTGTCGTCATCCTTGAGAAACGCATCGAGGAACGATTTCTGTATCTCAACTTCTTTCCTGTAGTAAAAGGGAAGATCGTGGCGTCCAGTAATGAAACGAAGATACTTCAACTTGGAACCTGCCCACATGTAGCCATTTACATTGCCTAGAACTTTCATCAGTAACCGTCAAAACAATCTTGACATCCGTGAACTCACCTCGAAGATGCAACAAAATACCTCCCCAATTCGCTACTGATAAAACCGGAACATCAATGTCCTCCAAATTGAAATCCTTTGATTTGTAATAATAGTCATCCAAAAAGCGATTGTTAACGTTATCGATAGTCTGGTCATTACGATTCTTAAGAAGCGTCTCTTCATCTAAATCCCCTCAATGGTATTCTCACCCCATTTCGAAGCTGCACGTCCAGGTCGACCGTATTGATTGGTGATAACTTGTCTATTCCACCAAAATCGAATGAATTCATCTGAGAGGATTCCACCATGTCTGCATCGATCACGGTAATAATCAGTCATTCCCTCCAATGGTATGATAGCCGCAAGACCCTTTGGCCTACGAGCTGCAACACGCCATTGACTGCCTATATGATATATTAGTACAGAATAGACAAGATTAGAGATTGATTGGTCAGTATTACATACCTGCATAATAACTGATTCCCAACAGTCCAACTTTTCCAGAAGACCAAGGTTGCTCGGATGTCCACTCAACAACATCAAAGAAACACTCGCTCGTGCCTCGAGACATTGTATCTAAGAGTCCAGGACTTTGACCCAGTCCTCTCTCATCCGCTCTTACAACCACATATCCTTTGGAAGTCCAGAATACTGGATCTGGGGTTTCCCAAGCACTATATTTACTTTTATGCTCAGGGTTGACCTCGCTGAAGGATTTGGCGAAGAAACTTTTGGAACGACAATGTCAGTATGTATAGTTTACTCTGTGATGATTTGTGTGGAAGGATATTTGACAGTCTATACTTACTTAACGTAAGGGATGTCTTTTCCATAAGGTCCATATGTCACAAGGACAGGGAATTTGGCACCTTCTGGAGCAATTGGTCTATAGACATTACATCTCACAGGAAGATCAGATGCCTTCAATGGAATGGAGACGTTTTTCTCAAATACCAATCCATTCTCTTTGTCTTCAATGACTTCTGAGATATCTCTAATCTTATTGCTGGTGGTCATCGTGAATGTTGATTCGCTAATGATTGATATTTATTTTCGGCCAAGGTGATCAAGATGTACTTGTTCAAAACATCAGTTGCTGTGTTTTAGAGCCTGGTATCTTTCCTTTCACTAAAACCACCGTCACTAGCAGCTCGATTGTTAGCAAAGTCTCTGTCGGGCTGCAGCTAAAGGCCGAGCAGAATATCATGGAAAGATTACGGAATGTGGGGGAGTGATGGCGGAAGCGAGATTTCCGTTCGGGATGACGCTACGGGCGACTAACTAATCAGGGGTTAATGCAATTACACACCCTGGGCCGGTCCCTTTTTTGTAGTGTATGGCTAAGATAAATCAGTTTAGTACAAATGCGTGTCCGATTTGTGATAGATGTACAGGATCACCTACCACAACGAGTAAACAAGTGTAGTCGCCATATGTTCCTGAGAGATTGACGGTCTTGACATTCAGTCAATCCCTAAAGGACGGAAAACATCATACTGGCTTTGTCTGATACTCAGCTTCAATGGAAACGATCTTGCTAACCCATAAAGCTACAGATGTAATCTAGTATTTTTCCTTCGGGAAATTTCCTGCGTGTAAAGACCGCAAATCTCCTAGGAGCATACGGCGAAAGATACATAGTTAGTCCCCAAACCTCCAGATTTTTAATAGTCTGGACTTAATACTAAACGATGTCGAAAATTATGGATTCTTTAATGATTTACATCTCTCGAATAAAGTGTCCCCCAATTATAACAAATCTAAATTCGATACCCTTTTAATGTTGTATCGCACTTCGGACTACCGAAGACATCACCCAACCCAAAGAACAAATTTATTTACATCAGCGTAGTAGCAAACAATTCATCGTGCCTTAAAACAGTTTCTTATTTCTCTGTCGGGCTAGCACATCTAGAAAATCGACTCTCGGGAACACAACTAAGATCCCTCATCAAATTACTACAATTCTCCACGAGCGGCGGAAGTGGTTCCTCCAGAATTGGAAAGTTACTTCGATAAAGATCTCGTGCCATCTTAAGTACCTCATTAGGGTTACTGAGTCGAATCTTTGCATTATTCAAAGTGAAGTCTTCAATTTCAGACCTTCCAGTTGTAGCATCGATGTCCGTTGAATTTCGAGGTGCCAGAATGAGAACTGGCGTTCCTTGACCACTAGATATGAATGTCCGAGTCTCGCGACTGTCAGGGCCAATAAGATTGATCTCTGATTGAGGGAAATCGCGAGTCTTCTTTGTCTCATTATTACTCTCGCGGGTGATACTATTTGAGAGATGTCCATATGCCCACATGGTAAGACTGGCAAAGTAGACGGCAACGGTGTAGAAATCCCGCAACTGAGCCGGAGCCATCAATGAAGCCCAATGAAAGATTTGTCCGGCGTGCCAAATTGCCCTCCTTGCACGTTCTGTTGTATACCATCGTTCCAATGATTTCAAACTTTGAGATGCTGCTTCTTGGCCGGATTTACCAGCGAATCGCTGTAACTCATCAGGAGAAACACACAGAGCTAGCAAGAATAATTCGACTGTAATGTTAAGTCCTGACGGTATTTTTGCTCTGCCTAAAATTCGATCTCGAAAGTTCTCGACTTCACGATAAAGTTCTCGCTGTTGAGTAGTAATCCATAGCCGATGCACAGAGTCTTTGTTCCCATCGATACCATGAAAACGGGTTGACTCTCCGATTGCCCATATTTGCCCCCAAAAGTCATTCAGTGCTGCTTCATAACACAGATCTACGTCCCAAGATTCATCCAGATCTTCAAGACCACAAGAGTTGTGCATAATATCGATCAAGCGAGGTGGTGTGACCACCGATGAATGAGATTTTCCCATGTACACTGACTTCCAATCCGCTGCAGATTCAGCTAGAAATAATTCACGAGATGCAGGTGCTGAGAAAGATAGCTCTGTAAAGTTAATCAATGGGGGTTTTTGAAGGGCTAAAGAAGCACGAGTGTCATGCTGGAACAATTTGAGAGACAATCTTAAGAATGAAGCGTAAGCCGGCTGCAATATTCATGAGTGCACCCAAACATACCTTTTGAAAGACTCCCTTTGTGCCCATGTTTGCCATTTTGCTTCCAGGCTTTTTCCGGTATCATTTTGGTTTGGGATCAGATTCTGGGAATCCGAAGCAGCTGATAGAATTCCACCACGGCGCATCATCTAAAACAATCAGCCTGAATCAAAATGTCGACTTTTCCCAGACTGGTGTTTTCGGAAGCCTAAACGACAGTTCAAAGATACGAGGAATTCATATCGTTGAGATTTCTTAAAATAGTGGACACCTCATCCAAGAAAAAAAGATGAATCATTTACCGTGATCAGAGGTTGCGAAAAGCTCTCGGCTAGTTCCATGTTTCTCTGAAAACCACTCCACAACCCAAGCTCGAGAGAAAGCATCCAGGCTTGTAGTGGCTGGAGCTTCCGAGTGTTACTGTTAGCCCTTTCCCACTGTGTTGGATTAGAATTAGCAAGGCTCCTGGACTGTAAAAGGATGATATTACCAATTCAGATACACTAAATCTCACTACATCCTGAAGGGCCAGTCCCATTCTCCATACAGCAGGCAAGGAGATGGCAGTAGATCCAACAGCCACTATGGCAATCAAAAGCTCTGGTTGGACATCTTTTGAATATATTGTTGAGGTGTGAATCCAATTATCGTCTTGATTGCTTTGCTGGCAGAAAAAGGCTTCAATTGTACTGTTTAGTAAATCTAAAGAAGGAAAACTTGGGATACCACTCGCATATTTGTTAGCAGTTGAAACGAGGTGAAACATCTTGTCTCGCAAGGAAGATGTTATAGAGAGGTGTTCATGAGGCCTTGCACCGTTAGGGGAGAGGTTTAAAGATATGTTTTCTTCATCAACCGCTAAATTATCTCGATCCCTGAGAATGTGATCGGTTGAAGCTGGCGTCCATAGCCAAGGCGAGCGGGCAAATGCTGCATGCCCTCGAGCAACATCCCTTCTAGAATCATTGGCTTTCTTGACAGCCCAGAGACAGTATTCTCATCGACTGTAAGACGTTTTGAAACCATAGGAGTGAATTCGAAATTTTCTTCCTGGAAGTTAAAATCCTCAAAACTGAAGTCTGAGATCTGGTTGTTGAGAATTGTTGAGGGAAAGAAAAGCATTTCATTGGCAAGACTTTCGAAAGGTAGTTGGTCTTGCACAAAATTGAATTCCGTTGATTCCTTGTCCGAGTTTGGTGCAGATAAGGCAAAAGAAGATTGCAGTATTGCTTCTGCATTCTCGGCGCTATATTCAGGATAGGTATTCCTGCTTGTGTAATTATTGGTCCAAACAATGCTATGTAGAACAGGATCCAATATGCTTAAAGGTTGTATCACAGAATCTTGAGGAAGAGATTCTTGTTCCGCAATGGAGTCACGTGGCTCTTTCCTATGCAGACTAGTATGTCAGCATCTAGGTACTTCGAATAGTTGTAGAAGGGGTTCAGAGGGGGGCTAAAATGTTCAATAATCCAGTCTAGCAAACTGATTTTAAGGTATTCGAGTAATGATGAAGCTCTCAACCACTGAGATAATCTGAATCTTCTAATTGAATCCAAAAAATTAAAGCCTTCATTGTTAGACTGCAGTCCAGATTACTGGAAATGTATACGTCCATGGTAATAGAGAAAACAATTGAGTAGTGTATAAGCTTTAGGCTTTGTGAGTGATGAACTTACGCAACACCCGAAACGCATCTTTTCTTGTGCGATTGCTGGGATATTTCGCAAACAAGATCTTTTGTTCGGCATCGCAAGCACGGTTTTTGCTCTTCACACTTTGCCTTTGCTGTTGCGCATGCTATACATGCTCTTCCAGCTCTCTCTGTTCGTCTAATTTCTGGGCGGTTCTGACCCAAATTACGTTCATGAGTGGCAACATGGCGATTAAGGAGATCAACGCGATTGAAAGTCTTTGGACATCGTTGACACCGGAAGGGTCGAGAATTCTCATGTGATCTCATGTGACGAGTGAGGTGGTCCCCTCGCTCATAGGTTCGTTGACATATTCGACATTGGTTAACGGCTGGTGCTGGGGGCATCGGCGGCGATGATCGAGCGAATCCCGGATGCGCTTGTCGGTCGGCCCCAATTGAACTTGCCGCATTGATTAGAATGCTTAGTGCATCACCGCCGTTATCAAAGGTTGCATGGTCCGACATATCTAGCGCAGGAAAGTAGTCATATGCTTGCCGTCTGATTTTAGTGACAGTTGAAGGATTTCAGGAGGTGGAGGTGGAGGTGGAGTTGGATGCGGATAGATCTGATCTCTTTAATCTCATTCAGTGTCCCTCTTCAGATTCGACAACCGCTCTTCCTCTTCCAGGTTGGGCTTAGATACTTTGAGGGGTAAGCGGGCAATTTGCTTTAACCGGACTTGCCGTAGTGGAGGTTGTAATGTGTGGGGAAGGAACGTATGCGCATATAGCCTAAGATTTTGATCGACACCATGCCGGCCCCACTCCTTTGGCTTTCAAAGTCCGCATTTCCGGAACTTGTGTCCATTATTGACCCCCAAATTCATAGAAACCCATGAACGACTGAGTCAACATGAATTCATGTCGAATTTGGCAAATATTACAATCTGCTTCGAGAAAAAAAACTGATATTCGTACAAATGGCGCCGGTGACGAATTTGACTCCTGTTCATTTCTTCTCTCATGGCTCCACAATGATGCTTGGGGAACAATCCGATAGTGCAACATATTGGAAAAAATGCGGCGACGAAGCTCTGGCAAATGGGATAAAACACGTGGTAATGATGGTTAGTAGCAAAGTTTCTTCGAATAACCTCCGCTATCCAGCATTTTGTTGAAAAGACTTTAGGGGGCACACTGGGCAACTCTCGGCAACGAAATCGAAGTTGCTTCGAATCCCACACCCGGAAAATCTCCAGTAGCCTACGTGCATCCTTCAAATACGTACCATACAAGTTAAATCCTGACATTCCCATGGCAACTCGCTGTGTTGAACTTTTGCAAAAGAATGGACTCAAAGCGAAACTCAATGATAAGTTTGATTGGATCCATGATACCTATCTAATCCTCATACGAATGTTCCCGGATGGATGCCCGCCAACGACTATTATCTCTATGAATGCACGATATGATGCTCACTATCATACCAAGGTAGGAACTGCGCTACGACCGTTGAGAAGAGAAGATGTGCTCTTTATTGGTACGGGAGGCGCGGTACATAATTTGTATCGGAATAATTGGTTTCAGATGTTAATGTATCGAGGTACAAAATCAATCTCCTACAACCACCATCTATCTCCAAGATCGAACCACAACCCCCCATAGACAACTTCGCCATGAAATCCCCTCCAGATGCTGCAATGCTTGAATTTCGCCAAGAGTTCGAAGATGCAATGACTAAAAACTCCGGACCGGAATTGCGAAGAGCAGTGACAATGTCGATGAAATTACCTAAATATCGTGATGCGCATGGCACAGATGATCATTTTATGGCTGCAATGTTTGTGGCAGGGCTTTGTGGAGATTTTGAAGATCGGGGTACTGCTGCTGTGATGGGGGCAGAGGACTGGGAGCTGAGGAATATGTGTAATAGTCAGTATACGTTTGGAAACTGGGGCTCTGGTAATTCGAGGATGATGGGCAAAGTTTAGGGTTTCTGATGTATTTGGGGGGATATGAGAGTTCTTTCGATCATTTTATTTTTATGTATATAGTAGCGCGTTTACCAATTTCAAAATTCCTCGTTCAACTCTATTAGATTCAACTCCATGGAATAACACTGCCATATATTGTTGCTCAGTATTGGAAAATCAAACACCCTAGAATAGCTTCTCTCAATGTTCAGGGTGTGCCAAGCCATTAATAAGAAGCATCCTCTATAATGTCTCAGTGGTTATCAGGGAGCCTGACAGACGAAATCTTTTTCACATTTCTTTATAGACTATAGATAGGGAGTCATCTGGCGAACTGCGTACAAAAATTAAATTGGGTGGTGAAATAATCTAGACAAATATCCTTGAACACGAACCGAGCTCATATCTACAAACCCCAAAAGCACTCAAGCTTTAGCCGCCCACAGTCTCCAAATGATACCCCAAGCAGACCTTCCTCCAACCCAAGATATATACCCCAAAGTCGGAACAGCAACCGACAGAAATAAACCACCACCCAACATAATACCCTGTTCAAAAAATCCAATGGCATGACCGGGAGCCTGACCCGTTTCCTGCAGTGCCTTTACAGCCATGTTTCTAGTCTTTTTGAGAAGCTCATGACTATCTGATCCTCCTGTAAGAACCTTATCAAGAAGCAAGAATTCTTCGGGCGGAAGAGCAATATATTGCGGACACGGAGATGAAAATATCTCCACGCTATATTTGTGAAACGCAGGAATTGGAAGTGGTGTTGAGGGAGCAGCGGGTCCCACGAGGAGGTGCAGAGGAATATGATTTATGTAAGTGGTGCTGGCATTGAAATATTGAGCGAGAAACTTTGCGGTTGACTTGTCTGAAAAGATGTACAAGGCGAGTAATGAAGATCTGGAAATGTTTTGTAAGTACTTTATTCTAGAGTTTTGGACGGAACTTTGTGAACTCACTTTGATTTTTGCGTCATTATGGCATCCACTAAACTTGTAGTTCCCGTAATTAGTAGGTGGCAGCCGCCAATTTTCATCTCTGTAATGGTCGAAGCCCTGGATTTATCTTAGCTGACGTTTTGATTGCTGGGAACAAGCATAGGCATTGACATATTTACCTATCCACAACATCAACAAGAACAAAGTTGTTGGATCCAAAGGTCGGGATTTGCTTTTTGATTTCAGCATCCTTGAGTGCCTTTTTGGTGGCAGAGATTCCATCGTTCTGTCTATTTTGGCTACTGCTATGAGAGGAAAAGAACTCGCTCGCATATCTCGTACAAGCTTCTATAAAATCACTTTTGATGAAGTCATTGACGATGACTAAGTCAGGACTATATGACGAAGTTCCTTGAAAGGAAAATCGAGCAGTGACAATAGATTCTGTTGCACTTTCAATGTCTGCTGTTCGATCAACAACTGCAATTATTCGATCTGTTGACCTTGAGATGAGTTGATTAATGTTCGGGGTCGAAGAATTGCATGTTTGATCGACTATTAGTGCCGATTCAAGAATCAAAGAGTCTCGTAGATTACTCGATGAGATATAAAATGTGTCGTTGTTTAGGGCTTGGGGTAACAATTCTTTCAAGATGCTGTCAACTTTTGAAGTTGTGTCACCAAGCTAGTCATCTTTCAGTATATGTTTCGTATCTATCAATAGATATCTTTTCCACGTACCTCTAAACAGACGCAGTTCCCGGCAGCGATAGCAAATGCTATCGGACATATGATTGAGTAAAATCTCGTGTGCGTCGTCGGCCGAATGACAACTAAACCCTTTCCAATCTTACGTGACAAGAAATCTATACCATTAGCAACCTTATATTCGTTGCTTATCGATTACTTGAAGTTGAGCGTTTCATAGGATTTCCGGATAACGTCAGAAGCAAGGTAGAACACGCATAGGGCTTCAGTATCGATTTTTCGAACGTGACCGAAGAAATCTTCTGAGATTGCTGATGTGATCCTGTCGACATTGTTTCGCAGAACTTTATGGAGACTCTGAAGCTCATTTTGTCTGTATCTAACGTTGTCGGATCTACCATCAATTACAGATGCTCGTAGATTGTCAATGCCGAATGTTGCCATGTTGATAACTGTACTGCAAAATGTCACAAATTTCTGTTGGGGTTATGTAATGATACATCTTAAATTGAATACAGTATGGATATCATAAAATTTACGGAAATCGTATACTCCTCATCCGAGATGCGGGGAGAGGCTAGGGGTTAGGGATTAGCGGAATGTGGAGGGTGGGAGGAGTTTCCCCGAAATTCCGTAAATTCACTGCTCAAGAGATATGATGTGTTCCAGGATTCCGAAAACTAATTCGATTTTTTTTGGGTAGCTGTCGTTATCTCCCAGAAAAAACATCTCTATTGCAGCAATAACATCGTTCTGTTCGCTTTTGAAAGGATGTCGGCCACCATAACGGATAATCCCATTACCATCTCTTCCCGCCAAACACTGGCCGAATATGACATTCATCACACTGGTGACGACAGGGGAATGAATGATATGATAGTACCGCCGAATACCTCAAATATACCAGAGAACGTCAATAACCCCTCGTCCTGGCCTCGAGATCAGTACCGAATACCAAATTATCGACCTATAAATCAGCATCTGATTGCTGCAGAGCGACCAAATGGAAGTAATGGCGCAGAAAGGGTTTTCATTACTTTGATGTTCACAGGAGTCTCATTGAATGCGGTAAGTCAGTATTTGACTATACGAGATTCCTCTCACTCATATATACCTATGTGGTATAAACGCTAAACATATAGGGAGCGGCCCAAGTATGGGGTATGACAGGAGGGAAAGTTTTTACACGAGTGTTTCGATACGCTATCGGTGGAAAATGGTGATGGAATGGTTGAGGGAATTGAACGATCTTGAGACTACTAAGGTCGTCGCGATGTAAAGTATATTACGGCGCACACTTGGGCTGGGCTCGGTTACAGAAGAGGAGTTTTGTGTATTGTTGTGTAATTCTGTAAAGTTAGCAGAAGATTATCAGCGCTGTAGTGTTAAATTATTCACAGCTTCCCAGACATCTAGCCAATTGTAAAACCGTACTTTGTGCTACCCGAACCCAGCAAAAATAAAGCATTAAATCCATCTGATAGCCAAATGCCGTTTTCTTCCACAGATGACTATTGACACACTAACCTAATAAAGCTCAGCTATCTTGTAAGACCTACCCTACGCCAAGAAACATCCATATCCTCCGCTAACTTGAGAAAGTCATCATTCTCTAAATTTTTGATGATAAAATCGTTGAGCATTTTATGCCGTTCGTCATTGGGGAGTTTGTTGTAATTTGGCGGCAGAATTACCCGCGAGCCCATATTGTATCTTGAAACAACGAGATCCAAATCATCCTGTAATACAGAAGCTGTCGGTCGTGTTGACTGAAGGTTTACGACAGGAATATCGGAAGCAGGTTTGAGAGCCGCTGTGTGGTCTCGACCTGAAAGAGTCTGAGTTTGAGTAGATCTATCCACCATTTTTAGAGTCATGGGAATTGCGAGTGTTGGTACAGACTGCTGTCTAGTCTTGATTCTTTCTGCTTGCAGTTTTGATGACGTTGTATCTGATGCGATTGGTGTTGTAATGCTCTTGGCTTCAAGAGGAGGCAATTTTGCCGTCTTCATTGGGATGTCAAGGGTGCCACTTGCTGAACTGTCTTTTGAAGGAAAAGTTCTACTTAATAGGCCATTAGTTTCTGGTAGGTGTGCAGTACCCTTGCGACTTGCAACACGTCTCTTTGCTGGCTTTTTAGCAGGCGCGATACTCCCATTTGACAGGTTTCCCCCAACGAACTCTTCAAGCGGTCGCTTTCGCTGTTGTGCAACTTGAACTGGTCTACTAGTGTCGGCCACGAACACAGATTTGGATCTTAAAGGATCTTTCACAGTCGCAAATGGTAATTGTCGCTTTGGTGGTATAGGAAGGCCCAGGCAAATATCATTCTCGGCTGGAAGAGATATTGGGCGTTTTCCTGGTGCACCGAAGAAAGTATACTCAGTGGAACGAGGCAATGAACATTCTCCGACGGGACTCAAGGAATCTAGTGCCGTTTCATGTGTTTTGTTGCCTGAATTATGTGGATCATTGACCGAAGAGAACGAAGTCAATCTATCGGGTAGACAATGCTTCCTTTGTGTTTCGAAGAAAGGTTCGAAGAAAGGTGAGGCAGAGAACCGACGTTGGGATTCTTCTGGCTTTGGCAACATCATTCGATTCACATATGAATTACCACCTGCAGGCACCTCATCGGAGGTATTCAGTACAGAGTTTGAGGACTGAATTTGTCGTTGCTATGGGAAGATTAAAACCAAATAAAATAGAATGAAAAAGAACAGGACATACCTCTCGCTCAAACTGAGAAATATATAATGATTGTGCTCTATTGAGTGGCTCTGCAGATGGCTTGGACTGAGGCATAAATGAAGATATGGACATGGCAGATTGTGGTCTGATGTAGAGGTGATCATCGGATTGGGTATTATACGAGCTACTCGGTCTCTGAAGTATAGAACTAGCTGAATCTGGCCGCATGGGAACTTTGAATTCGCTGCTTGGAGTTAAAGGAAGATAGCCTACAGCTGAAGAATGACCATTAGATATTCCAGAAGACGTCGAGTCTGCAGTTGGTGGGCGGGATTGCAAGACAGGCCCTGACGACAAACTTTCTGTTGCAGTCAAACCCAAGTTTATCAAGATATGGAGAATCTGATTGAAGTCTGAGTCACCACGAAACCTGAATTGCAACCTACGTACCTAAAGAAGTAATGTCAGCTGCTATGAAAGGGACAAAAAAACTTGCGGCGCTCTTAACTTACATCATTGAGCTTTGGGTAACGCAGTGCGAGAAGTGGAGGTTTAACCACTACTTTCACTGGAATCTCGCTACCTGGAGACAAAACGAAATTCTTGTAAACCCTCACGATATCGTTCAAGTTTTGTTCTTCCTTGAAAGGTGTTACAACATTGAAAGCCTTGCACGAAGATTTATCACATACCAGATACTCAGCGCCTGCCACCACTTTCATCAATAAGTGCTTTTCATTCACTGAACTACTAACTTGCACCTCTTGAATCACAAGTTCAAGATCACTTCTCGAGTAATGAGTCCATTGAGCACCTGTGGTATCACCTTGATGGGTCAAAGAGCATGAGAACTTGACAAGAGGAACAACAACGCCCGCATTCAGTTGCGATTGTGAGAAAGTGAGAGACTCTTGAGAGAAGAAACGAGACATCTCGATCTATGAAATTAAGGATATTTGAAGGAAAAATAAACGAAAATGACTGCATAGATGATATATTGAGGAAAGAATGGAGAAAAATGAGAGAAGATAGAAGGAATAAAAGAGGGATAATGTATAGAGACCCTTCGGATGATAAATGCTATGGAGGTAAGTAACAGGAATTTGTCAATTTGAGATCAATGTTTGAATGATAGTAATGGTGACATTAACAACCTTAGGATGGTAGTCATATCAGTGTCGCTGTCCCTGTATCAACCTATTTTGAACGAATTCCTTTCAGATGGTTGTCCTTTTCAATTGACATGTTTCATGGAATTGAACTGAAAACAGTTTGTTGTCAGCTAAGGTACGGACGATTGTTCAAAGTTGGAGATAGATTCATCAAATTTTAGGCTATGGCAACTAGTATGTCACAAGCCACTAACTATAACGCACGGTCCTCTACCTAGCGTTTATGTCAAGTGAAATAGTTGATACCTTAAATTTCGGGTGTACCTACATTTCTCGCCCAAAAGTCAGTCCGGAGCTCACAACCTTCAACGACCGATCGCGTCGCCGTCGCAATTTCTACGCGTTGATTTATTTGTCGCATCAAAAGAAGCTTTTCCGACAACCATTGGATCGCCATAATTGTCGCATGGCAGGATATTACAATGGCGCCCCCAAGAGTTATTCACCATGATACCTCAATCGTTCATACTCCCGAATATGAGGATTTTATCGCAAAACTTAGAGTCTATCATGAAAAAAGAGGCACGCATTTCGATCCTGAACCGCGAGTTGGAACTAAGACAATCGACTTATTGCACCTTTACAATACTGTAATTGAGCGCGGTGGCTACGATAAAGTTAGCGATGAAAAACTTGCCTGGAGAAAGCTTGGTTCAGATTTCAACTTGGGAGCTAATAATTTACCTGCGCTGGCATTTAGTCTCAAAACAACATATTACAAATACCTCGCCGCATATGAAATCTCAACGTACCATGGTAAGGTACCACCTCCTCGTGAAATACTGGAAGATACGACCGCTAAAGGAGGGGGGCTTCTTTTCCGGACGATGGAGAATTTCAGACCCTCGATTCGTAGAGAGACGGGTATGCTTGGTACTGAGAATTCGGAGGCTTCTGGTGATGATGGTACACCTGTGCGCGATAGAAATGGGAGTGAAGAGACACCTGGATCTGGAGGAAGAATGACTCGAGGTCTACGACAAGCTCCTCCACAGCGGGTATTGTTTCAACCCGATACCCAACCATCTCGACAAGTTCGACAACATCCCCCTGCGACTTCTCATCCTCCACCAACTCCACAGCACCACTTACCTCAACACCAAACGCCCTCTCACTCGCATCAACATCATATGCCACGAGTTGGTGGTCCCTTCTCACACAACCCTTCCTCTGGAACCGAAAATATGTCTCTCGCAGTTACAAATTACGAACCTCGACTCCAGATGCCATTGACACTGCGACCTATAATTACACCTGGAAATAACCCCATCGAGTTTGCGCGACGCCAGAAAGCATTGAAGGATGCAGCTGCGGCCGCAGAAGGCGCCAAAGCTAGTGCAATTCCAAGGGGGATGATGTTACCTGGCAGTAAGTTTTCTAATGTTTCCTCTGAGATTGTGATTCCGTCTCAAGAGTGGGTACTAATGATTCGCGAAGCTGGTTTTGATGGACCTAACATCTACGTTCGTTGCCTCTGTTCCCTGAGATCGGGCATCAAAGATGAGCAAGATTACGCTCTACACCATCTGGTTAAAATCTCCATGGAACGTGGTGACAAATACAAATTCGAAGGATTTCCAGGTCTTGCCGAAGCCTTGATCGAAAAGATGCTCGAAGTCAGTTCATTGTTTTACGATGTTCACTGGCAGATATCCTACACAGAAGATGGCGACATGATATCTACCACTGACACAATCAACGGTCTGGAAGGCACACCAGACATACTGGAAAGAATCAAACATTTAGCTAAGCTACCAGTTGATGATAATATTCAAACCGAAGAATTCAGTGATACTCTTCTTCAGATCAACGAGGCAGCGTTAACAATGAGAAATATGGTAATGTTAGAGGAAAACGCCTTCTACGTATCTGAACTTGCACCTCTACGAGATTTTCTCACCATTGCCTTGAACCTCCCCAATTCCGACACTGTTGTAGAGTTGAAACACTACGCTTTAGATATCGCTGAACAGCTTACCAAATATCTTCACTTTGAGGTCGGAGATCCCCTTTACCTTTCACTCCTCGCACAACTGGATTCACACGATCGAGGCGCCATCTTAACTTCCCTGAGAGCTATCAGCAGAATATCAATGAATCTTGAGGAGAACAATCTCCTTAAGGGTGTACCAGCATCCGCTGTACAAAACATTATTGATTGGACCTTGCTGAATGACGAAGACCTTGCCCATGCTTGTTTGGATTTCCTCTATCAATACACCGCGGTTGTTGAAAATGTGGATTACCTTATCACAGAGGTGAAAGCAGAGCCACTGGTCAAACAGTTGACACGACTCCTTATGCATGGCGCTCGCATCATAGAAAAAGAGTTTAATCTTGGAACTCAGTACAGAAAGCCTGCACCTTCAGAAATTGCGCCTATTCCACAAGATTTACTACTCGAAATTGCCAAGTTTGAGGAACCAGAGCGTAGTTCACGCTGGCTGCGTTGCCTTTATGAGGAAGATCCCGATGAGTCTATCACACAAATTGCCTTGTGGCACGCCTATCAACAACAATTCAATTACTTGGCCACACAAACATCAAAGCCACTTCTTCCTGCTGCAGATTTCATTAAGAATGTAAGCACGACTTTTGGCGACAAAGCGAATGCACAAGTTCAAAACGGCCCTGTAACAAAATTCATCATTAAGGGCATTCGATGCCGCAGTGAGCCAGTAGACCTACAAGGAGAGGCATACACCAAATGTTTGTGGCGCACTCATGTCGGAAAGCCCTGTGGAGAATTCTACATGACTCCTGAAGCAGGTTATCAGCATATTCTCAAAACTCACTTTGGAGCCCAACTTAATGCGGACAACAAATACGTCAATTCAGCCTCAAATCAACAATATGTTTGCGCGTGGGATACATGTTCTCGTTTCCGCTCCTCTCCTGCCACCAAGCTCTCAGAAGCCGCTACTCACATCAAAGTTCATCTCCCTCCTAAGCGTACCCCTGCTAGCGAACGTGAATCACAAGAACCTTCCGGTCCTCCACCAGCCAAGAAACACAAACCATCATACATCGTCCAGCCACCTCGCATAAGCTTCAAATACCACTTCACAGCTGTCGATGAGCATAATGATGCAGCAGGTATTCCACTAAGTGCAGTGCTCGTTCTCCGAAACTTGGCAAGGAATGTCAGTAAGACTGAAGCAGAGGAGGCGGCTCTCAAGGAAGGTGAAGTTTCTTGGGTTGATCGGTTGTTCAAGCCGGTGGAACCGAGATTATTTGCTATCTATGCGCATAATAAGATTTTGGTATGCTACTTTCTCCTATTTTTCAACCTCCCATCTCGTTTCGAATTTTCTTTTGTCCAGCAACTCTCACATGATTATCAAAATAAATTTACATAACTTTCGTTCATCCGTATTGACCGCAAGATCGTGGGGAGGCAATTTATATCTTTATGACTTTTAGTGCTGAATACTCGACTGCATCTTTCATCTTTCTTACAATTATTGATCTTTTCATGTATACTAATTCTATACAATCTAAACAGGCCACTTATATGACAGATCTTCTCGTCGCAATCAAGGATACGCAGGGTTGAAAGGGACATTGGTCTGGGATATGGGGCAAAGGGTGGTATTTCGGGATATTTGCGAACAATTAGGAAAACCATGAGTATGATATGTTAAATGATCAACTAATAAGGAAGCGGGCGCAAAAATTTCAGAATGGCGGCTGGGCGTTTCATGGCTGGTCTAATTTGATGGAGAATTTAATTATGAGGTGTATGATAGATGCCTTCCTGCTTCCAGATACCTCTTCGGATGGTGGATGCTGGATGGCGCGGGAACGCGAGGAAAGTGGAGGGAATCGCGAGATTTTTAACTACCTATCTAGGTATCTTTGTATTCTGTCCTGATCGTTTTGATTGATTTCTATGGAATAGTGAAATGGCGATTGGACAATATAATGTGTATTGTGTGAATATTAGTTGACTTGATATTTGCACGCTTTATGTATCTATCCTGAACAAACTCGATGTGGATTTTAAGCGTCTTTGGCCATCTGGCTGCTGGCCGCTGGCTTGATTTATTATCTATATCTACTACCGAATGGTCTATGGCTCGAAACAAGATGCTTATTGGTAATGTGTTTCAGATACTCGTTTCCTCGTTTTTCTCATCTAGTTCTATTTTACTTCGTAGAATAAAAAATAGATAACGGGAAATCGATTCATATCCTTCTCTTTCTCTTTCCCTATCCGTACCCAACCATTTCATTATCGTGGTACTGTTCAAATTTGAAGACCATCCATCCCATCATCACTCCAGCTTCATAAATTCGCACCTCAATTCTTTTCTTTTCTCTGCTTTTGCATTTGCTTTTGCATATCAAGTATCATATCATATCACATCCCGAAAGGTGCTCATATTATATCTCCCCTCTCATACGGAACTTCGATGGTTGAATACATCTCATGTGGATATCCTATCCTATCCTATCACTATATGAAATCAAACCCTCTTTCACATGATATGTATACATGCATGTATTTATGAATTCCTTCCTCGCCCTACTAGCTAGATAGCATAGCATATCACACACTAGGTAGAACAGTATTCACTTCCATCTCTTTCGCATCCCGAATGATTCGATTCGCTTACTAGGAATATCCATCTATCTATTCATCATGGCTTCTCTAGATGTAGATTTCTTACTTTTCATCGTGATTTTGGTATTGATAAAATAGTGTTTGATTGCTATTCAGTTTAATTTATCTAATTGAAAATTTTCTATTCGAGACGGAATATGTCATATAGATATAGATATACTGAACTTGAATTGAATCACTCGATATATAATTCCTAGACTACTCACTCTGGATATGAAGATCTCAATTAATCACAACTTCCTATTTCCTAATAAGGGCGGGCTTGGTACTATATATTTTCAACTCTTGCTAGCTATCGAATACCAGTATAGTGTATCACTGTTCAAATAGCGTATTTCAAATCTCCAAACTACAGATTCCACATTCCACATCTCTGATATGAATCCTTCACTTTCCAAACTCTCCCAAATTTACTTGCCCACCTTTCCAAAGTTCCCATCACCATCAAATCTCGCAGTTATCACTACTTAAACTCCTTTCTCCTCACTCCTCTCTCCATATCCCCTCTCCATATCCCCTCTGCATATCCCTCTACACATCCCTTCCCCATCTTCAGATATATAGCACAATCCAATTGTATATATAACATGACATTTATAACCATACCTTATACATCAACCACCTATCTAGGTACCCCGGCCTACTAAGTAGTAAATCTTTAGTACCGACTACCGAATATAAAGCAGATTTTCGCTTGAAAACTAACTACCTACCTCCAAAACTACCTAGGTCCAGGGGTAGGTAAGTAAACACTGTATTTATTAGGATAGATGTTGTATAGAAGCAGTCGCTAACCTTACACATCAGTCTAAATCTTTCTAATCATGTTAAATCGCCCCCTCTTGTCTCATTCCAAGATGTATAAATATGATATAATAAATCTTTCTTCAAACGCTTCGAGGAGACAAACAAGACAAAACAAAACAAAGGCAATAAATGTAAATGTAATATAAATAGTCGGAAATGCATTGAATAAGGTGAACTAAAAACAATTCCCGAGCATCCTACCCTTATTCCTAAACCTAATCCAAATATGCTGAACAAGAAAAATCCAACCCCAAAGACGGTATCCTAAACATGTAACTCCATCCCATCAACCAATTCCAATTCCAATTCCATCCCAAGCAATCCATCAAACAATGCTGCATTATCAGAAATTCATTCATCAACCCATGTCTTCAAGGTTCCAACCTCAAACCGGACCCACTTCCCTCTCTCCATTCCACTCCGCTCCTCAGCTTCCAGCCACACAATACCATACCACACCCACTTACTTAGTCATAAAACCCAACCAATCCGCCACAATCAATGTAACCATCGCATGCGGAGCAATCCTCACATAATACGTACCAAACCCTCTGTAAAATCTCATCATGCCTTCCTCTCTCGCGACCTTTACAAAACAATCTCCCATGCCCTTGTAAACGCGATCTTTTCCTCTCCCCTGTTTCTGCAACCTCGTCTTGACAAAATCAAACGGTAAACTGAAGAAACTGGCAAAGAAACCGGCGACGGCTGAAGCGGTAAGTGTTTGTGTTTTGGGGTTCCAATCAGTGCGTGTCTTGAGTTGTGATTTTGCTTCGGAGAAAAATGCCAACTGTCCGAAATTGAGAGCCATGGCTCGCACAACCGTGGGTGCGCACCCAGCCCAGAGAGCTGTGATGCCTTCGGATTTGGTAATGGATATGAGAGCATCGATGACGGATTTATAATTTTTGCGTTCCGCTAGTGGTTTCAATCCATCGGATTGCATGCGGATCAGAGCGAGATCTGCAGGATTGCCTATCATGGCCGCCAAGCCACCAGCTGTGAGACCTGCTGCGGCGCGCTCTTTGAAGCCGATGGTGGTATTGTTTTCTTTTGAGCGAGCGGAGAGGGTCGTCATGAAACTATCGAAGAAGCCAAGACGGGCGGTGGTGTAGACGGCTTGGCGGAGGAGGCCTGCGCTGAGACCGGTGTAGAGGTCTAGTGCTTTGCCGGAGGCGAGAATCTCGCGGGTCACGGATAGAGGGGTGGGTTTGGGACCGGTGCGGATTCCTTCACCGGCGAGTTGGAGACGCACTTTGATCATGTCGATGGGTTGGATGACAGTGGTAGCTGTCATGCCTGCGAGACCTCCGTTGATGAAGGGGAGAGCGGCACGCATGAATGGTGTGTGAAGGATATCGTTTTTAACAGCTATGGGATCTGCTTTGGCAGAGTCGGCAAGTCGTTTGGTCGTTTCCATTGCTTCTGATGTTCTATTTCGTGCTGCTTCGGCAGCTTGCTTGATGGAGTTGGTGGTGGACATTGTGGGTGGTTTGACAAAAGGGATGTGTATGAATTCAAGGTAGATTAATATGATATTGAGCAGGTGTCTTGCTCTGTAAGCAGCCGTGAATTGTTAGCCCGAATGACTCTATCTCTTTCATGACGGAAGGATAGACGTGGGACATGGCGTTTATATGTACATAGGTATCCAAGAACGACCTTGATTCTTGTGGGCTGTGGGGAATCTAATCCATATAATTGGACTATTTGCATCGACCCAAATAAAAGACCCAGGCATCATCAAACATATGAACGGACGTGGGATTGATCGGAAATGAGTCCAGAAACAAACGAAGCCCTTGGGAAGTTCGAGAGAGGCATGCGAAATCGGTACGAGCGGTAAGGTAGATAACCTTGGTAAAGAAAATCGAACAATAGAGAAACATCCATCACTCACTTGAAATGCTCCGTGTACCGGATTATTCCAACCGGACTACCGTCGCGTACCTCTGGGACAGAAAGTGGGCTTGGCTGGTAGTATTTGGGTCGATATGCACAGTCGATCGTCTCCCTAGTCAATATCAATAGTGTACAGCCCTGTGCTGATAAGACAAGATTCAGATAACGTCGTTTACGATATGTGGCTGTGAGATGATATGATATGGTGTAGAGAAATGAAGCTGGAGATTTCGAGAGAAAATGAAATAAAAATCAAATCAAATCAAATGTATGGGAAGACAAGCACGACAACGATTAAGTATTTCAGGATTTGATGGGTTCAACGTATTGGCTGGATGATGTTGAGTTTCCCGTTGGCCGACTTGGTATAGTGAAGCAGAGAGTGGTAGGATCAATTATTGGGTGCGGGGTCGAAGGTTTGTTTGGCTGCGGCTGCAAGGCACTTCTTGTGTGAGGAAGGTATGGATGGGATTGGGATTGGGATTGGGATTGAGTTTGATGAGATGATGCTATACCTGCTCTAGTATGGATGTACAGGTTGTTCCTCTGGCTATCAAACGAAAGCAATGAATGTTTCTAGTTAGTCTTGATGCTAATATTGATGCTAATGTCGATGCTACTGCTCATGCTCATGCGAGTGTTGATTCCTCCTCTTCTCTTCTCGTCTCTTCTCTTCTCTTCGCATTCTATGTGAATTATAACATCGATGGTTGATATAGTGCAAGGGTTCAGGTTTCTCATTTCTTGTTTTCCCGAGGTGATACTTCAAAGGTCTGATATAGCTCTGATAGTATCTACCTTCCCAATGGGGGGATATAACACGATATCTCTCAGCCTGATGTCATTCCTTGATGCAGAATTATCTGTTTTCGGAGATACTTAATGTCATACCACAGGGACAACAAAGAAAGAAAAAGATAATTTATTAGCCTTGTTCTCATTGAAGCACATTCTTATTGCATAGCCACATGATTGATATTTATCTTTTTGGCATGTTGATCTATTGTGGATGTGTCTCTTTATTCATGCTGTTGATGTATGCTGGGTTGAGATAATCTCATGGTCTATCGTCTCATAGTCATAGTCATACCTACTCATAACCTTACCTTGTACTCATTCTCGGATAGTCTGATACTCATAGTCATACCCTCATACTCATTCTCTAATAATCTCATACTCATATTTATATATTTATATATTTATATATTTATATATTTATATGATTACTTATACCTCGTATGTCCCGTATCCTCGTTGTATATATGTAATAAATGATCCATAATTCCTTCCAGGTGCATTTATCGTCTCACTTGGCAACCCTTTGCTTTGGTACCAAGAGATTCACAAAAATGCGGGGGAGATTATCCTCTAAATGATCTAGCGTCAATAAGATTAACATATCCCTTCCTATTGTGATTGGGATAACGCGGCATCTGTAGTCTCCGCTCTCCCGTGATTGAAACATGAGACATGAGACATGAGACATGAGACACATACACACACATACATACACACACCATTCTCGACGCGATTCATTTTCTTTTGATTACCGGTATTATCAATCTTCACTATCACTTCACTACACATAGATCGCGTATTGTTTTCTATCTTCTCTTCCAAAATTTAAATTATAAGACAGACAGACAAACCAGACAGACAGACAACCCAGACAGACAGACAACCCAGACAGACAGACAAACCAGACAGACCAGACAGACAAAAGAACTCTCCTTCATGCATCAACCTTTCTACTAGGCAGGTCGATATCAAAGGCTGAAAACAGTCTCGGCCCTTCCATCATTCTACCGCATCTTCATCCCGTTACACCAAAAGAGCAAAGCTCAAGCTCACTCACACATGTCAAATTACATCAACCAATCCACTTTCACCTATTAAATAGCTATCCAGCTTCTAGCTCCCCACAATCCCATACCATACCCATATTCAGATTCATCATCAACAAGCGCCATCAATTTCCCACATTCATCTCAATCCGTTCATCACTCTAACATGGTTCCGATAATTTCTCGTCCTCCTATTACGCATGCGATATCGCATCCTTTTCCGCGGGTTGCTGAGTTTGATGATATAACATATTATAATGAGATGCGTGGAAAATGTTGAGATTTCGAGACATCGAGATTCGAACAGATCAGGAATTCTCTCCACCACCGGAAATTTATTCCTCCGCGTCGAATGCGTAACCGTAAGTGCCCGAGATTATGCGATGGGAAGCGAGTGGAAAGGTGCGTGGGGGTGGAGGATTGGGGGGTGCACGGTGGAGATTCTCCGTGGAGAGATATATGATTATTTGGTATTGGAATTCGTGAAGACGAAGCGATGGAAAAATTATTCATCGTGGGCTCTACAGCTTTGTTGGTTGGTTCATGTCATGTCTCACCGTGGAAGTATTAGCTCGATCTTCTCATATGGCTCTATTGGGTTGATGCATTCACGATGTAGAATCATGGATCACCCATGGAATTATCTAGAGCAAGTGCAAATATCATATCACCCAAAGTGAACACACCGAGGAATGGGAAAGTAGTAGCTTTCCTGGTTGATAGGCTGTGTTATCGAGGAAATCATAACCTTGTGATCACCAGGCGCCATCAAAATACTTCATCCCACTCCTCTAATGCTTCTTTGGGAATGATAGGATCATATCAAAATAGGCATGACCTATCAGCACCATAATATCCTCATTCTACTTCATTACCTAACCATCCCTTTCCCTTTTCTTTGGCTCCACGGTGTCGCTTGAATTCTGGATGGTTTCCGTCACAACTATCATCGTACTCTTCCATCCAGCTTCCAACACCTGCCAGTTGCTCATCTTGTAACCCAAGACCGGGAATGACTTCTTCGGGAGTTGAGGATTGCTCGCGTCTTATAGTGGATTTGCTGGTAGTTGAAGCAGAAGTATATGCTGTTGCAAATGCATTGTCATAGTGATGATGTTCAGATTTTTTCTGTCCCCAGTCGTGGTGAAGGCAAACAAATAACTTCTTTCTGTTTTATGTCAGTACTTGAGATGAAAATGGCCATTGGTATATAAATACTTTTGTGAAGCCCAAGGCAGATTGATACCTCTAACTGTACTACTGGTTGTTGAAGCAATTGTAGAGATAGAGGTATTGTGGTCATAATGATGTTGAGCATCCGAATTCAACTTCTTTTCACAGGTCAATCTATCTATGTTTTCATGGTGGAGGTGATCATAGTTCTTTGAGGTGCTAGATTGAACGGATTTTGTAGTCAATCCTTTGGTGGTTAGGTCAAAGTTGATGGCCGAGGCAAAGTTGACGACTGAGGCAGAGGTAGTTGTAGATGCATGGTAATGCTGATGATGATGTTGGTGATGGCGAGCAAAATCTTCTTTTGAGTCTTGCCTAGTCCATATTAGCTGATCGCTGGCGAAGGAGGGAACTTTACTCAGTATCAGTACATTGACGACTTCGGAACCTGAGTCATGGTTAGGTGAAATCTGACATGAGTGCTCAAGGCACTATAGATTCTAAAGTGGTGTTTGCATTTGTCTTTCTATTCAACATATCGAGGGGTCCATGACATGTTAATCTTGAGAGGAAGTTTACTTGGTTACTCTTCACTCATCATCATCCCTCTTTTTGCCACCGAACAAGTCTGAGAATACACAGATAACTTGTCCACGTATCTGATTCAGCAAAACTAAGTAAGTCACCTCGAGTCCTAATTCCAAGTGGAAGGCATGGTGAAGTGGTAGCTATGGATGCGTTTCTGATAAGATATCAGAATTCTGGTTGTCTAGTTGAATGAGAGAGATACGCTAGACATCCGATGACAACGAATAGCGAGAATGTTTTGGAATGCGATTCAGGAAGGGAAGTTTCTCGTATGAGCATTCATATCGTTGTCATGCCACAAATCGGTTTGTCAGTGTATCACCTGCAGCCGCCAGAAATTATTAAAATACGAGGTTTGACACAAACTATTGAATGAACCATGACTACAGCGGACAATACACGTGGCATGCGATGAAGGCTTTTTGGGCTTTGGAGCTTACCACGCAGATGTAAATACCACCACGTGAGGCTAGACAATATGCGAAAATTTCCCCGCTCGGTTTCGGGCTACCCCTCAATCTGAGCCTCAACCTCGATAGATCTTTCGCCCCACACTCCGCTACCAGGTTACTGTAATGTGGCTGCTTGGGTTTCGAGCTAATTTCGAATACACTGCTTTGCTAAGGTCAATATCCACAGCATTGTCATATTGTCTGTATATAGGCTCTCATATTTTTGAGCGCAATAAAGGGCGGCATGTTCGCCACGAGTTTAATCGCATACTTGTGTGGTTTTCTTGAGTACCCATGTCTCATGTAGTCGGCATCACTCTCCCTTCTCCTTCCATCTTGGTAGAATATCATACATCTTACCTACCTCCAATCCCTCACACTGTGATAATATAGAAAATGTTTCATGGTATTGCCTGTGGATTTTTTGGTAATTTGGTATAATGGTATCCATCCCTCGAGATCAAGGTAGAATGAGAAATCAGCTCTTTTTTTGGGGAACTCGATGTACCTCCTAACTTTAAAACCCTCTTATATGTTAACCCATATTCTGCAATCTCTCATTTCAGACGTCTCGAGAGGTCTGCGAGGATTTTGATGTGTTTTGTTGGAGATGTGTTGAAGTTTGTTTTGGAGAGTTAGGTTTTTAGGTAGTGAGGGAGTGGAAGGAGGTTTTAGTGATGATTTGATTTGCGAAAATGTAGTGTTGGGTTGTGTTGTGAGCTTGGGATGTGGGATATGGGATATGGGATATGAAAACTCAATCTGGGATGATAGAATGAGATGAGATGAGATGAGATGAGATGAGATGAGATGAGATGAAAATCATATCTTGTTTTTATTTTTTTTCTTGTCTTAAGGTTTTCGTCAAGTAGATTGAGAATTTTGTGGGTTTGTAGGTTTGTAGATTTGTAGCAGGTGCGTACAGAGTCTGATCTGAGGTGTTAGAGATATGGAGGTGAAAGGAGCGAGAGCAGCAAGAGGAGAGAGAGGATTTCCGTCCTTTGTATATCTAGGTAGGTAGGTACTTTATTTCTTTTTGTAAAGTGTAAGATTTTTTGATTGTGTTTGATTCTTTAGGTGATAAATGTGGTTGTGAAATCTTGTGTTTATTAGTGTGTAGATAGGGAGTTGGAGATTTGACTATTTGAATTAGGTTTGAATTTGTTGGATGGGGGGGGTTTTTTTTGATTTGTTTTGCTGTTGAGATGGATTGCTGTTGAGATGGGTTGCTTTTATTTGAGAGTGTGTTGTGTGAGGTTTTGGGATTGAATGGAATAAAGTGGAATGAGATGGGAGGGAAATAGGAAGTAGTGAACTGAAGAGGAGATATTACATGAGGAGAGTATTGTATTGATTTCTTATAGGAGTGATGAGGAATTAATTTCAGTTATTTTATATAAGGATAAAAAGATGAAGAGATTGAGGGTATTGGAGATGTATGTCAATGAGTAATTGAGCATAGATTTAATACTTGAAGAGTAGGGAGTGGGTTGAGCTAGGCATTGGATCATACTAAGGCGGGGATGAGATGGGAATGTGAATTTGTTTTTCATACTTGGCCTAGGATATTGTAGATGAGTGTATCGATGTGAAGTTAGAATTGGTTGAGAAGGAGGATAGATCTTTCGATACCTATCTAGAGAATTTAAATCTGAAAGGATATCATTTCCAAGTGAGATTGAGATTTTGAGAATGGTAGCTGTATTAAGGTTATTGACGACGTATAGAAGTGTGAGATAGGTTGATGTGATTTCTGAATATCTATGGGTTTACTGTTTTATTGAAGTTTGATATATGTAGTGGGCTTGATGCTCTTCGCTTGTTTAAGGGATGTTTGGGATTGATTATATGGAATCGGTTATAGGATTTGAGAGATCGGATGAAGGTAACAAGCGAGTGGGATTTCTGAAGAAAGGCTTTCGGCGCTCTGCAAGATATACGTTGTAAGGAGATGGTATGAGTGGTGGGATCGAGCTGTTGAGAGAGAGTGTGATGGGATTGATATGTAATGTTTACTTTACTGTGGTTTTCTGATCAGCTGCTTATGTTGTGTCTTATCTCCTTTTTAGATGGATTTTGGATATGAGATGTGAGATGGTTGGTGGAGGTATCTCGATCTTTGACCGAAGCTTTATTTTTTGATGGTATGAAGTGAAAAGTGGTATACAGAATCAATGTATCGACATACGGAGAGACACTTCATAGTCTGAACGAATTCGTGAAAGAGTTTCATCAAATTATTTGATATGCATTCAGAAACGAATGATGATGTGGGTATCAGAGATTACCATCGACTTATTTTCGAGATATTTACAATGTTTCATTCGTCCCTTTTGTGTGATTAACTAGCTATGAGAGTTCTATACCTACGTACAGTAAGTTTCGGAATTCAGTTAAAATGCTCGATCTGATTTTCTATATCCTAGCTGGTGTACAATCTCATCCAAACCATAAAATAACACCCGAAATGGTATCTCGTACAAAAATCCCAACCCGATTATTCCGGGGCTATATATAACATCTCCTTGGGGGATTTGGGGATGCGGATGTAGAGGGGAGTTCATAGGGTTTTGGGTTTGGGGTTGGGATGGGTGGTGAGTTTGTAGGTGGGGAGTAGAATTCATGGGGTAGTGAATTGGGTATCGAGGTGGATGGGGTGTTGTAAGGCTTTTCTGGATTTGGTGTTGATGGTGAGTCTGGGGTGTGGATAGTTGTTCGAGAGATGAGCTTTTTATGGTCCAATGATATTTTTGGAATCCCCAGAATGAAGCGGAGAGGAATGTTATGAGAAGGATTCCGCTTCCGATTACTAGCCCGATGATAAGGGTGCCGTTAGGTCCGGCTGGGGAGTCGGTCTTTTGGGCGGGTTCTTAAGAGATGGTTGAGGTTATGGGGGTGGTTGCAGTTGCTGAAGTTGCTGAGGTCGCTGAAATTATTGAGGTTGTGAAAGCTGTTGGGTTTGACGAGGTCGATGATGGGGTAGAAGATGACATCGAAAAGGTGCTTGAGGAGACCGGTGATATGATATGGAATCCCCTTGACCACGCCTCAAGTTTTGTGCTTAATGAATTGAGACTTGTATTATTCGAACTATGTTCCCATGCCAGCTGATGTATTCCGGCGGCTGCAACATTGAAATCGATTTCATCAACTGTAGGTGTCCATAGAATGGAAGAATTGTAGACATCCTGATTGCCTTTCATGATTTTAGTAAGTACACCACAAAGTGAATCAGTATAACTCACCAGCAAGAAGAAAAGGTGCGTATTTTTTCACTACTGTGTTATCTTGTGAGTCGGCGCGCAGAAGCCATAGATTCAAAAGAAAATCTCCATTTTTGGCGACATTGAACGTGTGAGCTGCCCACGTCAGGTTCACCAGAGAAGTTGCAGTGACGTTGACCGGAGCCTCAAAAGTCCATCTCTGCGCCATGTTTTTGATAGAAGAACGTTTCTCAATGTATCATCAATTACAATACTGTCTTGAAAGCATTTGTACGATGAATAAAAGAATTAAAGAGAATGGAGTTCTATGACATATCTGATGCATGGAAGGGCTTTCGAGTGTAAGGTATTCGGGACCCTGCTAAGATCATCGTAAGGATGCTAATTTTGGACGGTGTAATCGCTGCGATAGTTTGAAGCGCGAGCCTCATAACCCAGCACGATACAATTGGCCCTCTCTGAGCAAAATCGTGTCACATGATTAACCCCATCTTGCAGCTGCTGCATCCCTCTATCTTTGCTACCAGATTCGGACGCAAGAGGTAGGATTTGTTTCAACCCTGGATAATCTACAAGGGAGCATCTGGAGTTTTTCCTTTCACTAAAACCTCGTGACTTTTGGAGACGAATCTGTGGGAATCAGTAACTGTCATGGGATAGAGAAGCTTCCCAGAAAATGCCATTAGATTTTTCAATATCACTCACCATTGATTGTATTGATATTCACGTTGTCACGCTTTATTTATTCTTTTTCTTTCTTCTCGAATTAGGACCCTTGGCTCGGAGAAATACTGGGTATACAGGGGCATTCGACGGCGCTAACCGAGCCGATAATGTGATAGCAATTTCCAGCCCCTGATGCGGTACCAGCTTAACCGATATCCCTACATCGTGCACGTCCCTGTATCGTACACGTTTTTAAACTCACTCTACAACAACTTCAATATTTAATAATAAATGCATTCAATAAGATATAAAGCTATAAATTGTTTAAGAATATAATAAAATATAATAGATTAGAAAAGAATATTTAAAACTTCTTTATTTAAATCTTATAGGAATCTTGATCTGTTGGCCTTGTTTCAACTATATAACCCCCTCCCTTTCTTCTATTGTTGATTTATCCATTATTATTATATTAGAGAGCTCTATAGTTTCCTTAGATATTAGATTTATAATATATAAATCTTCTTAAAGCTTTAAATCTCTTTTAATAGGAAATTCTATTGATTTATAAGTTCTTTCAATCTTCTCTTTAATATCTCTTATAAATTAATAATCTATCTCCTTTTGTATTATTCTCTTTTTAGTTTTAATTACCTTTTTTTCCTTTTTAGCTTTTTTATTAGCTTTTTTCTATATCTTAACTTTCTTTTCCTATTCTATAACAAGCTTTTTCTCTGATTGGATAATCCTAGTTCTTTTAATCTAAGAGGGGGAATATAAAAAAGCACCACCAGCCTTTTTTTTTATAAGATTTAAATGCTTGGAATAAGTCCTTTTCTTCTTTTCCATTTTTAAAGCCTTTTCTAGACCTTTTACTCTATACAATTGAATATCAGCTTTAGCTACATTAGCAAAGACAGCCTTAAAAAGCTTTAAAGCAATCTCGGGGTTCTAATTTCGTCGAAATTCTAATTTAAATCAATATAGAGCTTTTGACATATATAATGTTTTAATTTTATTCCTCTATAAGCCATATCAATATAAATGATATAGGAGCTCTTTCTGGCTCTATGCTAAATATAATAGCCTCCTTGCTAAATGAATAAATACCCGCTTTTTCGAAGGATTATAGTATATTATAGAAAATCGCAGATTAAGCCCAAGCCACTTTAAAGATGACCCAAAAGTTGTATTTTGATATACTAATTAAACCCCCATTTTTATATATCCAATTATTGAGTTCTATACCATAATTCATTAAAAGAAGGAGGAAGTAGTTTATATCGAGTAGTTGTAATCAATACATAGAATAAAAAGACAGAATCAATAATATAATTTTCAATTCATCGCATTTTGATATAAATTCTATATTAATATAACTAGAATGATCATCTACAATCAATAGCTAATATTCTTTACCTGTTTTTAGATGTGTATAGTATTGAAAGACTTTTATAAGCCAATTAAGCTCAAAAGCATTAGATGATCACCCATTACTTAAGGCTTCGAAATAAGCTTGATCTTTTATGCCCACTTTATCAACTTATATATCTTATAGATTGTCTGATTCCTCTTTATAGATTAAGATAGATGGGAGAGCTATACCATCGGCAGTTATATATACTAAAAAAGTAATAAACTCTCTTAATCTATTTTGCTTAACTTTTGTAACTCTGCCTTTTTTATATGTACTAATACTTATTATTCTCTTCATAACTCTTCCAAAATTAATTAGAAATTCTTTTTTATTCTAATTATATATATTTTTCAATACAATATTATATTTTATAATCACTTTTACTAATTAAAAAAAAAAAAAAAAAGATTAGCAAAAGCTTTTTTAAATAGTATAAATCAATAATAATATAAAATAATATTAACAAGATTATAAAAGTATTTAAACATATTTATATTATTAATCTTGATATGTAAATTATCAATGCAATAAAGATATTGACTTTGAATACAACTTTTATACTACTTAATGAAGTTGGTTATTTAGTTTTTCTCTACACAGCACTCTTTTATTTCTTCTATTAAGTTTCTAATTATAATATTTATAAAAGGTATAGATCTTTGTATTAATTTGTTAATCTAATTTAATAAAGCTTTCTCCTATTTTAATAAAAGATATTAATATATATTAATATAATCTATTTTATGGGAGATGGTTTTGCCTCTATACCATTTTGAGAGCATAATACAATTGATTCTATATAAATAAGCTATCTGAGTATATTTAGGATATTCTTGATCTTTAATATGATTTAGCATAAGCTTCATATGGCTTTCTAAAGATATATTGTCGCGATATTTAGATAATGATATTGATGTTTTTGAAAGCTAAAAAAGCGTGCACGATACAGGGACGTGCACGATGTAGGGATATCGGTTACCGGATCAGATCTTTCTTTCTTGAATCATCAATTCACGTGCTTCGCGTTTCAAATGGAACAAATGACAGGCGTGTGGTGTGATTAGCGTCTGGGTTACCCCCGTTAAACGCCCAAGTACAGAAAAGGTTAATACTTCCTTCAAAATCCTTATTCTATTTTAACTCTCGACTGATGGCTCCACAAAGTCTATATTAGTAAATTTCTTACTGAATCACGAAATAAGGCAATTTCGTTTGGCCAGTCTGTTCTCGACCTCCCTATTTTCTGCAACTTTGCGTGCTCCCATTCCAATGTAACCTTTCGATAATCATTATCTTATGTACCCCTGATAATAAATATCGGCATATGAAATAGTAGAGCAGTGATGGTTCGCCGAAGCTCCCGCCCCTATCTTCTTGGCGCGTTTGTCGCCCTCGTGTTCATCACCCTTATCTCTCTCCAAACTCGCCAGGAATCACCAAAATCCTCGACATGGTTAGACTACTCAGATAAGTCAATTTCAGATAGCCGCAACTATGTATCCGCGACTTCCGATGAGAAGCTTATACCGGCCGACACCATTTCGGAAATAGGTCGAGCCAGTAATGCAACTCTTGGTGTACGTATCCTCCTCCTCCAACTTTGATTGGGTGAAACTAGCTTGCTAACACAATAATCGACTAGTTTGAGAAAGTTTTTGTCATAGGGCTGAGAGAACATTCAGACAAACGGGATACGATAGCGTTATCTGCCTCTCTGACGGGATTTGATGTAGAATTTGTCGATGGAATTGAAGGCGATGAAGTAGCCGATAAGGCTAAGCCGCCGGTATGTGACATGTACTCTACAACAGCACCCGATACCTACTATAAGTTGGGACAAATGGTACCAGAACTGAGGATTGACGCTCTGACCTAGGAATATTTTCTGAATGGAGGGGCGATGGGTCCTTGGCGGGGTCACATGAATGTGATACGGAGGTGTGTACATACTATCTATCTACTATCATTTTACGTTCTAGAATACACGAACGATTCAATACTAATCCACAATACTATTACACAGAATCGTAGAAACCAAGCTTGCCTCAGCATTGATTATGGACGACGACGTTGATTGGGATATCCGGCTCCGAACCCAACTCCCCGAATTCGCCAAGGGTATCCGCACTTTATCACACATCCCACTTTCTCAACGTCAACATTCCCCATACGGCGATGACTGGGATGTATTGTGGCCAGGTCACTGTGGTGATGAGCTTCCCTCTGTTTTCCACAAAGGGAAAAAGGATGAGTTCTACAGAATTGACAATGACGAAACCGCCGCTCCCAAATCTTCTCAACCATATCTTAAAACTCTCGCAGATTATCCCGAGAAGACGCGTATAGTTCATAAAGCTGGTGCTCCCAAATGTACCTTGGGATATGTAATTTCCTATCGTGGAGCTCAGAAGATTCTCATGGCTGCGGTAAAAGGTGGTAATAATCTCCCCGTCAACGATGCACTTGCGTCTCTTTGTCGTGATGGTTATTTAGATATGAAATGTTTTCCAGTTGAGCCTCAACTCTTTCAACATTATAAAATGGCTGGAATGATGGACAGAGATAGTGATGTTAATAGTCTGGAGAAGGGGGATGCGAAAAGTACAAAACAAAAGGGAATCAAAAGCATGATCGTTTGGAGTGCGAGACTAAATTTGGAGCATCTGATCACGGGGAGGAAGGATTATATTGCTCACGGTTGAGGAATTAAAGTCATTTTGTCAGTCTTAGTTTGAATTTGAAGCGTCGGGCTTGGAGTATTGGGACATAAAATAACGGTGAGCTTCTCATTGTCTAAAGTGAACCTTATACATGAGCGTTCACAATCAGCATTGCAAAGAATTGTGTATTCAGGTCGTATGGGATCAATGTCTTGAATCTACAAGGCTTTACTTGTCTAATCTTCAGTCTTAGTCTGCTCACGATTCGCCTTTGCATTACTCGCTGCATTTCCTTCCAGCCCATAGGACCATTTTCCAAGTGGAGGTTGCATCTCAAATGTTTCCCGCACCACGGCATAGCTATAATAGCCACATCTTGCGATGGGCTGAACCTTACTCAAGTCGATTAGTCCATCTGTGAGGACTGTGTCCGAGATATGAACTCCAACAACCTTCGCAATGATAATATCTACAGTCCCCATAGGAGGGTTTCCCGGCAATCTCAAAGTCGAATGGTAAGTGCATTCGAACCTGATTGGTGACTCTCCAACCATGGGAACTACATGCTTGAGATTTGTTGAGGGAATCTTCGAGAGACCAGCTTTTATAAATTCATCAACACCGTATGCAACTTGTTCAGATGTAATATTCACAGCTTCTCGGAGGTCCCAAGTGGCCATATTCCATACGAAAGAACCAGTTTGTTCAACATTCATAGTGGTATCTTTTCGAACGTTAGCGTCTGTTTGATTGGCTGAAAACATGATATATGGTGGGTCGAAAGTCAGGTTGTTGAATTGACTGAATCATCTCCTTAGCTATCGCTCACTCGAACCGAAAAGGTACATACCTATACGGTGCAAGATTATCTTTACCATCTTGTGATCGGGTCGAGATCCAACCAATAGGTCTAGGTACAACACAAGCCTGTCATTCCTGTCAAAAGCTGTTATATCAAAGGATTCGAGTGCTTACTTTGAATGGATCTCGGGGAAGGTTATGATCAGTGACACCTGGCTCGTAAAAAACCATGCTTGCGTTGATTGTCTCGGATTTCTAAGTAGAGTCAAATGAGGTGAGAGTTGAGAGTCGAGACGTTCAATGATATTCCGATTCTGATAACGAGCAAGGAATGGGGATATGTTGCGTTTTATGTCGCTTCTCTGTTTTTATATTGATTGTAGAACGATGCTCCTGCTGTCAGACTGTGAGAACGAGACTGATGATAATGCATCTTGTTGATGGTCCCCTATCTTTGTTTTATATCCCAAAGACAAACCGGATAAATCAAATGCGGATCCTTCGAATCGATGGATTATCTCAAGTTCGTATTGGTTCGGAAGTATTCGGAGATGTTCGGATGCTATTGCCGCGCTACTATCCGTTTTGAGTAGCCATCAACATTGTGGAGTAGCAGAAAAAAAGTTCATTTCATAACAAATTATTCTACTATCTGCCGAGACATATCTTTTGTGAATTCCGTAATCTCCTAGATTGATTGAGGGACTTCTCTCTTATGCTCGTTGAATATCGAACAAAACATCAAATTCAAAAGGCTATCATCCCCCACAGTCCAATCAGGACCTGCCTTATATAAACTTCAAATCCTTTATTGAAGTCTTAAAGTAAGATAAGAATTGATTGAACTTAATAATAAAATTAATTCTTTTTGATCTATAGAAGTCAACGTGAAGGCTAGGTGCGATAAAGCCTCTCCGTGTGAAAATTTTGCAATAAGAAGTTATCCGGAGCTTTGTAAATATGCATATGAATCTGGGCCCATGATCACCTTGTCCGGAATATTCCTACAAAGGAAAGGCGCTCCACATTCAGGAGATCAACACTCACAAACGGCGAAACATTAATTACAGCAGGAAGTCAACACACACAGGAATCTGGAATTTAGCTCCCCTTTAAAGCATTAGAGTTCAAAATTTCTACCGGAGTTAACTACAAATCTCAATGGAGTAGCATACACAGCGCATCTCGTTGATATAAGGCATTTGGATCCAGCAAACGGCCTTGGAACGGAGGATGCACCACGGCAGGCAGGAGGCAAGATGGAGAATCCAATTATGTAGAACCAAATCTTTTAGATACTTCGAATTGGCGCTCAATAGCATGGCTGGTATCTCTTTATGCAGTGTTGGCCTCAGGACTACGATTTTCGGAACACACCAGCAATTGGATACAGGAGAAGTCCCAATTATACCGTCAGTCTCATGAACTCACTCAACCGCTGTAGTTAACTCAGTGGACTATCTGTAGTTCGATACTCAATCCAGTGTCTCGGGATGGCAAAGTTTCTTGTACGACCTTCATTGTTATGTATCCAGACAATGTTGATTCTTGACCATGTTCTTCAGAATGGCACGAAACTTAAAAGTGCATGGATACTTCTATGGACCACTGCTAGAGTTGCCCAGAGTCTTGGAATACACACACAAAAACACGATGCCTCTTCGTCAAGTCGAAAGCTATGACACGCCTTTCCACTTTATCGTCATAGTAAATTGACTCTTCCTAGGCTAGCTGTCGTATGGCGAGATTATCTATTATCCTTATGCTTCGACAGAACCCCCGTCACAAGACCAATCGCTGCAGCGGAGGATCTCCGAGACAATATTTCCTACGTAGAAGCTATACACTTTCTCTGTGATCGTACTCTCCGCAGTAGTAGCCTGTCGGCATCTTCTGAATCGCCAGACCTTGCTATTATACTCGGGGACGTATCAGGTACTGAGCAGATCCGATCAAAAATCATTGGTTGAAACGGTAGACCACAAAGATTCAACATTGTGCAGCGTTGTGAGCTTCAATACTGAATTCGCACATGTTTTCGTCATGGACTGTTTATGTCGTCCGGTGCTCCGCAGTCACGATCCTACAACACGAACATTTACCCACTCATAATTAATTGAGAAATGCTATCAGAATCTTGTTGAATGTGTACTAGCATTCGTAAATCTACATTCAATGAGCGTTGTCACTTCACGATCATGGTCTATTATGCATAATGGCTTAAGCTCAGCCCTCTTACTAGGTCTTCTGGGTGGTACTGCTCGAGACACCGAAGTGCGAGATTTGCAAGGCAAGATTCTGGAAGTATTTTCAGAGAGCCAGGATGGTACCGCTGGCTCAAGTCTAGAAGCTAACTCTACCACAGGCTAGAGCTATTGTTGCGCTCAAGAGGTCTACACTGATTATGAAAGTAACACTTTACACACTGGAGGTCATCTTACACCCGAAACTGGAAATGTGGGAAGATTTCCGAATGTTGCCAAAGGTGCATGGTAAGTCATTTTCGCTAAGAAACTTCGCAAGAGGCTTTTCTAACAGAATCAGCTAGCCACCCTGCCCACGAAAAGAAAGCAACTACAATATCGACAGTGTAGGCATTAGTATACTATAGTGAAACTGTAGCGCGTATTAGTATATTGATATTGTAGCTAGTACTTTTGAAAAGGGGGTTATACTACTTTCGTGTATATTTCGAAAAAATTTGTTACGCATTACTAAACTAACCCGTATACAGATTACAGGAAATACTATTGCCTACACTGAATATCGATGATATGACTACGTTCCAGCCCGCAAGGTCCGAGGGACAAATAAGTTATTCCCCAATCGGCACATTTGACTCCATAATTTGGGGTGAGTATTAAATATAAAATATTAATACAAAACTGCCGATTCAATTATAGATCCATATGAAATCGAGGAGTCTCTGCCTATGAATGGAGATCATAACATTTCGTCGTTTGAGCCATGGATATAGAGCTCCACCGGATACTTGTCCAGTGCAAACTTCTTTCTGTATTCTTTAGTTTCTCTTCACTGTTGTATGATGTAAAGCGGAGAGAAGCATGGAGATAGAAGCTTGAGTGAAAGTTGGGAACTACGATCTCGTCTTACATTGTGTAAATATACAATTTTACTTTTAGATGTTGACTTTTAGCTGTCTCCGACTGAATGTTGTAGGACTTCCATTCCCCGACTTCAACTTGAACCTGGAAAAGTTTCTATTCCTTGTTCATCCTCTCATAGACTTTTGTTTCTTTCTCAAAATAGGAATTCTAAGTACACACATTATATAATGGCTGCGGTTAGCCAACTAGGTAGTAGCTCGGTATTAGTAGGGCAATTATTTTGCGTGAACGTATTGCACGAAAGCCAGTAATCACTTCAAGAATGAGCTGTCGGGTCACAAAATCAGATGAAATCCATATTATCAATTCGACTAGTCCGTAATCCTTAATTCTGCGACCCAGTACACCCCACTTCGTTTACTTCTCATCAATCTGATCTTACAAATCCTATAGAAAAAAGGGTATTCAAAACTTGTTTATTATCAATCCCATTTGTATTTTTTATTGCGCTAGTATTAATGTTGTAGAACTATTGAATCACCAGAGAAAAGGGTTTGTAGAATTAGTTGATTGATTAAAGGTTCTATGGAAGAGGAGAGCTCTTAAATAAGCTAATATGCTTAGTAAGCTACTATACTGACGATATTCAACACATGTATTAGAAACAATCTCACTATTTTCAACGAGTAGTATTATTCTATATAACATAAACGAGATGAATGAGAATCGTTTATAGCCTTTGAATTAAGTTTTATAGGTTCTAGATCTATAGTAGAGTTAGAATTATACAATCGAAGCTGAAGAATCTTACGTTATTCGATTATTGTAATATATCAAAAGTGAGAGGATTAATGTTAAAATATATATGATGAATTGTTCTCATACTCCTTAAAAACAACTTGATTACTCTTGTGCTTTTCAGACTCTGTGATAGATTTTAAGGTAAGATGGAATTATATAAATATACCTAGGTTTGTAATCATCTCAATTCAGATAGTTATGTGCTGTATTAATCAAACGAATGTAAAAGTGATGAATTCTTTTGATAGCTTTTAGTTAAGATCTATTACTCTATATACGTAAATAAATAGTTAGCCTCTTAAATTGAATGTGATCTAAAATAATTAGAATCTAGCTTTTTCATAGAATCTAGTCTGTTATGAAATCCAGCCTCTCCTTATAGAATTTATTCTCTAATTATAGAATCTAATTCAAAGTGGCTAGATTCGCTTATTTTAGAATATATTCTACTCTAAAACCTATATAGAATTCAAGGAGTACGAGAGTAATTAAATAAGCTTTAAGAGGTATAAGATTATCTAGTTGTGTAATAAATAGTATCAAGTGATTTATTAAAAGTATATTTCACGTAGTGCTAGAACAGGACGAGCTGGCTCTAATTAGTACTATTAATAGCTCTCTTTCTTTCATAGCTAGTTTAATAATACAATCAATCTCATTCAACCTCTAGATACTCTCAATTCCTAGTCTATGCTACCCATAACATCCTGTAGAAAGTTATACTTGAAATACAATTCAAATAATATTCGCTAAAAACAATAATAATCTACTCTTATCTATTATCCACTCAACTATTCCTAATGTCTAAAAGTAACTAAAGTAGAGTTTATGTATAACTATAATCCTTAAGATATACTAGAAAGACTTATATTATATATTAGTCTTAAAACTAATAAGAGGTTGATGTAAATATAACTAAAGATAAAAACTCAATGATTATATCTAATATAATAGCATACGTAATCAAATCTAATCTATAAGCGAATTAGAAGTGAGAACTTATGTTTAGATGAAAGTTACAGAGATATTAATCTAGAGTCTATAGAATGAGAACTTCTCATATTAGTTATCTTATTATAGGAATCAATATGCTAGAGTAATTCCAGGGCAATTCATGCTCTAAATTATTTCATTTAATTAGAGGGAATGAGGATAACTAGATACAGATTTCAGGAATCAATTCTCAAAAGGACTAAATAGATTTACTCATTTAGAAGTATCTAGTACGATATAGGAGACGATATTTATCTCTCAATTATATAAGATAGGATATTATAAGTAGTCTGACTCTTACATTCGAACATTAGACGTCTATAACTTATATTTAGATAATAGATTTTACATTTCAAATTGAAGTTAATCTTAGGATTATAGTAATATATATGTCTATAATTAGAACAGTTAATATTATACGTTCGAATAGATTAAACGAGAACTACTGAGATCTCAATGAGAATAATATACTAGACTTCTTAACTTTTTATATTACTACGAGCTATATGTACTCAATTATAATAATTATACAACTATATTACGAATAATAAAGTAAACAACCTTGAGTTCAAGAGGCGAGGTCTCTTAATTACTAGATAGAATTCTTTACTTAATTATATTAGCTTATGCTCAGATGATAGACTATAAGTACTTCGTCTAACGTTTTTCTTTTAGAGTAGGTTTATTATACAAAGATGATTAGTAAAAGTAAGATAGTAGGCTTTAGTATAAGGGACGAGAGATCTGAATACGTTGATTAGAATAACGTACTAGATTTTGAAAATCAGACGACAAACAGTCGAAATGTTCAAATCACGAGATCTGGGGCTAGAATCAGGTGATTAGCATCATTGAGAGAACTAGCTAACCGGGAGATACTTACCGGCGATGCTGAGTTTGTAAAGAAAATATTTCAACGACAGTAAATTTACTTCGAAGTTTCGATTTAACTGCTCAATAGGCGATAAAGAGATTAGAAGCAGTCTATTAGAGCTAGCTATAAGCTTTAAACCCTTTAACTAAGCCTATAAAGAGTTCACTTAGAGGTGCAGATCTCTATATTTACAGGTCAATTATGGTATTCATAGCCCAGAAATCTTTCACTAGGTTAAAACTTCGTAGTAATAAGCACATTTTCACGATTAAGAACGCAAAAACGGAAAGAAAATCGTTCGTAGTCTATGATAGTAAGAATATGTAGCAAGCAATGAGCAACCAAGGTATTATTCACGCCATTACGAGTCACAAGCATGTAGAGAAAGTATAATTGAGGCAGAAAACAGTTGAATTCGGAAAGATCGATGGTAGGATTTGGTTCTTTAGGGCACCACCCTCTTTCCACACAACAAAACTGATTCGAGAGAAGCCAAATGCGACGTTCCCACTCACGGAAATTCCCTACTGGTGGATTTGTCTCTTTCTCTTGCGCACAACTCCCCTAGCTCCACCAAGATTCGCCTCTTGACCAGCCTGTAGAGAATTTGTTAACGATCTATCAAGAAGAAGAGTGTAGCCGCAGCAGGGATGTACGTACTCGGACGGCAGCAAGTTCTGCATTGAGTGCAGCAATTTCAACGTCTTTCCCAGCCATTTCAGCGGTCAAGACACCAACTCTTCGCTCGGCCCATAGTGCTCTTGTCCACCAATCGTGGATTACGTCGTCTTTGTCGAGGATCTTCTCCTCCAACTCATGCTGTAATTGAAAACGTTAATTATTCTTCAAGCCAAGAGCGTTAGATCGATCTTGAGGAAACTCACTATCTTCTCAACCATTCGTAAGATCTTTCGGGACAACAAGCAAAGGGTTGGGAGCACGTGCGACATTTTCGAGAGTTGTTTGATTGATGTGGTGGAGGTTGTTGAGTCGGATTCTGAGGTTGTGAAGGTTTAGAAATTTCTGGTGCGAGAAACTGAATTTAACTTCCAAATTACCTGAAGACTGAAGCTTAGGCGAAGTTTATCTCGTTATTGTGGGGCCAGAGACCAAAAAATACGCTAGAATCGAAACTAGTCTTCCTTAGGCCTCCTACTGACGTTGCCCTAAGGATAGATGAGGCTAGCCTCTAGCCTTGTATAGTACTAGCAGCTTGGCTCACATTTTCTTGAGCTTGAGGTTAGTCTAGTCCTTCAAATTAGTAGCATTTTAGAGTGAGATGATGGTTGTTAGGTCTGGAACACTCAGGATCTGCCAGTATTTGAGTCATTACGAAGAAAATTCGAGAATAAACGACGTGTAAGGCCATCTAGAGTAATCGCAGACGCCTGCGAGAGAAGCAACGTAGTATCATAGTGTCATGTAGAGAATTGATCAACAATTACTGAGGTTTTGACTTGCATTGAGAGTATGGAAGCCCGCTGGAGTTCCCTGTCCTCTCGGATCAGTTTACGAAGTACGCGATTCTGCAACGAGAACCCCAATCGAACAATATCAATACTCATATATTTGAAACGATCGATCTTCTTTACTGTCTGAAATATTAGAACTGAAGATCCATCAAAAAAAGAGCTATTATCGAAGAACGTTGCGAAATTATGTGACTGAAGCTCTTCATAAATCTGTTCTTTTGAGAAAACTGACCCCACCAAAACATCTCTCTTTCCACAACCTCCCAATTTCCAAAGACCGCCGCAGATGTCTCTATGCTGCTGCTATTTCAATTGTTTTTAGCAGTTGACGAGCAGAAAATTCGTTATGTGTCTCTTCCTCTGGGTATGCCCTGTTTCAGCTCTCAAATGCGTATCCACGGATCGTCCTGCACCGACTTTTGACCGGCACTTTCTAAAAAATAAAATACGACCCATCACAGCAAGTTTCAAGAATTCAAGGCCCTTTTTGATATGATATCAATAAATATGTATGCATGGTATCAATAGCTAATTAAAGACGAAGCTAATATTTCCCGCATCTACGTTAAAGATATCATTGTCCCAACGAAGGCAATTATCTATCTCGCTCCGAATGTCGAATTCTCGTCAAAAAGAAAGGGACCACACACAATACCCAACTCCACAACGAAATTTACAGGCCAATAAGCTCATGCTGAAGCCATCAATACGATAAGAGCCGTCTTTGAAAACAATTATATGCGATCTGGAGGATGGAAAATGTCCCAAAGTTACCGCAAACCAGAGAAGAACGCCCATTCAAAGGTACTATCAACGAAATTACAAAATGAGAGATGTGAGATCGACGTGAAATAAGAACTACAAGCCGAACCTGTGCTACTCTCAGAGGTTAGAAGGGCCTAGGAAAATCACTTGAAAGACCCCGGAACAATGGCATTCCTATATGCATAAACGGAAACGAGATTGAACAACCCAGGAAGATCAAACTGACCATGCATACTATACTCTTTGATCACTATTCCGACCCCATGGCTTGCATTCAGGTCTTCAAGTCAAGCTGCTCAGCTACGACGACGCAGGTGACGAGAAACCTCGTTGCCTTTGACGCATCCTAGGAGACCCGGCAGAGGATTTCAAGTCTATGAACCTCCTGCTCAAAAGGAGCCGCATGGGCTGTATAACCTTTCGCAAATAGGATACAACAGTCAACTATCAGGCAAGTATTCTCGTGCTCTACATAATGCCATCAAAATGCTAATGCATTCCATCGCTTGCAGTACCTCCCTCAGAAGTTCTAATCTAGAAAGCGGGCCATCTCAGCTCAACATTCCCTCAGCTCTTAGACGAAGAATAATATAAGGAAATCATAGTGTGGGATGAGTCCGAAGATCGTGAAGGACATGTTGACACTTCCGTTGATCATTGGCTAGAGCATTTCATGGGATCTATTCTGAAAAGTATGCAGGTCCAAAATGCATTTGGCAAGAATCAATTGTGATGATTCAATGTCCTAAGATAAATGGTGGGGAGATCCCGCGCACTCTGGGAATAGTAAGTCCATGAATGTTATGCTACAACTTTCGGGCAGGTATGGTCGTGTGAGAGAGGAAGGTGTCGACGTGAATGCACCTTCAATCTTATGAGGCATATACAGGACAAGAGTCAAGCTACATAACCAAGTTCAAGAACAGAAATATGGTCCTCATGAGAATCATCATGAGAAGTGTAACAAGACTAGAGCCTTAGGACCTACACATGTCATGAGCCCTCAAAAGGAGTGAAGAGGCATTGCATGTCCAAAGTCCAAAGTATCATCAAGAGTTATGGACCCCCCATACTGAATTGCCTTTGCAACCAGCGCTTGATATTCCAGGACCGTTGTTCTAGTACTTGTCTTTTCAATCATTGAACTTGAACTCACCATGTGAAATAGTGAGACATAACTACCATGCCGGAGACGGGCAGTGAACGTGCATGGAAATGTGTTGCTGTCTTCAAGAATAACAGTCTACAAGTTGTTCGATCGCCGTTTCAGTTTTAGACTCCCAAAGTAAGTGATGGCTGTGGGACCACAATACATATGCTTGCGAACATTGAAGTGAGGTATAATATGACATCGTGATCCGTCGTCGCTGGCGAACAATTGGTGCATTAGCTGTAGAGAGAGGCAAGAAGTTCTTCCCCTATGGTTGCTCTGTCATCCAGAAGAGCTTTTAGTGATTTGATTTGTCCGAATTGTTCAAGAAGCAAAGAAGAAATCTTGAGCGGTTGACGATGAGCTGCTGGGAGGGAGGGAAAGTTGTCTTGTCTGGGTGGTTAGTCTTTCAGGATGACCTGAGGCAATACATCGTTGCAGGAATCCAAAAGCCATATCTTCGAGCAACACAACAATTTTTAGAGCAGCTTTCCCCCATAAGTAATAAATACTGAGCTGTCACAAATACATGAAATGTAACTGGAGACGTGTGACCAGCTTCAAAATCAGTAAAGCGAGCGATGGTAACCAGGACTAAAGGTATCGTTCCAACGACTGAGTCTGTAATTACCACGAGAGAATAGGCGTAGAAATAACGTGAGACTTTGGAAGTTCGAGAGGGTTGTGAAGCCGCGAGTGTCACGGTGTAGGTAATATAAATCTAGCTCCAAGCTCGAGGCTTCCTGAGAGGATGTCCATAAAAGCGGCAGAAAACAGCGTGGTGAGTCTTGTCTTCCAAATTTGCTAATACATCCTCGATTTGAGCTCCGTTCTTAAACTATTGGTGACTACATTTAATGGGAATGGAAAGAGGCATTGGCTTTGAATTCGAAACGCCTCAAAACACTTCGAAGTAGAAAGTTCATTGAAATATCTGATTATCTAGGAGAATGTTTGGGAAGCTCGGCATACTCTGTTAGAAGCTTATTTTCCACTCAGAGCAGCAATAGAGTATGTCGCGTGGAACAATTGAGGAAGGGTCGAGGGCGGAGTGCTCAATTCATACTCGAGGTCTTCTTGGTAGATAATTAGATCAAAATGTAGAGGTGATCCGTGAAAATGAACGTCTGAAAGAGCTTAAACGAAATCATTGAATGCATCTGAATTGTAGGTCCTTTGGGAGCTTGAGTGTCAGAAAAGGTTTGCTGGAGGGTCAACACGTTGGAATAATATGGTTCATTGATTCAGGTGTTCGGAGAGAATAAAATTTGTTCCAGAGCTCGGACCATCACAATAACATCACACTGATCAAAAACAACCTCTTGATTGACAAAACAACTATCTGAGGCAAACATACAAGAAGACATCAAAGAACCTTGCTCTTTGATAGCTTCTTTCCCTCATCAATCATCTCAAAGAAAAGGGGAGGTTGAACAGAATGAATACATATTGAATCACTTGTCACTCTTGAACCTTGCATCTGGTTTTGTTAGTCAGATTCAGACTTTTGTCACTTTCATAGACGTCAACTTCATAAAGGGGATGATGACAAAGCTTTTGATATTGGGAGATCCTGCCCTACTACTCTTGCAGAAAGATTGTTCTCGAAATTTGCGAGAATCTGACAGAAAAGGAAACGCAGTCCATATTATGAGTCTGGTATCTAGTGTTGAAAAGGAGACTTCTTTCATCATCTAAAAAGCAACGAGCCAAACGCGATGGCTATTGAAGCAGAAGCAAATGCCTCAATGTGGTAAGTATCGGTGCATGTGGGACATATCCCCGCCAAACACTTCCATTGCCTGCTTCCCCTTCTTCCAATTGCGTGCCAGTTGCAAGTATGAGTCTTCCCGTAATGTGTACTTGTGCCGCGCGAGTGTGTCGGAAACTCGGTTTATCGTTGTGCCATTTGTTGTGCAAGGACGTTGAATCATATGTCGTCCACCATTTTTCCTTCCTATAACGGTTCATTCTCTGTATTTTTTACGCCTCGCGCGAACAAAAGGCAAGTGCTGTGGGACTCTCTGATCTAGTGAGAAGAAAGCGAGAAAACTGCCAGCCAGGGCGAATTTCTGTGATGAAACACTGAAGGGAGCTAGCAGCCCTTCAAGAAGAATATCATATATCTACATGTATATGCTCTTGCCACGCTGCCTTCCTGACACTTGCTTATGAAACTGCGCCCCGCCACAAGGACCCTTCGTCCTTGAACCTCTTAGGAACGGCGTTGATGTTTATCTTCTCTCTCCAGATTTGTAGTGTCGTGACTTCTCTTGCTCCTTCTCAATGAACCAGCACTGGAAGATGTTGCAGCATTGCCCAATGCTACCCTGACACTTGGACGACGGTTAAAATCAATTTTCTGGGCTGACAATTTCACTGCTTTCCGGGGAAGCAATGGATTAGCAACATCTGCGACAGCCGAAGGCTCAACAACAGAAGTTTGAGATTGATCGACTTGCTTTTGTGGAGGCTGCTGTAAACCTTTTGGCACAGCTGGAATATCAGACCCAGCGCTACTGTTAATAATATAATCATCCTCAAAATCTTTTTCTCCCTCTTCCTCGAAACCATTCGATGAGTTACCAACAATCATAAATTTAGCCTCGTCGATGCCATCTTGTAATTCATCAATCATTAGTTGCATAAGATTGACGATTGCATGAAAGGTAGTATCACCGGTGTCAACCGCAACTTTGATCTTCGATAGATCGTTAAGAAGCGACTCTACTCGTTCATTGCCAAACACCTCGACGAGAAGTTTAGCAACTCCTTGTCGAAGATTTTTCAAGTCAGATGCTAGTTGGTGGATCTTTCCGAAGACATCCTGCATTTGGAGATCTTTAGCGGCACCCTCATTATCTTGTACCGACTCTGAGGGTGTTGTATTGGCATCGACTTTCTTTCCTTTGCGAGACCGCGCGTTGTTCTTGTTATTGATGGTGCCTTGTGCCGTCTGCATCTTAGTTGCACCGGTGACAACTTGCTTGCCTTTCTGAGACCGCGTGCTGTTCAGAGTCATTTCGAGATTTTCTTCCTCGTTTCTGCTTATTCTTCTAGATTTCCTAGATTATTTGGCTTGATAAGCTGTCCATAAGTTGCATGTGCCACATGCAATAACTCTGAATCTCGGAAAAGTGATAGGCTTCGGCAGCAAAATGCAAAATAATCTACTTCATAGGTTGTGAATGAAAATTTGTTATTTGCGATAAATATTCTAAAGGTGGGTGGTCGGCCGTCTGCGTGTATTGCTTGATAATTCAAGATGTTGTAAAACATGGAAGTCTAATTAAGCGAGCGGGTGTAAAGATAGAGAACTGTAAACTTATAATCACAACTTTCTATTCAATTTTTTGATTGCTCTAATTAAACAGAACAAGAAGTGAAAAAGTGGTGCAATCAATTATATAGCCAATAGTCTAATTGCTCAAAACGAAGTCCCAAAACAGGAAGCAAGGCTTTATTCTACATGCGACTCACCAAAATAAAGAGTGCCAATTCTGGATATAAGAACAGAAGCCATCAAATCAAATTACATCATGAAATATGTTGCAGAGTAGCTCTGTAAAAATGGCGAAGAATTTCAATGCTAATACGCCATTCTTCCAACGCATAGATTTTGTCAGGAATTACGAATAGTATATCAATGTAGATTCTTGACGGCGAACACAGTTCTAAAGTTTGCCGGGATACAAGAAACGCACTTTATTCAACTGACTGAACCATTCATGAATTCATAAGGAAGTGTGATAAATTGCGTATGTCAACTACCACAAAGAAAAGAACTTCAATAAAGGAGGGGGCCTCTAGCTAGTCTAGATTCTACCAATACCAAGAGTGTTCTTTAAACACTTGCAGCTACTCTGCACATTTTGTTGGTGCCGCGATATTGCCAAAAGCTAAACTTCGAACCATCTCTCTTCCGTCCATGTATGCATGATATCTGGATTGGCTCTTATCTTGCACAGCTCAATCTTTCCATCCAGCTTCCTTGCCGCCACGATTGGTGAAATATACCTTTCTGATGCTGGACTGGGTCGATCAGTTCTATAACTGAGTTTCGGTGTTGCAACTGGTTGGCTTCGATTGACAACCTCCAGAAGCTTCCGATGGGTAATCGCAGGTGATTTGCCAGTTGATCCTAAATAATGCTGCCTAGTCGAAATTTGACGAATGGCACTTGAGTGGTGAGCTTATTTCTTCGATGCAACCCCATTTCCCGTTTTAATCTTATTATATCTGGATATGCTTTCTTGTCAAGCTTCCGAAGTCTTCTCAATAGCACTAGGCCCTTATTGTTGGGAGCGAGTCTTGCCTTGTGACACTCGGGGGCGATGTCGTTCTTTTGGTGACTGTTGATAGTCTACCATTCGCATGTAGTCAATCTTCCCTACGAAAAACAAGCATTAGCAGATTGATCGACAACATGACTGTGGAAGCCGACGCGTAGTACAACGCAAGTCTGAACCATGCAAATAAAATTACAAGCAACTAGATCGTAAAACTGCGAATGGATCATTCGACCAGACAACGAATCGTTTCCTCGAATTCAGAGATAACTTGCATTCAACGAGACAATTTTTTCACTTGCCATATTTGTGCCCTTTCTCCAGGTATTTTTTCGACAATCGATTTGTTGATACATGGCTGATCCTGGACAGCGATTGATTAGCTGTGTTTGTTATAACAAAAATGAATGGAGGTATAATCAAAGATGACTTACTAGAAGCTTTACAGCTTTCGGAACTAGCGAAAACAACCCTTGATCTGTCCCGCTCACGAGGAAAAACTCATAACAGAGGCTGTGTGAAAGTAAAGTCCTCGTGCTAGTAGGTGATGCAGGAAGAAATGTGGAAGAGAAGAACGTTGGTGCTGGGCACTTAGACCCTTCGATTGTGGTCGATTTGTTGACTCGTTCAACCTGCGGCTTCGAGCGCCAGCAGAAGGCGCGAGTTGAACTGGCCAGGAGTACCAGATCAACTCCATGTTGTCTCTAGCGTGGGCTGTGAGGATAGAAAGTAACAAATCGAATATTTCAGGTGTCCTTTTCGAAATTATTGTTTGAGCTACTTGCGTCGGCTGATGAATTCTTGGCTTATGACCTGGTTGAGAAAATAATCTTAACTGTCAGTCTTTGGAATCTGAACTCAATTCGGGAAGGTGATCGCAGTCAAGCTTTGAATGAAATGTGGGGAAAAATGTACGTACTTCAATATGGACGAGTCAGTCTTTAAATCTGGCAGATCTGTCTCCTACACCGACACCGAGGAACCGACTGATAGTCGATGCTGCTCTATCAATTTTTACAACGAATGTGGGTGTTCGGTCTCAGTTCTAAATCTTCGAAACATGAGATGGATTATAAACTCCGTCGTCGAAAGATCCTGGGATATTCAAGCACGATTCTGCGACTGTCATGGTTATCAATATCTCTCGGCAGAATATCGTTAGAGCAAGATTGGGCTGACTTAAAAATAGGCGTCGAAGAGATGTGGTGAAAGAAATGAGCCTGGCCTAAAAGTAGTATCTTTTTTTTTTCAAAAGAGATAAGCGCAGCATGTATTGGTACACATAACGCATGATATAATGACGGAGAAGCTTGATGGTAATGACAGTACTCGTTATTCATGTCTTATATTGATGTTAAAGATCGGAATCTGCAGTTGTGGTTGTAATCGGAAAGAGGTCAAGCGTTCGAAAGTTGGGATTAGAGCTAGGATCCTGAATAATCGATTCGATTCCATGCTGCTTTGAGATTCCTGTACACTTAGCTCCCTTTAAAATTCTTTCATTTAAAAAATTTGAGATATTTCTTGAGTTCATGGATAATACACCATATTTTCCAATCTTTGACTTGAACATAATCTTTTGGAACACCTCCTATTTAGCCGAGTCGAGAGCTTCACATGTCCACCTTGTTTTTCGACCAACATCTATATTTTCGTTTTCCAGAGAAAGAATCAAAAGTTTGTAAGTTAATTCAACTTTTCACAGTAGAATTCTCAAAAATTGTTGTGAAAATTGATTCTTTTGGTATTAGAACCCTTTGATCTGTCCTCCTTCTGCCTTTATATTGTACACTAAACATAACATCAGACATTACCACAAGTTTCACTATTCCGTCAACAGAAAAGATATGATAGAAAATTTCAGAAGGGAGCATTAAATTGTATCATGTTTGTTGTCCTTGCACTTCTAATTCATCTCTTTATGCTCTATTTAACGGCTTTACTAACAGAATTATTAGAATCATTCTTTTAGGGCTTTTCGACAAAGCGACAGCTTTATCAACACTTTCATCACAAGCAATGCAAAAGATAAATGGAGGAACCATTACGACTTACCCATCTTGACCAGCGCTATTCACCTTATTCACCTCAACGATTTAAATACTTAGCAGGTAGAGATATCTAAAACTATCATCCACCATAGAACATGCTAACAATAGCTGACTCCCAGGTTCTGTCACGAGTCTCAAACCTTTAGCCACTGCCAGATACCACAACAAGCACACCAAATGCTTCTCAACCTGCACAACCACCTGCCGCATCGTTCATTCTCAATCATCTAGAGTCTGGTCTATTCCTTAATGGTTCGATGAGTCTTTCGCTCCTATACGCAAATCTGACGATCGATTAGCACGTCTGCCAACAACAGACGGGCCATTAACTTCGTTTTTAAACATCCCATAGCTAGCTGCTGGGCTACAGTTGGGTTCAAAATTCTGCTGACGGCAATTTGTGTTGAAGTGATCACTGCGACAAGAACACAAACGATAAGCCATGTCCTTTCAACACCAGCGTTCCAGTCACCCGATGGCTCATGCTTAAGACGTTCATATTTCTCAGCTTCTATGGCTAGAGAACCATATCCGCAGTGGATCTTCTCTGTTCAGTATGTCTTATCCAAAGAAAACTGAAATTTGCATCGATAACTGATGAATTATACTAACGCCGTTAGTAGCCATCATAGCAATTTGCTCACAAGTGCGCATTTTCAGGCCTACTACAGTCTTGCGGAGCGGACACAGCCCTATATGTGGAGCTGCACCCTGGGCAAATTGACGCAGAGACCCTCTCGACCGAACAATGGCGCCCAAAATTCAGTGGACGGTCTGGCAGGGGAGACTGCATTCATCATGCGCCATCGAGACTGAAAGATGATTGAGCCTACGGTCCGGAAAACTTGACCTTATTTCAGGCTCTCAGTTCGTAGTTGCCGGTTTGATAGCTTTTGTCAAGTCAAGGATTTTGTTCACTGCTGTTGTCCCTTCGATTGTCTACTTGGCTATTGAGATATCCTGTGTAGATTGTTTGAGAAGACATTAGCTTGTTAGCTATACCAATATTAATCTGTTGCCCAGTAGATCTTCGAAATAATTGAAAGTGCACCTCATTACGTTGTGCAACGGGACTCTGCAAGTCTTGTGGTCGTTCATGAGTCAATTCATATCTTGTAATCTGATTGCGAGACATTAAAGAACATGTTGAAGACTTGAAGTCGAGTTCTCGAGTGTGGTACTCTTAATGCCTTTCGAGGCTGCAGAGCAAGCTTGATAGCGCAAGCAGAAAAGATCATCGCACAACACCGTCTAGAGCAAATCCCATCACTCTTCTGACTTGAATAAGAATGAGTCCAGCTCCATCTCCCAGGAAGGAAGCGGATCTGATAGTCCCAAATTTAATAATCTTTGATCAAGCAGGACCACTGCCATTTGGAAGACATGGATTTCATGTCCAAACACCAATTCCATGCCTATTTCTATGTTAGATATATTCCTGATACCTTTTCAATAGAGGACGGCGTTTAAGCTCCTTGTACTCAGTTCTGCCGGCCCATATCTACCATGAGTTTCTTACTCTAAGGTACATAACACCAGCCTCGCGTAATCCCTCGAGCCTCAAAAAAGAAAAGAAAGGTTGTTGCACAAAGGAAATATCATCCCCCCCTCTTCAAAACCCCGCACTGCAGCAGTATATTGCACCTGCCCCTCCCCGATAATCATGTGCATACAAATTTTCCGATTCTTTTTTAGAAATTTGATGTGGGATAAGTAATCGCAAGTTCAGTGCAGGAAGGCTCTAGCTGCAGTCAAGGTCAAAATACGAACTCGTATCTTCGTGTAACTTCCCGTCAATCTCCATCGTGAATATCAAAAGTGTAATGCGACAAGAATACAAATCAACCAAATCAACAACTCCAGCAGAAATATTGATTCTAATCTACATTCCAATCCCATAACAATCAGCTAACCTACCCTCAAAACCACCAACTCATATCCTCAGCCCCGCCTCAAACCTCCACACCCACCCACGACCAGAAAATCCTCCTCACACCCAACTCACGCCTTTGTCTCCCCAAACCCTTCCCAAATTCAAACTGCGCAAATATGAGCACGATTCCACGCCCTTTCGCTTTCCGCCCGCCATGGCAAACAAAGAAACCATCCATCCCCTCTCTCCCCCCATTGGCCCAATCCCTCACGCCAAGCCAAAGCTCCAGCCACAATTTCTCGATTGGGTCAATGGAGCCGGAATCCTACGTCGCCAAGAACTGTAAGACGCTGCGGGTGAGCACATTTTATATATACGGTCTAGTTTTTGTCATGTATTTTGGGGAAATTCTTCATCTGATGGGTGGGAGGGTGTGGAGTGGAGGTTTCTTTCTGGGGAAGTGAATGGGATGGGATGGGATGGTTCGGTGTGAATGGGCGTGATATTGGCTATTGAATATGTGAGCAGATTATGAGGGAATTAGTTGGGGTACCTTGTTGTTCATGCATATCTATATGTATGTGTTCCTGCATGGGTGGACTAAATAGTTGAAAATAGTTTCGTCGACTATCTTCTTAAGCAACGTCGATCTTTCTTGATTTTGGTATTTGGCTCTTGATCTGTGTCTTGGATTTTCATTTTAATAAGAAGCTTTTCCGATCTTCAAGGAATTCGTACTCTAGATCACCACAGAGAGTAAAATCATCATGGCGACTTTCAATATCATCGTTCTTCTCTCGTTCCTCTCCTCCATTGTCTCCGCCCATTTCTCTATTGAGTACCCACCACCGCGGGGTGATTCCTTTCTTCCGCCCGCTTCTCAGTGGGAATATCCATGTATGTACATCTATCCTCATAGGATTTATCCTCTTCGTTTCATCCTTATCCAACCTCAAACGTCTCTTTTTGTTATTCGAACGATTTCTAACCTTCTCTCCTAGGCGCAAACATTAATACCACTGAGAACCGTACTCTCTACCCAACTACTTCCTTCCCCATCAATCTTGACTTGCATCATCCATGGACATATGTGTTCATCAATCTTGGTACGTCTTTTCCCTTGGTATCTCTCTACCCCATTCTTCTCACACCTATCCTACTCCCCTCACCATACCTTCCAAACTTCCAAATCCAATCTAACACCTCCTCAGGCCTCGGCATCAACGGCTCCTCTAACCTAAATATCTCCCTCACACCCTCCCCCTTAAACACCACTGGATCCGGCTATCTCTGTCTCTCCGACTTCGATTTGCCCTCCGGTGTCACCATCGAAGATGGCATGAACGCCACAATCCAAGTCGTTACCGTTGGCGAAAGCGGAAGTGCACTCTACAACGTAAGCTTTTTCTTCTTCCTAATCACCTGATGAACAAACATCTTCTGTATACCATTTCTCTCGTTCCAATAGGAAGAGTATCGAATGAGGAAGACAACGTACTCCAGGGCTGACAAACAAATAGTGCGCAGATATCACCTTCTCCAGCAACGTCACTGCGCTCAAGGCCTCAGATAACTCAACCCAATGTCCTACCACCCCTGGCATCACAGTGACCACACTTACCGATGCTTCGAAAACCACTTCCGACTCTAACTCCACAAACACCACATCCAGTACTTCTGCCACTGGAACTTCAATCGGATCGAAAAGTGCCGGTGGTTCTTTAAGTGCTGTTGTTGTATTTCTAAGTGCTTTTGGCATTGCTGGACTTTTAGTCATCTAATTTCATGGGAAGTAATGACGATCACAACATCAGAGGAGTAGAAAATATGGGCCGTTGACGTATTTGAGTACAGGATTCCGGACTTAGCATAACAAAGACAAGCAATGAATCAATTCACAGATAGGCTTTCCAAGCTCTACTCTTTGTTCTCTCCAAACCTAAGAAATCCACCACTTGTGCTAAATGATCTACACCCCAGAATCCTTGCGTTTCACCTGCGGAGTTCGTGCATACTATCCACTATTTTCATTCACGTCAGCAAGTATTCATTTCTCCCGCTTCCTCGCCATCACAGCCTTCCACTATAAAAAGCCCAGAAAAAGAGACAAACTCACAGGTAACCCAAAAGCCCCTTCCCGTATTGCTCTCTCATTATTCTTCAGCACCGCCTCTTTACCCTTCCCTGCAATTTCTTTTAATACCAACTGCTTCTTCTCCTCTCCAATAAAATTTTGAAGCACCTCTTCGATAACACCAGGAGCTGTGATATTCTTCCCTTCCACCCAATACATTTCATACAAACGATCTAGACACTGACACAAAATATCCTGCGCTTCGTTTCCCTCCCGAAACAAGGATGGTAACACACCCAACGCGCGTTGGATCCTAAGCGTCATATGAGGAAAGCCGACTGGTGTTTTAGAGGACATGGGGATATTGAAGACCGATGCCCAATGGACACGATCGCGGTCGATCCATTTATCTTTATCTGAGAGGAGGTGTTATTATCGTAGAGAATGAAGAACTCTAGCGTGAGGAAAGAGAGAGATTAAGCAGAAAGCAAGCAGTGGGACAAACTTTTGATATTAATAGGTGGATTGTTCCCAACATCTTTCATGATGCCACCCAGGAATACGGGTATGTATTCGATGTTGCATTTCGAGAATGTAGGATCATGCTACAAGAAGACATCAGTTAGTACGTCTTATTGTAATCAAGTTAAGAAATGAGTCTTTATATCCAGCGAGAAACCCTAGAACAGATGATGAGGCAAGACATTTTTAATATTCCCTCAATCAATACCAATACCCAATTCTCACTTGACCAGATTGTGAAGACAGAAACTTTTCTATCGTTTATCAGGTTCATCAACTTTGGCTCCCCGTTCCACCTCCATGCCCTCATTCAGTTATATTCATTGTGAAATCCACTTACCCTAAAAATCCAATAAGCCTCATAAGCAAAAGGGCTGACTGTATCAACGTATAACGTGATTTTTGGTCTTGCTGTCGTGTCTTCCATATGTTCAATCTTCCTGGTAAGCCTCCTGTGACACTCTCACGATCAAAATTAAAAATTCCTTCAATGCAGCTTATTTCAATCCTTCAAAACTGTATCCTCAAATCAAGCAAACCTATTTCTCCCATACGAACATGAACAGCCAGCCAGCTTGGCGGGATATATCCACCCTGTCAAGTCACTCCGCACATCAAAATTCCAGGACCTCGGTTCTCGGGAATGTGGGGAAATCTCACCGCCCATCACGTAGCTCATCCCTCACTAGATATTGATCATCCTCTTATCTAACACAAAATCAGTCCAGTATTTCATCAAGTCTTCAGTATTCATGTATTTCAATTGTGGTCATAATTATACTTCATGATTCATTCTAGGTGGGTATCATAATGTACTAGGTAGTCTAGGGTAATCGCAACAAAAAGGTCTATCATAAAGACGTAAAACAAAGCAAGCATTACCATGCCATACCATACCACCCAACTCCCTAAAGCACGATTGTCTTCCCATGTCCGTGTGCCAATGTTACTCAATAAACACCTCTCGAAACCATATTGTACTCCCTAGTGACACTCCCCTCTGAAAGCAAATACACAAATCCCCAATTGTTGTGACCCCCTGTGGATCCCATTTATTTCTGGCTCTTCTTCCTTGCTCTCATGTTTGGCAAGGTATGCATCTTCCCCGATCTCCTTCCAATTTCCACACACAAGAAGCGGATAAAATCTCTACTGTTCCAATAGCTGCTATGAGCCGACAACATATCAATATACTGGTTGGCTAACATTCCTGGACGATTTCCCAAAATCCAATCTACCTGACCGTTTTCGTTCAATTGACAGAATTTTTTCTCGGCCATCTCCTCGGCCGTGAAATCATGGACTTCCATTTCCATTTGAGATGGCATTTTGGTGATTAAAGTAGGCCTAGGCATTTCTCCAACGTGAAGCGCTTCGTCTTGAGACATGCCAGCAGCAGATTTCATAGCATGGGTCACTGCTGTCATGAAACTGCGAGAAGAATCCGGTACTTCCGCCTCTTTGAGATTCGCCCCATATCGTGAATCTACGCATGCGTTCAAGCGATATGCGATAGGATCATTGCAATGCATGATGTTGTAAAGGTTGTCTATTGCCAAGCATCCAAATGTACCCGCGTCACCGAAAATGTCTTTACTGCTGCCATTTTCGCATTCGCAGCCAGGCTTAGAGATACCCTTCCTAGGAACTAAAGACTTGCTATCGAGTAAGAGGAAGAATGCACATGGACTACCCGCGAGGAAGCAGTTTGTTGTTTGAAAGTCAAAATACTTGGTGTTTGGTCTCCATGAAAGCTCGGCTGGTAAGGTGGTGGGCTGTTTACTTAGTACCTCGAGCGCCATGACACTACCAAGAGAGTGCGAGATAAGGTGAACGCGACCGTTCTTGTGGAAACCTGGATTGTTCTTACACCAAAGACGATATATCCGGTTGGCCTCAGCAATCAAAGCTGCAATCATCTTGTGCTTGTGTCCAGACATATAGTATGGGATATCTAGCATCACATCCGAGATGAGCTGACGCACTCTCGGAATTGTTGGCTGAGTTATGTCGTCAAGAGAGAAATCACAGCCTGGACGTTCTTTGTCTCCAGGCTTTCTTGGTCCACCATCTTCAAATGAAAGATTGGCACGCCAGTTGACAGGAAGCACTGTAAGGCCACAGAAGTCTTCTCGGAGCACCTTCTTCACATCATCATTTGTCAATTCCCGCTTCATCTCACATCGGAAGCTGTTCACTGCATATGTAAAGTTGAAGCTCTCCATGCGCTCCGAGAGTTTTTGACCAATGCCGTGAATGACCAGGCACAAATCAGTAACTTTTTCAGGTTCCTCTTGTACCTTACATGCCGGGCACTCTTCCAGTATATTATAGCCAGTGTTACTATGCTTCGCACTTTTGGTGTGTACTTTCGTGGCGGCCATTGATTTCTTTGAAGGATAAAGCTTATTCCAAGCCTTTCGATTGAAACCACGAACGACAGGTATACCAACACATAGTCCACTTTTGATCTTTGCGAGCGGTCTACGTCCGTAATATGCCGAAGGACAAATGCTGGGCTTCAGAATGAAGGCTTCCTCGCAGTTCTTATATATGACTTGTGAATTCGGGTATTTTTTACTAATTGAGGTAGCTGCACCTGGCTTTGCATCCGACTCTTCAACCTTGCCTTCTGCAGCAGCTTCGCCATGGAAGCAGCGTGCGGCGCAATGTGGATCTGCGGAGAGAATGTGTTTGGAAGGATCATAGTCTACAGTCTTGTCATCATTTTCTTTTGGCCAGAGACGGTGAACAATTTTCTCTTCGCCTTCCGCGCCAACTTCTATTGCAGAGTTGAGTTGATCTTCCCATGTCTGAGACCAACACTCGTTCTCTCTGTAACCCTTCTCTAACTGATTTGCGACAGCGGGCTCTACAGGACACATGTTATCTTTATAGAACCACGTGCCATATATGCAAGGGTACTGATCATTGAGAGGTGACCAGTATATCGGCTTCAAAATCAGAGATGATAAGCTGACCAAATGAAGTCTACATGTCCCAACAGGGATGTCAACTTGGCATTTTGCATGATCTTTATGTTTATAGGCCCTGCATCCTTCAACCTCCATATCTTCTGTGATGTCGCGTTCATGTGAGATCCGAGAATCAGCGGGTGGCTCATCATCATATGCTGTGTTGTTCTGCATCTGAGGGCTTTCACCACGAGCAGGTAGTTTCAGAAATGGCTTTCCTGTTGTACCATAACCTGCAGTTTTGGGACTTTGAGAGTATACATTGCCATTTCCGGTTGCAAGTACATTATGCTCAGATACTTGCGATTGACGTTTGCAGGTGCATTCGTCATTTGCAGCATCTCCTTGATCGGAAGCCATGTGATCAACGGGAGGATCCTCATCGGAATCATCATATAGTCCACGGTCTTGGTCGCCAGTACCATCTGCCTGGCGTCTACCGAAGAATCTGCTTCCGCCCGATGCATTTTTAGAAAATGCTTTCAATGTAGGCCTCTCGGCAATCTGCTTCCCAGTTGTTTGCCCCTCGGAAACATGTTTGTCTTTGAATTTAAGGTCGTCACAACAACTTCCAAATCTTGTTACAGACTCGGGATAATCTTGCTTAGATCTATCGTCTTTGCTTTTGTCATAGCTACCTGAGAATGCAGTCTCGGCCTCGGATTCTTTCTGCTTTGGGCGATCTCTCGCCTTGTCTCCATCACAGATGCCAGAAAATTCTGTCTCAACGTCCGATTCCTTTCGCTCAGAAGCCTTATCAGTTTTACTTTCCTCACATTGGCCCGAAAATGTAGTTTCGGCTTCGGATTGTTGCCGCTTAGAGTTGACACCAGCCTTGCTATCATCACAGCAGCTTGGTATTCTTGAGACCAGTGAATCTATATTATGATTTCTATCCTCAACGCAGCAAGCTTCTTCCTCCCTCTCGTGTGCTTTGGAGTCTTCCGTATCTTCGGTACTCTCGCCGTGGTGACGCTGATCTCTGTTGAACGAGGTTGAATCTGACTCCATCTGATCTTTTAACTGTTCGTCAAACCATGCCTTTGTCTTTTCCACTTGATCCGTGTCATCTTGGTCATTGAGCGCGACAGCCTTCCCCTTCCCTTTGTCACTTAACTTCGTCTTGACAGGCCTCCCCTCCTCGGGTTCCTCATTACATGCCTTTTCTTCCGAGTTACGTTCTTTCTCAGACCTTTCCCTTTCTGCTTTTCCTTTTCTACAATTGTGTTCCCAATGCTTAGATCTCGTCTTTTGATCAGTGCTATCTTTGTGAGATTCGATGTTGGTACACAAACACTTAGGCTGATGGTTATGTGGCTTGCATTCTTCAGGGGTTCCTTTTCCTTGTTGACCATGTTTGAGTGATTCGGCTGGGAATGGCTCTTTAGGGCGGTTGTAATTTGTTTTGGTTTCCTTGGATTTTCCGGTTGTGTAATTTAAGTCCTTTGATGACTGATTGCATGTACACTCAGGCTCGGGGTCTGCCTCTGGTTTGAAGTCCTTCTCAGAATCTCCTCTGTCAGGTCTTTCTTTCTTGTAATTGTGCCCTTGGTGTTTGGATGGCTTGCTATGATCGGTAGTCTCTTCTTCGGGATTTTCCTTCGACTTACATTTGCCGACAGGCCAAGGAACAGTTGGCTTGTCACTGGTCTTAGGGGCGGATGCATGGGGTGGGTGGGTTTCGGCTTCAGCCACTTCTTGTGGAGCTTTGGGGCAAGACACACATTTGCACTTCCCTGTCTTCTTTCTGCACCAGAGATGACTCCCTTTGCAGGGGCAACTAATAGTTGAGGGTGAAGTCTTCCCCTCATTTGCTCCTACCTTATGTTCTTGATGACTATTTGAAGGCTCGGAATGGGCCTGCTGTGGCTGCGTTGCCGATCCAGTCTTTGTCTCTTGTCTTTCAGGATTTCTTGTATTTTGCATCAAAGATTCCTTCAACTCCTTAGCCTCGCGTTTGATTATTGGTTTGAATCCAATAGCACTGGTGATTATTTTGTCTGTTATCGGCTCGATCCCTGATTTAGGCTTACATGTCCGATTGTGACTTTTGCGGTCCCGCTTTGAACCCATTCCCAGCCATGCTTCCAGAAGCACCTTGTTATCGCATTTTGGGAATGGTCGTGGAGGATGTCTAACATTCTTTGAGTCGGCCGATGGAGGTGGTACAGCAGTGAGAGGATCATCGAGGGGAAGAGGAGAACAATAGAAGAACTGCGCTCGCATTGGAGGCATCTCATCACACGGCTTGCGAGCTTGTGAGCTGCTGCCAAGAGGAGCGAGGTCACATCCTTTTCCGAAGGTATGAATAGGTTGAGACATATCGTCTTGCACTGCTGAGAATCAATAGGCGGTCCCGCAGAAAGGGCACTGGCAAACTTACTGTTATAAAGAAAGTAATATTAGGTGATTAATAGGATTAGAAGGATTAGATACGGGTCACTGCTCTGCGAATGTGGTCGTCGTCAAGAAATCGAAAGCAGAGACAGTATAGTAATATTTATAGCGGTGTAACTTGTATTGAAGCGGAAAGAATGTATAGAGAATGGGAGTAGAGATGATGATGTTGAAGATGATGAAAGAGAATATGAAGAGAAAACTCGAGAAGAAGCCATGAACGATCAAGGATGTCGCTGCCAATATCAGGCAAGCAAAAGATAGGAAGGAAGTACTTATTACTGTAGTCGTGTTTCTTTTGGAGGGCGTGGAGGCAACTGCAATCCAGACATG